GCGTTGGCTGCTCCTTGGGCTGCAGAGTGGGAAGCCGGCGTCTTTTGTTTTCCAACTTGCTGGTTTTGGGCTAATTGCTCTCGTCGTCGTGGATCTTGCATGGGAGCAAAATACAAGTCACAACCGCCATCCGCGGCTCTCCTCTTTTCTTGCACGGGTAGCGTAGCTCTTCTCATCTCAGTCCGTCTGCGGTTGTTTCCAGCCGTTCCCCTTGACCCCCCCCCCCCCCCCCCTGCCCTGTGCCCGCACGTCCACCCGTCTGCCGTGCTTCTCTGTCTCTCTGCCTCGCTCTCTCTCTCTCTCCCTCTCTCCTCCGCCGCCCTCTCTCCATATCCTTCTTATTCCCTTATTCCCCATACGAAGCCTCCCCAAGTTCCCATTGTGTTCACCGTGTGTTGCAATCGCCTGTTTATTCCCAGCGTCCCAAGACCTCTTATTTCCCACCCCCGATTTCCCCGTTCCGTCGCCGTCCGTCCCCCCCCCTCTTTTGAGTACGGCGACACGACTCGGCGCCGCCGTCCATTGAAGCTCTTGTTTCTTATTCCCGGGACGCGGACAAACGACTCGCACCACGCCCTCCCTCCCTCCCGGGTCTCCAGCACTGTGTAGCCCCATAAGCAACTCCTACCGGTTCCCGGAACCCGGAGTTCGGTCTGGGCAACCACATACGGAAAAAGAAAAAAGAAAAAAAAAAAGAAAAACCAAGAGGTCGAGTCCTGCTCCAGAGGGGAAAGCGAGGACCGCAGAAAACCTTCCCATCGGGTTTTTCTTTTTCTTTTTCAAGCATACTACACAAAGACGAAAACAAAGCAAAAGAGAGGAGGGAAAACGAGGGCAGAGCCGGTTGCCATTGCCAATAGGCGCCGGCATTGGGCACCAGCTTCGACTCATTTGATCGGCGCCCCGGGTCACTTCTCAGTCGGTGGATAACCAGGGCCTTCCAGTCAGTCCTTTCGACGCCGTCATCTCGAGCTGCCGTCCCGCCGCCGTCATGGCCTCTCGAGACGACTCCCGACAGCAGCAGCAGCAGCAGCAGCAACAACAAAAACGAACGTTTGCGTCGACCTCGGCCCCGTCCCTCTACGCATCGCCGGCCTCGGAGAACGGGCGCGTGCCGGCGCCGCCGGATTCCTACCCGCACAACGGAACCTCTCACCTGTCCGTGACCCCAACGCCAGGGGCGGCGGCGGCGGCAGCAGCCGCGTTCAGGGCCGAGCCCGAGCCGTCGCCCTCGTCGTCGTCGGCGACGCCAGGTCGCCCGTCCAACGGCTCCAAGAGGGCCGACAGCGTCGACGGCGCCTCGGCCAGCCCCGACCCCGCGAACCCCGACGCGCCCAGGAAGAAGCAGAGGCGCAATAAGCCCACCCTGTCCTGTGCCGAGTGTGTCGAGCGCAAGACAAAAGTATGTTCCCCCCTCCTCTTTTTGGCTTTTTTTTTTTCTTTTTTTTCTTTTCTCGTTTTTCGTATTTGCCCGTATCTCCCCACGATTTTGGCTTTACTCTCGTCTTTTAACACCATGCGACCGTTGCGTGCTTCTACCACACCCGCCGCTTGCAATGTTGGTCACCCAGACGGCGGGCAATGCCGCTTCAACGTGCCGGCGAATGTCAAAGTCTATCCCAAGGTTGCCGCCAACTGCCGAACACGCGATGTCACGGCATGCACGGTAGTGGTAGTAGTAGTAGTAGTAGTAGCAGTAGTACACTTTTACCCTGGGCACGTGGCACGCCTTCTCCAGTTGCCCGAATCGTTGCTTTGTCACTCGACAACCGCCTCCTAGTTATCCAATCATCACTCGGCACTCTCTCCATCGATGCCAAAGCCGGCTCGTACTGAACTCGCCGAGCCGCTGGCTAACATGATGCCAGTGTGACCGAGGCAGACCACATTGTCTAGCATGCATCAAGCGTCAGACAGAATGCAAATATGCAGTTGTCGCCAATATCCTCGAGTTCGTCCACCCTCCTCCCCTCTTACAAAGGCCGGTATGTAACACTAGGGTGCTTCAAGACGACTAACACCTCCCCGCCCAGCGAAACATCACGGTCCATCACCAATGGCCGTCGCATGACCAAGCCCCCCAAGAAGAAGCCCTCGGACCTCTCCAGCATCCCCAACATCGCCGACCGGGGCATCACCGAGGGCCGCGGCTTCACCTCGCGCGGCTCCGTCGGCTCCATCGCCCTCTCCTCCTCCACCGGCCTGCTGTCCAACGTGCCCTACTCGCTGCCGACCGCCAGCAACGTCTTCGGCATCGGCTCCGAGCACCCCTTCGCCAACTACTGGACCTGCGAGGGCGGCCTGCCCGAGGTCATCTCGGTGCTGCCGGACAAGATCCAGGCCGACATCCTGCTGGCCCAGTACTTTGAGTGCGTCGACCCCGTCTACCCCATGATCCACCGCCAGACCTTCTACGCCGACTACGAGCACTTCTGGAGCCTGTCGCCCGACGAGAAGAACCACGTCGACGCCTCCTTTGTCGGCCTCATCTTCGTCATGCTGGCCCTCGGCACCCAGTTCGTCACCTCGACCTCGCCCCGGGACGGCAAGCAGACGGCCGAGTTCTACGCCTCGGCGAGCAACCAGGCCCTGCGCATGTTTTCCTACCTGAGCGCCGCCTCCCTCCGGTCCATCCAGGCCATGGTCTTGTGAGTTGTTCTTTTGTGCAGTTTCCAACTACTACATTTTTCTTTGTGGGGAGAAATTTCACAAAAAACAAAAAAAAAAAAAAGGAAAAGAGGGAGAGAGGGGAGCAAAAGGCTGATGAGACACACACACACACGCCAGGTTGACCTACTTCCTCATCAACGACAACCACGCGTCGGACGGTTGGGCGTTTGCGGGCATACTGATACGCCAAGCTTATGCCATGGGCTTGCATCGCGACCCCAACATCGGTAAAGAACACAAACCCCCCCAACCCGCCCCTCCCCCGGTTGCCGTTGTTGCTTCCGGGGAGGGGTGGACGGCGCTGGACGGCCTTTTTTTTGACTGACCAATGACGCTTTCCTGCCGTGTTAGTGACGCCCGAGGCAAGCATATTCGAGAAGCAGCAGCGGCGCAAGCTGTGGCAGGCGGTGCTCCTCCAGGACACGTTCCTCACGGTGCTCCTCTCGCTGCCGCCGTCGGCGACGCACACGGACGTGTCGGTGGAGGACCTGCTGGACGACGGGTCGGCGATCGCGTCGAGCGACCCGACGGACATCGCCTACATCCGCGGGTCGTGGACGCTGGCGAACCTGGTGCAGGAGACCATCTGCTCGGCGCGGTCGCTGGACCTGCCCATCTGCTCGACGCCGCGGCACAAGTCCAAGCTGCTGTCGGACTTCCGGGCCGTGTACCGGTCCTTCCCCGACATCTTCCGGTCGTGGGACGCCGAGAGCCTGACGGCGCTGGCGCGGACCAACAAGCGCGTCGTGCGGCAGACGCTGTTCCTGACGAGCAACTACCACCACAACATCATGCTCGTGCACGCCTCCGAGAGCCCCGACACGCCCGTCAACCTGCGCGGCACGCTCGAGGCCGCCCACGAGGCCATCACGTCCTTCTTCCTGCTCTTCAGCATCTTCGAGCTCGAGGCCCGCGTGTGGTGGGTGTTCAACCACCGCGCCTTCCTCGAGGCCCTGTGCATCGGCAGCGTCCTCCGCGAGGCGGCGCGGGAGAAGTCGACGGCGGACATGGCGGAGAGGGATCCGTTGTTTGTGAGGGGCAGAGGGGATATCGGTTAGTTTTTTTGCCCCCCCCTCCTTCCTTCTTCCTTTTCTTTCTTCTTCTTCTTTCTTCTTCCCCTTCTCCCTTTTTATCTTCACTCTCAGTCCCAAGGGCTTTGCTGACGGTGGCACAGCGCGCATGGTCCAGATCATGGAGTTGATGGGCGAGGGCGAGCAGGGGTCCGACGTGGCGCGGGCGAGGGTGCAGGTGTTGAAGGACCTGCTCTGATCCGCGGCCGGCTGGCCACGTTTGGGGACCGTCTTGATGTCGAGTGGAGAGGGGCGGGGAGGGATTCTGCCCCATGATTCAGGGACCGTGACGTTTTGAAGATCTTGCCTTGAATTCTATCATGGGGGGAGGGGGGGGGGGGGCAGGGACCCTCCTTCTATTCTTCGCCATCGATGCAGCCCTCTGACGGAGACGGATCGTGGCTTGGGCCCAGTCGGCATTTCGCGGCCGCGGCGGCAAAGTATACCCGTGGACGATGATATACCCCGACAAGCCCCCCCCATAACCGGTCGGGCATGGAGCGACATGAACAGCATATTAATTTAGAACCAAAAAGCCAAGTTCTCAAAGCGCAAGAGGTCGGTAGAGGGCCGTTTTGCCGAGGCCGTTTTGCCGCCTTTCCCCCCATCCAAATACAACGTGTGGTTCGAGGGAGCGTCTCTGCACGCACGAACCGCGACGTGACCCGTCCGGCCATGGCACCTCTGCGCCCCGTCTCTTCTTTGCTTCCTCTTTTCTCTCAATGTCTCGCCATTCGCCCTCCGTGAACCAAGCCTCGTTGATGGGGCCTCCGGCTCGGAAGAACCAGCTCGGATCGCGTTCCGATGCTTGGCCCGTTGACTCGGGGCAACCCCCGGCGAAGGAAGCGCTGTGCTGCATATGTCCGCGGCAGCAGTGGCAGCACGCACAGCAGAAGCAACCTAGTGTACTGCAGACAGGATGCGGCTGGGTTAGACAGGAGGAGGAAGGACGGCACGGCACTCTCTAGCCTTTCCGCATGAGCGGATTTGCCATTGGCCGTGTTGGAAGATGGATGACACACCACCGACACCAAAGCCCATCCCGGAAGCGGCCCTGCAGGGAAGACACGGCACAGCTGTGACTTACAAAAGTGGACGCGGCCTGAAAGGGAATTGCAATGTGGTAGGGGGGACTCGTAAGCTCGTCGGGCGTGATTGGTCAGAGGCGGCGTAGCCGGTGCGTAGTGCGCATAGTCGGCCCAGAGGATTGCGCAACCTCTTTGATGGAAATCTGGGATTCATTCCACACATGTACCGATTGTTGGTGTAGGTAATCCGTATACCACTGCGGGGAGGGCCTGCGCGTCCCCCCCAGCCCCAGCAGACACTGCCTCCCTCACTTACTATGTACTCTCTATTCCACTCTATCCTCTATCCCTTACACACGATCTCACTCGTTCTCAATCCTCTACAGGGAATCTTATCGCTCGTGTTTATTCCCACCCTCCCTTTCTTTCTCAATCTCACTTTTATCTCGTGTTTTTATTTTTTAGACTCCTCTCAAACTTTTATTACGAAAGTGTTGGGGAAAAAAAAGAAGAAAAAAGAGAAACCGGTCTTGTTCGTTATATCTTTCTCCGTGCCGCTTCGCTCCGTCTCATACCCTTCCTGTGACAGACCGGGGGAGGGGGGCTGATGTTGATGAAGAAGACGGCAGCGCGAGTCAACAAGCCGACGGTGTAAGACGACTAGACTCAAGCAGAGTCGCCGTTACGAAGACACGCAATCACACCAAACCCGTCCAATACACACACACTCTCTCTCTCACTCACACTCACACTCACACTCACACTCACTCACATACACACCACATATCTACTCCGTACACGTACCGGCTTCCAGGCAGCCACCCTATCCTCATCTCACTTACGTTTCGTCCCATCGTCGCCCGCAGCCGGGGACGTCTTGAGAAAAAGACCTGGTTTTCCCAGGCAGAGAAATCAATCCTCCATACGGACCTCATCAGCGGACTCGCCGCACCTCCATCGACTCCTGTTAACCTGTCTGCGAAAAAAAAAAAAAAAAGAGGAAAGGAAAAGGGGAGAACCTCGCCTTGTTTCTTCTTCTCTCGTCCTAGAGAGTGTTGTAAAGTCAGAACACCGGACCCCGTCTGCCCGTCATGCGCGGCCTCGCGCAGGCTCTGCTGCTCGCGCCCGCCGCCCTCGTGGGAGCCGCTCCCTCCAAGATTGCCGTGGAAAAGGCCCAAGGTACCATCTGCCCTTTCCCGCCGCTTCTCCCTTTCGCCAACTATTCGCGATAGCTAACACATAGACCCCAGCTGCCTCGCCCTCGACCTTCGTCACCTTTGATATCCCAGCCTTCAACGATGACCAGCCCACGCCCTACGTAAGTCTTCCTTTCGCCTCCCCCGCCTCCCCTCCCTCCCTGACCTGGCCTGCCTTTCCCTTTCCATCCTCAAGCGAGCCCGGTTAACGCCCGCCGCAGACCATCCGCCTCGATGTCCTCGAGGCCCCCGAGCCCTGCGCCTACCCGAGTGTAAAGGTCAACGAAAGCCCCCTCGGCGGCCAGACCCTCGGCCGCGCCACCTTCGCCGGCGGCCACGACGGCACCACCTTCGTCGCCTCCTGGTCCTCCACGTGCGAAGGCGACGAGCAGCTCCTCCGCTTCGCCCTCGAGTCCGTCGCCGGCAGCGCCCTCGCCACCGACGCCGCCTTCGTCGCCCGCTTCCGCCAGACCGCCCCGGCCGCCATCCTCGAGGTCGCCGGCAACGTCCGCCTCTCGGACCAGCCCAAGCCCATGCCCGAGTTCGACCGCCACGACCCCAGGCCCGGCGACGACGAGGACCGCCTGCTCGAGGAGCCGCCCTTCCCCCCGCCCCCTCACCACCGCGTCGGCGACCACCCGGACAACCACCCGGCCGACCACCGCGGCCCCGAGGAGCCCCCGCGCCACCGTCCCGCGCCGCCCCCCGGCCGTCACATGTCCCCCGAGGAGGAAGACCACGTCCGCGTCGAGCTGCACGAGCTGGACTGCCTCCGCCATCAGCTCTTCGCCCTCAAGCACGCTATCCACGCCAAGGAGTCCCACCTCGCCCGGGAGCACGGCATCCTCCCGCCGCACCGCCACCGCCGCCGCCCTTCCCGGGACTGCGACTCGTTCAGGTGCGTCTTCGAGACCTTTGTGCGCCATCTCCGCGTCAGGCTCCGCGGCGAGGGTAGCGGCAAGGGCCGTCATCACCGCCACCACCACCACCACCACCACCATAGCGCTCCCCCGGCCTCGTGCCCTGGCGTCCCGTTCCCCGGGCACGGAAATGGGAACCACACTCTCACACCCCCGCCTCCTCCTCCCGAGGGACCCCCCGAGGGGCCTCCTCCTCCCTTCCATGAGCCTCACCGCGGGCCTCCCGGACACCACGAAGGGCCTCCTCCGCCTCCCCCTCACCCCTTTGGCTGGCTGTTCCACGGCCCCCCTCCTCCACCTCACCCTCCTCATGGACACCCTCCTCCTCCTCCCCCAGGCTTCGACGGCCACGGCCTGCCCCTCGCCGTGAAGATAGCGGCCGCGACCCTCCTCGCCGTCGGCGTCCTCGCCCTCGTGCACGCCGCCGCCTCCCGCTGCTCCTCGCGCCGCGCGTCCCGCCGCGCCCGCCACCGCCGGGAAAAGGGGGCCTTCAAGGCCTCCCTGGCTGGCTTCTGGTCGCACGTGTCCGTCGCCGTCGCCGCCGCCGCCGACGACGACAACGACGACGAGGAGAAGCGCGCCTTTCTGTCCGGCATCAACGCCGGGAGCGTCCTCCCTCGCCGCTCCTCCATCTCGTCGGACGAGGACGAGGACGACGACGACGACTTCGAGACCACGGAGAGCATGACGTCCGAGATTACGCAGTTCCGCAACGCCGCGACGCTCGTCACGGAGATGGTCGCCGCCGAGGAGCGGAGGCAGAGGATGCGCGAGCAGCAGCAGCAACAGCAGCAACAGCCGAGGTGCTGCTCCCCTCGCCGCGAGTGCCCCGCTGCTGTCGCGGCCCCTCCCCGTCCGGCAGCCGCCTTCGCCGAGTACATGGACGACGACGTGCTCCCCGCGTACGACGAGCACGCCCCCTCGGTGGTCGTCTCGGACGGCTTCAGCAGCTACTCGCCCGGCTCGTCCGAGTACGTGCCCAGCGTGTCGTCGGACACGGCGTCCAATATTGACAGCGTCCTGGGAGACCCAAAGAACTGAGCATTGGGGTGGGAGGAGAACGGATGTGACGGGATGAGGTTAAAAGAGAGTCATATTGTAAATTTGTTTATGTTGTTTATATCCTAGCAGACATACCCAGCGCACATCGTATCCGTTTGTCCTTGGTCGTTGTTCACATGAGTACCTAATTGGGTGCTACTTGTAGACAGCACAAGGTTTAGCCATCATGTAGTTCAATGCGTCGAAGGTAGCAAACATCAGAACAAGGCCCCTCTGACCCCAGAACCTAGTTGGGATAGTAAAGAGGAGCACTTGGAACACTGGACCCGCACAATTAAACCGACCACTTTGAGCGTTTACCAATATGGATAAGTGAAGCGTAAGAATCGAGTCAGTGAGACCAGTTGTTGGCGTTACGGCACTGCGAGGAATGAAGAAGCTTACAAAGTTGCACGCTACTCTGATCGAGTCGTGTCAAAAACGTACGTTTGCAAGCCATTTCCTTGCTCTTTTCCTTTTTTTTTTTTTTTTCCTTCCGAAAATGGCCCAAAATTTAGCCCGAGGCTTTGTTAGAGTGAAAGGGCCCCCTAGTGATAGAATTGAACCGGATACCGGCACGGCGGGACGTAAACTGTTGGCTGTTGTTAGTGTCCGCTATCGTAAATGCGCATTCGCAGCCGGCCGTATCGTAGTGCTTTAGGGCTAGTCTCACAGTTTTCAACCAAAGATGAACTCCCGGTAGTTCCTCCCTATACGCTCGACACCCTCCTGGAGCTTCCAACCCTTGATCTCGCAGACCTTCCGGTACATCTCCTCCAGCCTGGCGTCCATCTCGTCGCCGGCAGTGTGCAGGTCGCTCTCTACCAATATGCTGTCGTCGGGACACGCTTGGATCACCTCGACAATCTTATCGGCCCCGGCCTTGGTCCCCAGGTTGATGGCCGAGGAGAAGGAGAAGAAGAGGCGGGCGGGAATAGCTGGGTTAGTGTACTGTTTCAACATCTCGGCAGGCCCAGAGTACGAGTGCAGGCAGATCCGAGGGGGATAAGGCCTCGGTGGCACGTCCTTTCGGCCAAAGTCGTCTTCCTCGAGCTCATCCTCCGTGTCAAAGTCTTCGGCTCCCTCGGCAACAAGACGCTTCTTTTTCCTGCTGACGACCTCCTTCTCGTGACCCTTCCACAGGGAAGAGAGGGTATCGTGGAGGACGCCATGGGCCTGTACACCGTGAACACTCACAGGGCGGCCTAGCTCGCCGGCGAGCGCCAGCTGAGCTTTCAACACGGCGACCTGGTGGGGCATCTTGACATGTTGAGGCGCCAGTCGACGCCCCTCGCGGCCACCTGGGGTAAGGGTCCGGTCACGAGAGGACTCATCAGCATCGGTCCTTCCTTGGGGCAGGCGAAAGGCCTTGTCGAGCCCGACCTCGCCGATTAGGGCAAGGGGATGGTCGCGGAGGCGGCGGCGCGTGTCGGCCAAAAAGGCGGACAAAGAACGCGGGGCGGGCAGCGCGTCGATAAAGTTGGGGTCCTCGGGGGCGGGGGCTAGGACGGCCTGGTAATGGCGCTTCTTGGCGTCGGGCTGGCCCTGAGGGTACGTCCTCTCAGGCTCGGGCACGGTGTCGTCAAATAACTGGTAGGAGAACCACGGATGCCAGCCAAAGGATGGGATCAGATGACCCTGAGACATTGCGTACTTTGTACGCACACCGTGGGACGCAGCAATCTCAGCGACGAGAGCCTGGTCCTGGCTCCGGGTGGCCATGACAGTTAGAGCAGATGCGCGCATGGCGGGAATGCTCTCGACGGTGGACATGGTATCCGTGGGGTGACAATGGGCATCGTAGATACCAGACTCCCAGGGAAAGGGATCCGCCGACGATGAGGCCGAAGTGACGGGGGCTGGGGACTCGAGGTTTTCATGTTCATGCTGGCGACACATGGCGGATGGTCGGTGCTCTCGTCCTGGAGCCGGAGCGTGCCGGGTTGAGCAGGACGGGAGGGACGGGAAAGACGGGGATCGTCGGGATCCAAAACCGCCAGAGAGCGAAATCAGTCTTAAAGCGGCTTGGCTATCGCTAGAGAAAACACTTCCTCACACGCTATCTCTCCTTCTCTCCCTCTCTCTCCCTCTCTCTCTCTCTCTCTGAGGATTGGAGGACGGTAAGATCTGAAGCACGAGGGACAGTGGTAAAAAGGGACTTGATCGCGCTGGGACGGTAGGTTACGAATTCGTCGGCTGGGGGATGCGAATACGACGACGGGTCTGGGCGTACATTGGGCGCAGTGCTGCTGGCGACGTCAGCGTGATGGTTCGAGAACGGAGCGGGTGGTGATGACGGACTGGGTCGAATGTATCCATAGATTGGCTAATGGAAGAGGGGGAAGTGGGAATGGCGACGAGAAGAAAGACTAACCACATAATCAAGGGTCGACGAGATGACTACCTACTCTGGCCTGGTCGAAGCATCTCGATTCCGAAGATGCAAAAGGATGCGCGATGATGATGCTGTGGCAGTGGACCAAAGCCGTACCAAAGGCAGGTCCGTCCAGATCGGGTAATTAGTGGGCCGATCGGGGAATGATGTCAAGAGGGGACGGACGTGGGCTGCGGAATGTACGGAGTAATGTTGGCGAACCGATGGGGACGGATGGGGAAGGAAGGAAGGAAGGGGAGAGGAGCACCTACCTTATCCACCATTAGGCACCTAGGTACTTACCTACCCAGGCAGATAGAGTAGGTACCCTCGATAATCTCACTCTTAGATGGAAAGAAAGATCTATCCACTCAACACAGCAAGGAGGTATAAGCAATACCGCTTCTCCTCGAGGTCCAGAGGGGAGAGCGAAAAAAAAAGAAGAAAAAAAAAAGAACAATAAAGAAGTAGAAAAAGAAGTGAAAGGAAGGAACGATGGGGAGGGGGGGAAAAAAAAGAGAGAGACACTCGAGACCCTTGCTGCGTCAAGCTCATGGTTCGCTCGCTCGATCCCTTCACAAGAACACTAATTAATGTCTTGCCAGTGCCATGCGGTCGTTGCTGCATGTCCCCCCCCCCCTCTCTCTCTGTCTTTTCCCTATCCATCAAACAAATCGCAGCTTAGCAACACCTCAGACATGCTTACCGTCACCTATTTTCAAGTGTCCATCGTACCGCAACCAGAGTCCACATCCCATGTTGCCGGCGCGCTTTCACACATCGTACATACGCCACTGCATAATTCCCGCCCTGGATGTACACAACACAGAACACAGACACCAACACTACACCTTGACGCCGTAGCCCGTTCACCAGCGAAACCCAAACTTGCGAATCGGGACGCCTGAACGCAGACGTTACCCAGCCAAGCGAGGGCTCCAAATCCTCGGCCAAGCCCACGTCCCATCTCCTGCCAGTTCTATCGATCCTAGGGCGGCCTCTAGGAAGGGCGACGCTCGGGAACCGGACGCACTACCGTGTGCCTCGACCCCATGGTGGCCTGCTCACTTTTGCCCATCGACGAGCTTCGTCGAGCCATGGGAGCTTTGGCTTCGGCTATGGCGATCGGTCTGCCTGCTGCTTCTGCCGTAGCGTCTGACTTTTGAGAGTGGTGCTGCCCGCGATGCCTCTGAAAGCATAGAGGACGGGAAATCTCGCACACCATGTTGCCATTCCACACACTGACAGCCCTCTCCCCAGACAACAACAACCCAATGGGGTCTGGAGAAGTGGACGCAACACACTGACGACCGAGACATCCCGCATGCACCCCAGCAACTTGTTAATCTGCCTGCATATCTAGGTTCGGCCTGTCCATGTACATCCCTGTCCCCAGAAACCTCAACATCTCTATCTACGTGTGCTATCTGTCCTGTTGATCGAGGGCCAACCCGGGGCGGCAGACTTAGATACGCTTCCAAGGCGGCCATGCGTCGCTTCCTCCAAGGCCAACCTCCTGTACCCTGTACCGAGGGTTTCGTCCTTGCTGTCCTGTCCGCCGTTGGCAACTTCGGACCAATCTTGATGCCTCCTTTCACCACTCCACCATTGACCGACTGACCTGCACACACACGCATACACACGTTGCCACCCTGCCATGTCTGGAAACAGCCTAGCCAACGGGGGAGGGCCAGGCTAACGCATCGCGCACATAACGTTACTTCCAGTGCGAAGAACGCAACACCCATCGCGCAGTGATGTGCTGGTTGGTCCATCCATCTACGGTCGTTGGTCGTCGTCGTCGTCCTTGCAAAGCCCTGACTGGCAGGCTTCTCTGCGCGGGGTTCCTCTCCCTTGCATTCGTCCCCAGACCTTTCCGCAAATTACGGGTCCCGTCCCGGCAAGGAAGATGTGGAGACAAAGCGAATGGTTTCGGACCGCTGTCGACTTGACTTCACCGAGAGCATAGGCATTAAGCTACGTATGCACTACCTATCTACTCTTTCGTCCTACCAGACGCAGATGTCGTTGCACTTGCATTCATCATCCTCATCAGAAGAGGCCCCACAGCAGCATGGACGAAACTGATAACAGGCCCAAATCGGCTCACCCACAGGCCACAGCAAAACCGTCCCCATCCCAAGTCCGGAGCGCCCACCCCCTCTTCTCTTTAGCCACCCTCGCCCAGCAGAGGCGCATTGTCTGGGCAATGGGCTGGCGATTGGAGAGGGCATGTATGTCTTCTTGGGGGTGCATAAGTCGCGACGCTGATTCACCCGGCCAAACTCTGTTTCCTGCTTTCCCCCCACCCACAACCGTTTCTGTCAGCCAGAAACACGTCGCTTTTCACATGGAAAGACACTTCGTCCAGGAACTACAAACTCTGTTCACCCCCGCCGCCGCCCGCTGTCTCGGCGGTATAATGATTTGCACCGCAGATATTGGACGGCCTGAAGTCTGCTTGAAATAACGACCCTTTGGGTGTCTTGGAGAGAGCGCACACAAGCCTGCGGGAAGATGCACGAGCGCTCGGCAAATCGCCATCCCCCCCCAGCCACTGGTAACGGGTGTAGTACTGGCTGGCTATAGACCCTGTAGCTTGTGATAATGCGGCCAGCCAGCTCGGCTTCTCCAGTTTTCTTCTCATACTACGGATAATGTAGGGTGACAATGCGTCGAACCCCTCCGACGTGACGGACAGGACAAGGGCGGCGGCGCTAGTGGGTCGCCGCTAGCCTCGGGCATGTGAAAGAGAGAAACAAAACCATCGACTGCAGGCTAGTCTGTCTACCCTACTCTCCGTCCGGTGCGGTTCAGACCCCCCCCCTCTCCTCTCCTCTCCTCCCACTCCCTCTCCCACTCCCACTCCAGCGCTGTCACTCGGTACACCACGAGCCAAAGGTTTGAAGGTTCGCTCCCGGCTCCCCTCCGTCTCATCCAATCCTCTCCAGCATGCCTCTCCCGTTCCACCACCACTGATATGCCTTCGGACTTTTGACTTCGGGGTGCCCCCCATCCCTTCTAGTTGCTTACCATTCCATTGTACAAAGTCGTCGCCAGCTGTCCGTCCATACTACCACACCTTTTTCTTCCCTCCTGCTTCTCTTTTTTCTCTGTGTGCTGGAAGATATCTGGGAAGTCGATATTGGGTTGGGTATTACTGCGGTATCGAACGATCGGACCACCGACCGAACGATTGTGAGCGCATCCTACGACTCAGGTCGCCGGGAACCACTCGTCACATCCGGAACCACGCCTGCTTCACCTCACCTCACCTCACCTCAAGAAGATAAATTGCGAACAATCCAACTCTTACGCCTCGAGCACGTCGGGGAGATGGTGTGAACTGACGTCTCTCCCGAGCAACCACCCAGCGCAATCCTCCCCCGCCGAGCAACCATTATTCCTGCACTGCGAACGCAACCATGGGCCTCATCAATCCCGTCTACGCCATTATCGTGCCCTTTCTCTTCCTCTTCACCGTCCCGCTTGCCATATTTGCCGGTATCACAACAACGCTAGCCTTTACAGTCCTCATCTTCCGGGTAATACTCGTCTATTTCGATCTCGCTCTGTCTCTCCTACCGTCGTACATCACTGGTCGTCCCCAGTACCTGTCGTATACATCCAAGTCTCCAACGTCCGGCAGCCCGTCGCCGTCCTTGACACCCACCCGCCGCTCGGGTTCGCGTCGCACAAGAAGGCCGTCCTCCGCATCCGCCGTCTCCGTCGGTACGATAACGCCTATTTCAGAGTCCGGTGGGCTGGGCCTTTTCCCTTCTGTCGGAATCGACCGCGATTATGAGGGTGTCGGCGGCTGGCGGCTAGGAAACGGTAATGACGACGAGCTGTGGATGACCATCAACTCGCGGCTCGAGCTGCCCGACCGCCAGTACCAACGGCACCACCACCGGAGCCCCAGCGGCGGGCCTACTACTCCCGGCGGAGGTGAGGGTTACCTCATGATGAAGGGCGGCCGTAACCGCAGCCCGGAAAGCAACCGGGGCGGTTTCACCACTATTGTTTCGCCAAACAGCTCTCGAGCGCGGACACCAACAAATTCCCACATTGCCTTTACGGCGCTTGATGGCGTTGATGGAGACTACTTCCCATCCATGTCGTCGCCAAAGACGGCGAGGAAAGTCGCCGTGGCATAAGAGACGCTTCCGATCATAATGAAGGCAAAAGCTGGCATGAATGGACGTGAAAAGGAAACAAAAAATCCGAGGAAGGCAAAAGGAGGGGAAAATCCAAAAAAGGTTTACATCTCAATGCCTCATCACGACAATTACCATGAAACGTGATTCCCGTCACAAGCGGGAAGCGGGGGCGGAGGGGGGAAGGGTGGGGTGGTGTAAGAGAGAGAGAGAGAGAGAGAGAGAGAGAGAGAGAGAAAAGAGTTGTTCAGGTATCTTTCCTATGTCAGTCGTGGCGTGGGAGATGGGAGAGTGTATGGATTGTTCCCTTTCCGAACCAGGCAATACGGAACATCATGTAGAATCTCAGGGCACACAATGACACGAACGGCCTGCGGCAAAGATGGGGGCATTAACATGCGACCAGGCTGGAAAGCCGGGCGCGACACGGATCGGTTATGGGAACTTAACAAGGCGTTTTGTTTTGGCTGTATCGCATCTCTTCCACAGTCCAAATGGACAATCAATTTAAAAGACGGTAAAAATGACGAACCCGCTTGGCCCCCGATTGCACTGTGATGATGACTGTGACTCGTGTAGCAGAATGGACGGTTCGCTTGATGAAGCGAATCAAATATTTTAGGTGAAGAAAATGAACAAGTGTCTCGTGTCTCGCAGACGTGGTATCCCATCATGACCCCTTTACCCAAACGCCATCGTTATCCCCAAATAAGACTACAATAAAAGCATAATCATGCACGGCACGCTGCCCCCCCTGTTTTCTTTTCCACACTCACACACACACACACTCTCTCTCTCTCTCTATCTCTCTCTATCTCCCTCTCTCATACACCGGCCTACAGCGTCTGCCAAAAGTAGTTTGCGTAAAAGAACTTTGAAAACTTCTTGTCCATGTTGACGACGTGGACGTCGCCCTTGCGGTCGTTGCGGACGACGGCACGGCTGAACTCGCCGTCGCGGCCGTCGCGCTCGATCTCGATGCCGAGGCTGCGGTAGACCTTGAGGCGGAGGAGGACCTCGTCGTCGACGGGGTCGCGGCGGCGGGCCTGGTCGTCGGCGGAGCCGTCGAGCCCCTGGATTTCGAGCTCCTGCAGCCGCGCGGCGAGGTCGGCGGCCTGCTGGGCGAGCCGCTCGGCCTCCATCTCGGCGTCCGAGGCGGCCTTGGCGGTGCGGAACTTCGTCGTGTCGAGGCGGGCGATCTCGGATGCGTGCGCCGTCGACGAGTGCTGCGACGTGAGCTCGGCGTGCTGGGACGACATCGTGTTGAGCTGGCGCGAGAGTTCTGGAGAGAGTTCTTGTCAGCTCTTGCAAGTTAGGTTTGCTTTGCTTCCCCCCTCCTCGCTCCTCTCCCCCCTTTCCTGATTCACAGGGAGCTTTGGCAGAAAACTGCCTCCGCATTGCGTGTCCGAGGCTGTTGGAAGGGAGGAGAGAAGGGGACGGGTCGGGTCGAAGGGTGGGACGTACTCTTGAGTGCATTTTCGGCCTCGCGGAGGCGCAGCTCGCGGGCCTGCTGGAGGGTCGAGAGGGACTCATTGATGCGCGCGACGGCCTGCTTGTCCGGTTGGATGTTGAAGTTGTCGATTGTGTGGCGGATGAGCTGTGAGTGCGTCGCGAGGTCATCGTCAGCGTCGAACCCCCTCCAAAGCGGTGACAATCAAAACACTCCGAGGTTAACGTACCGTCGCGGGCTCCTCTGCTAGAAGCATCTTGGCTGATTTCCCTTTTTCGGTGTCGTTGTAGGAGAGTTTGGGTCTTTTTTGTTTTCACGGTGGAGCTCGCCGGTCGGTTGCGTCGGTTCGTTGGAGTCGAGTCGTGTCTCTTTTGTAAATTCGCGAGAAGTCTTGGTTTGATTTGACTTGTGGTGTAGGATGGGACCAGAAACATCGGGAAAAGAGCCATTGGCCCCCCCCCCCCAAACCGGACGCGGAACCAAACAAAAAGCTGCTTATCGGGTGGGGGTGCCACCCGCTGTCACCGGGACGACAATCGGCTGACTACACTAGATATAGGTGCCTTGTCTTACCTAAACACCCCCCCTGCGGATTCGCTGTCATTCAGCAGCCCGCGGAACCGCGGGACCCACCCCAGCCAGGCGCGTGTGCGCCTGTACACTCGTCATCCGCCACCCTACAGAGATCTTCAAATGTCAGAGCTTCAGCCACTTCGCCTCTTGCCCATTTACATAGGTTGCGCAGCCCGCCTTTTCCGCCTCTTGACATCCAGGCTACAACCGACGACGAACCCGACCACAAACGACGAGAGATTCAACCGTGCTTGTGACTGGACATTCAAAATAGACCAGAAACGAAAAAGATATCTATTTCCATAGCGAGGAAGCGAAGAAAGAAAGGAAACCAGCATTCTACACTCGGACTAGAAGAATCTCAACCGCAAAAATGGTCGATCTGCCTTGTAAGTCCACCACCATTACCACCACCACCACCCCCTCCCCATTCCAAACCGGCCTCGCAGCGTGGGAGGCCGATGGAACGACGGACAGCCAAAGTCGCTGACTTTACACCGACACAGACGCCCTCGACGCGGAAACGTACGTGCAAGACCCTCCCCCACCGCGATCATATCATGTAGTTCGACTAACGCCTCGCCCGCAGGCCACTCAAGGCATCCGAGCTCCAGGTCCTCCGCGCCCAGTATGAGAAGGAAGGGGACATGGTCGGTGTGCAAACCAAGTTCAACTACGCATGGGTACGAACAAAGTCCTCCTCCCCCCTCCCCACCTCCTCCCACAAAACTTCCCTCCCCCCACACGCCGTGACGGAAACCCCGAGCTGGCACACTGGCTAACTCCTTTCAACCCCGGAACCAGGGCCTCGTGAAATCAGAATCCCGCAACGACCAGCAGCTCGGCGTCCGCCTGCTGTCCGAGATCTTCCGCGTCTCCCCGGAGCGCCGCCGCGAGTGCCTCTACTACCTCGCCCTCGGCAACTACAAGCTCGGCAACTACGCCGAGGCCCGCCGCTACAACGACCTGCTCCTCGAGAAGGAGCCCGCGAACCTGCAGGCCTCGAACCTGCGCCAGCTCGTCGACGACAAGGTCGCCAAGGAGGGCCTGATGGGCGTCGCCATCATCAGCGGCGTCGCCGTCGCCGCCGGCGTCGTGGGCGCCTTTCTGATGCGCAACGTCAAGAAGAGGTGAAGAGGGTTTTCCGTCCTGAGTCGCCATGGTTCTGGGAACTTTGTCAAGAGGCGGGGTGGGGCGCGGGGAGCGGATTCCTGGAGTCTCGCCGGCAAAGAGGGTGTGTGTGTGTGTGAGAGAGAGGAAGAGAGAGAGAGGAGCAGTGGATACGGACGATGCAGATCAACGAAAAGGAGCGAGAGGCAACGAGGAAAGAAGGGGGTTTTGGTATGTTGCGACGTGCACTTGATAAGCAACCCCCTCTTCTCCCCTTCATCCTCTTCGGTAATGTGTATTTGTATGTGGAGACATGGAAACGGGCTTCTTCGGTGTAATAGGCGTATACACAACTCTGTTCTACCTACCTACCTACCGTCAGGTCCGTCATCCCATAAACCTCTCCGCTCCGGTTGCAGTGCCCGTCTGCTGCAAAACCGCTGTTTCGCCTCTTTCCCAAGATCGGAGAGGGTTTGATGCATGTTAAAATAAGATGCCGGATCCAAGCTATCAACATGGGTCCGGAGTATCACGGCTAGACATATCACTTCGATAAACTACCATGGCTCATGCCCTGCTTGCGATATGGGGTAGTATCCTGTCCAGCCTTGGTCATCATTGGCTGAGGAATGCCCAGCTGCTTTTCTGTGTGACTGACTGTCTTGTTATCTACACAACGCACGTCCCGTGTTCGTGGTATAATGTGCCCGAACGTGGACTGCGTGAAGGAGAATACCCTTGTGAGGCCAATGCTAAACGCCATCAAACCCTCTTCGTAATTCGTTACTTGCCTGCCGCCCGCCGGCCCGACAGCTTCATCCGCAAGACACCTCCCAACTGTGTGCGCGATCCGCCACAAAATCAGTATAAGACCCACTTCAACAGGACTAAGGTCTCCGCCGCTCTCGTGTGTTGCTGCTGCTGTTGTCGCCTGAACCAGATCCTCGGGAGAACTGGTTTCTCAGCCAGTTCAACGGACCGTGGTTTGACCCCGCGTCCTGGTTGTTGTCGCGATCTCTGTCCCAGTTACCGGACGACGGGCTCCGTTGCCTAGTTCGGAACGAATCTGACTGGCGCCGGCGAAGGCTTGAGGGCGAGTGTGAGTCCCGTCGGGAGCGAAAGCTGGAGGATCGGGCGTCTTCGTGGAGACGCGAGGGCAGATCCGTGCTGTGAGGGCCCTCTCTGCTTGTGCTGGAACCTCCGTAGATAGGAAAGGGTACGCCCCAGTCAGTTATAGGGGATCTCTGGGGCCGCGTGGAATCCTCGGGGACTGGCGGTGCCTGCTGAAAGAATGAAGGGCGGGGAGGATAGGCTGTTGCTCCCCAATGACCAGGGATTCCAGGAGGCGCGTCGCCCCAATCAAAGGGGTGGTGTGAGCTGTCTGATGAGCCAGACGCCGCAGTGTGCGCACGTTGAGAAGCATTGGCGTTCGAACCGTTGTTTGAACCGCTTGCATTGGCATTGGCATTGTTCCTGTTGCCGCCGCTGCTGTTGCTGGGCTCCTCGATAGGAGTGCGGCAGATCGGGCACGTGTTGTGCTCCTTCAACCACATGACGACGCACTGGTCATGGAACCAGTGTTTGCAGGGCAGCACCGTGGCTTCGTCGCCCTCGTTGAAATCGTCGATGCAAATGGTACATTCAGTCTTGCCATCGGGGCCCAGCATCTCCTTGTCCACCATTTTGCGTTGCAGTTTGCTGAGCGCGTCTTCAGTTGCCGGGGGAGCCGAGTTGTTCTGCGGGTTTTGCTCCATCAACTGAGAAATGATGCGGTCCAGGGCCTCTTGGGTATATACGGCGTCACCGTGCGAGGCGTTGGCCGGGTTGAGCATGTTGAGAATCTCGTGAAGAAGCGTAGGCCCTCCACCAGGTGCCCGCTGGCCTTGACCAGGACCTTGCATACCTTCACTTTGGGGCGGCCCTGCTCCGGCCAGGACGCTGCTGAAGATACTGGGAAGCTGGTTAGCGTTCGCGCCGATGGAAACCACCGTGATTCGAGGTCCAGATGGTGGCTGGGCGCGGGGGCTGAAGCGGACGTACGACTGAAACGGATCGCTTCCAGGTCCAACAGGGGAGTGACCGCCTCCTTGATGAAAGTGGATGGGACCGGTAGCGATCGTGAAGCTTGTGGTGCCTCCAGGGCCTGCTCTGTGGTAGGTGCGAACGTTGCCCTGGCCGCCAAAGAGAATACCACCAATTCCAGGGGGGCGAGTTTCTTCGGGCGGCGGGCGTGGTGGGGGCATTCCCATGCCAAATTCGTTGACCATGTCAATGAAACGCCGGATGATCTGGTCGCCATCATTCGCATCTGCGGGCTGGCGTGTGTTCGGGTCTGGGCTCTGTCCCGGCCGATGGGAATTGTCCCATATTGTTCGGTGAACGACAAAGCCACCAGGACCACGGTGCAGCTGCTCTTCTATGTCGGCCTCCTCGGGATCAGAGTCGTTATCATATCTGCCTACATGACCCGGAGAGCCGTGAAGCGGGGGACCGTCTTCGATTTCCCTGGGATCGTTGTCGGGAGAGACCTGGGCCGTTGTTAGCCTGCATGGAGAGTTTTTGTGATGCGGGGTGGTACAACGTACAATCTCTGTGATTTCGCTTTCGCAGCGAGGGCACTGCAGACCATGCTCGTCTTCCCACCACTCGTGTGAGCAGGCATGGCAGAAGACAACCTCCCGGCCAGCCGTAGCATCCAGGTGTCCGCCTCTGGTGTTGTGGGATTCCATCTCGGCCTGGTTGCGCTGGTAGGCTGCTAGGGCGGTGAGTCCAAGGCCTACAGCGAGGCCGGCGGCGCGAAGTGCTCGGAACGCCAGTCTGAATGATGTGCTGGGGTTAAGCTAGGTGGCGGTAGCTATTGGATGATGTCGCGCTGTAGCGAAATGGCGGACGCTCGAGATGCTCTGGCGTCGGTAGCCCGATACGTTGTAATGTCGATGACTGCAGTGATGGATACCCTCTCCTTTCAGAGGATGACGCCCGACAGCTGCTGCCGGCAGAAAAGAAAAGTGGCTGTTGAGGATCGACGGTTCGTTATCGGCGGAGAGCGGGCGGAAGGTGCGGTACGAAAGTCTAGTGTGAATTAGGTAGGTAGGTAGGTAGGTATGTAAGGCGAGGAATGCTGAGGTGGAAAGCCTGGGGTGGCCACAAATGTCAGTAACCACCGTCTACGTTCAAAATGTACGCGAGGCACAGCCAATAAAATGGATGGGATGCTGCCTTTGCGTGTCCTCTGTGTCTGTGTTCGGTGTGTATTCCGTGACGGCAACAGTCACTTGCTTGCGCAACGAGCCTGAAGGTCACTATAGACGTACCTGAGCTAAGCCATGTACTGTGGATGGAGAAGGTGCATATCTCCAACAAGTGCAACGAAAGCAAAGAAGTCGATCGCTGATGCGGAGTAGGAATGGAAAGCGGATAGGAAGAGGGGAGGGTGGCAACGTGTCGGGATAGATAGAGAAAGCTTGCTATTAAAGGCGATGCAGATTACCAAACGAAAAGCAGAAGCGCACACGTTACGGTGTCGTGCTGGGGGGGAGGGGAGCCATGTGGGTGATGTGAGGAACAGGTAGGTACGGATAGATAGGTATCTTTTTCTCGGCGACCGACCGGAATGCATGACGTTCTTCGTGGGGAGCATTAATCGGCGGTCGGCCTTAGTCATCTTACGCCCAAAGGGGAGGGACAGCTGGAATCGCGGCCACGGCATTTGAGGTTCGTGTCTCCACTTATGAGCACCTATCCCCTTCCACGAGCTTCGGTGTGGCGGTGCGCCACCTCTCACAATCAGCTCTAAAAGTGTGGCTTGGATTGGCTGATTTGATAGCTTGGTAGCTTTTGACTCATGATTCGTTCCACACGAAGTTTGCTATCCTCTCCTTGTTCGACCGACTCAAAAAGGACCAACGTGTGGAGCCAGAGGACAGGTAACTTGTAGTCCCAGACTGTCAAACGAGTCTACAGACAAGCTGATATTGCCCCCCCCCCTGTCAACCCGAGAGTACCGTGCACGATAACAGCGATATACCTCATATCCTAAAGGCTGTAGTTATATCCTAAAGGCTGTAGTTATATCCTAAAGGCTGTAGTTATATCCTAAAGGCTGCAGGCTCAAATCCAGTTCAAGTCCAGTTTTTAGCTTTTTTTTAATTCCAAAACGGCTCCGCCAGGGAGGTTTGGAATGGTACTAACCCACCCTGCTTCCTACGCTGTGCTCTGGGTCGGGATAGGCCAAGACCATCCCTTTTGCCTCTATTTTTCTTATTGAGATAGTTGTGTTATCACTAACTCCACTGTCTGCTGAGCTTTATTGCTGTTATTGTGCACAGTACTCTCGGGTTGACAGGGGGGGGGACAATATCAGCTTGTCTGATCACTCCTGTGAAACCTCTCGGGGTAATGGGTTGGCGATATGGCTCAATCTCTTAGCCATAAGCGTGAGGTTGTCATGCCGTTGTCGGCACCTCCTTACCCACGGGCCGGGCGTGCAACTAGCTCTGAGTCGGGCGACGAATTTTGCAATTCGGGTTTCTTATCGCCATGGTTATTGCTTTGTCATGGTGTCCCGCCAGCTGTTTCCAAGACTTCCACTCCCTAGGAGCAGTCCCGACTGGATGCCCGCGGGACAATCTGCTCCATCAGATCTACGACCTCGTTCATTTTCGATCTGATCGCCAGTTCTCGGCTAGTCAGTAGGGCATCCCTCATATCCGGATTGGCCCCGGCTTCGACCAGCAACTTGGCCGCCTCCGTGTTTCTCCTCCAGATTGCCACGAACAGTGGCGGGGAAGAGTACCGCCCACCTCGTTTGTTGACATCAACCTTGTATTCGGGTCTCAGTATCAACTGTAGAACGGACGTCATATTGAAAGACGCCGCGTAATAGACCGGCTCCGTTTCGCGAATGACGGGGATGTCGGTTGAGTCTAGGAGACACTGCACCCACGTCTCGAAGGGGCCACCGTGCTTGAGCTTCTTGGTTTCGAAGAAGCCGAGGATGAGGCGCTCGTCATGGCTGGACAACGAGAACCCCTCTGAGTGGATCGGCCACAAGAAGGTGGCGTATCTGAGCAGCGGGTACTCATAGAAGCGGTCGTTGATTTGCTCCATCTTTTTGACTGGACCCGAAGAGAAGGGCTCGAGATGAAGGTAGGAGAGACACTTGCGCATAATTCTGCGATGCGACTCCGCAGCGTCCAAGGCAAAGTCTGAGGCAATGGAGGTCCGGATCCAGTCTGACTGCAAAAAGGTGCGGATGGAGTCGTGGGCAAGGGTGACGGAGTGGCCATTCGCGTGCGCTAACCCCTGGCATATTTCGAGTATGATGGCCGGGTCGGTCAGCCTGCTGTCGCCATCAATATCGACGTCACCCTCCTCGAGGACGACTGCCTCGGCGAGCTCGGCGAGACGCAGGGGCCAGAGGGAGAAGCAAAGCCACATGAGCGCCTCGCGGGCTATGGCCCGGTCTTGGTCCGGGATCCGGGCGAGGATGCCGGCGTAGAACCCATTGAGGGTGGAAGGTACGTCTGCCATTGCTCTTCGGACGTCTCGTCCGGTACGGAGCGTGCTGAGTCTGTCCATGCACATTTTTGCCCAACGGAAACTAACGTCATGTCAGTAGCGAACGATCACAAGGAACTCGCGAGAAACACCTACGTTCCATCGGCATCTGACACGACCTTCCTCTTGATTTCGGCCCTGATGTTGTGACTTAAAGACTGGAAACCATGCTCGGTAGCAAGCCTGTTTTCCACATAAAGGTCAATGTCGAAATCAATGGCGTTGTTGTTCATGTGCCTAACAAATATCCTCGAGTCATCTTCTAGGGGCTCTCTTGTACAAGTAAGCAAAACGCGGAGGTTAGGGTGCTTGCCGCACAGGGTCAGCAGTGTTCGGACGATCAGCGGCTCATGGCTCGTTTCATTGAGTGCATCGACCATGAGATAAAAGACATGGAAATGGCTGAGGGCTTCGCGCATGACATCAAAGATCTGATGAACAGTCAAGTTGTTTTGAGGAATCAGCGTACTTCCAGACGTTCTCAGCGGCCGAACGTAGTCCAGAATTTCAGGCGTCGTCGCCGCTATTTGGGCCAGAATGGATCCGAAGACGTTTGGGACGGCCTGAGAGGCTGCATCGTCCAGGGAACAACAGTGAAAGCCTACGCCAATACTGGCAGTCTTGGCTGAGGGATCGGCACTGGGTCGTTTCCGGAGCTCGTCAACGAGATGGGAACTATGTAGAGCCTGTAAGCGCGAGGCACACAGAAGACGTTGGAATGGGGGCTCCTCTTACAACAAAACCGTTTTACCCGAGCCCGCTGGCGCCTGTTAGCTCATCTGCCAAGCCGGCTTCTCACCACCGCGATGAACGGCGGGACACGGGTCAGGGCTGAGTGGACTGGAGTACTTACACCGCCCGGTTATCCAGAAGATTGGCTGTTGCGTTGGGCCGTCCTTCTGCCATGCTAGATAGCTGCGGTCGCGAATCCAATTTCCGGTTCCCGGCGCACGGTCTTGCCTGGAGCCGGCTAGCTTGTCCTCACTACTGACGGGTGACAGCCACTTGAGCAGGTCGGCCGTCTCTTGGAGCATTCGGTCGGTGTTGCGAGTGATAATTTCCTCGTGGATGAGGGCGGTGAGTTTCTGCATCTCGACCAAGACCGAGGAAGTGGCATCTAGCGAGTCTCGCATGAGCACCATGATGAACCAGGCCTTGGCTCTCTCCAGGGTTACAAGATATTTGTCAACACCGCCGGCACGGAAAGGCCAAGCTAGGCTCTGGACGGCGCGGCCAACGGAGGAAGCCTTAGGAGTGCCCAGCTTCTGCTGCACGGCATCAATAGTCTCCTTGGCCATGGTAAGCATGGAGTGGGCCTGTTCCTGCAGCGGACCGTCGACGTTCTTCTTGTTCTGAGCATCAAAGTATTCCATCGCGCCCTTGAGGGCAAGCAGCTCTTGGGTGAGCTTGCGAATGTCATCCTTGGCGCTTCTGACGGCGGAGACGTAGACACAGAGACGCTCGACGACCTCGGTGATACAGAGGGCGACCTCTAGAACGGTCAGAACCTCAGCCATTGGATTGTTTTGCAACACCAGCGGCTAGCAGCTCCGACTTGCTCCAACTTTATTTTTATCTGTCTCTAGGTGTGTGGTAGGTAGGTATGAAGCACGTCTCAGTGTCGGATGTTGGTGGCAGTGGCCAAAGCTTCAAAGCAACACCTGCTCTCTTGACTTTTCCAGACCAGAACACACTATGGGAGGGCAAAAACCGAGGTCTTTCGAAATACGGTGAGGTCAGAGACGAAGACTCGGAAAGTGCTTCCTTGGCCCAACGGTCGACGGGGTGACGGAACAATAGATGGCGGTTCAAGGCGCAGTTGCGGATTGTTGCATGTTGATGGGTAAGGCGTCGAGAAGGGAGGAGTGAAGCGAGGTGCGGGGGAGGGGAACCTGGAAATGGGAATCTGGTCGGAGTTGCCAGGGGGGGGGGATGGTTCGTCGGGAGGAGATGGCCCGTGCATCGGCTGGCGATACCTTAAATCTTGAGCCATCAATGATCATGCATCGAGGTACGTACTGAGTACACGATATATAGAATAAGTATCTATCCAGCTTACCTACATAAATACATAGTACATATATGTAGCACATTGTACATCAACTACCTGCCTGCCTACTACCAGAGTATTACATACAAAACATACTGGATACAGGAGTACTGGGGAGACTGACTCTGTGGACAAGCGACAACCTCGGTGGCACACAAATGTGGCGAGGCTCTTTCTTGCCCATGGCAGCCGTGTTGTGTAGGTGTATTAGTAGACAGCCTAGAATACCTACTGCCTTGGGTAGGTACCTATTCAGCGAGGTTAACTCGTCGACTCGTTACGGACACAAAGTACTAGTTAGGTAGGTACCGTGCATCACGACAAGGTTGCTTCTTCGCACCAGCCTTCATACCCGGGTTGCATCAAATCATTAATTTCAAGCCAAGCCATCGCGAACCCTTTGCGTACCCAGATAACTTACCTAGCCTGCCTTGTCTCTGCCTGACTGCCGTCCTTCCTCTCACGCAAACGCCGCTTTGGCCAAGAACCGTCCCTTGTCTTGTACCTTACGCAACTTATTCAAGTATCCCTAACAGCGCATGCAATACCCGGAAAGGCATCCCATCAGTATCACTGTCCCCCCCAAAAGGACTTGCAAGTGTTCATTCTTCGTCTCGGGCTCCCAGTCGATTTGTCTCATTCGGCTTATCTCCCTTCATGAGACCATATGTTCTGATGCTTTCTTTTTCCATGCAGCACGTTTCTCAAGGCGGGTTTTACTAATTTTGCCATCTGCCGTCATATATACGTAAAATCACCCAGCCATTGTCGAATCAGCAGCGGCCTATTGGTCAACTTTGCTAGCATTGTCCATCTCCCTCTCTCCATCGCATCGCCATCAAACGTTGGCGCCAGCACGCTGCACCCCTGCGCGCCCAATCGCCGCCCGCGTCTTTATCTCGACGACAGGGTAGTGTGCTCTGCTCTCATCGACAAGGTGACCCGAGGGAAGTTTATTGTGAGACAGACGCCCGCAGCAAATGCTGTACAATTTCCCTCCCTCCCCCCCGCCTCCCCGTTTGCTTCTCACCCTGTCATCCGTTCTAGTCTGGTGGTCTATTCTCGTCTGGGCCCCTCATCGGCAACGCGGGGTATCGTCGCTTCGCTTGCCCTCCCGCTTCCACACTCTCACGCACGCACACTGTGGTAGGTAGACCTCTTGTGTGCGTCTAACCCCGCGGGGCGCGCGCCTGTCCTTCGCCCTGCCGCCGGCGTCCACTCCGTTCGCCCCTCCCCCCAAGGATCCTGTACCCATCCGCAGATTCCCACATCTCCGCGAACCGCGCCCAGACTGAGCCCAGCATCTCCGGTTTCCCCCTCCAATTTTTTCGTCTTTTTCGGTAGGTCGACAGGAAACAGAAACGGGGAGCAACAGGAAAAGAGGCTTTTGTCTTGTTTCATTATGGATGACCAGGATCTGTCCACCTCCGTCGGCTCACTCACTCACCCTCCCGAAAACCCTTCTTCCTCTTCTTCCTCTGCACCACCCTCCAACGGCAAGAAGAAGTCGTCGCGGAGACGCGGCGACTCGGCGTCACAAAAGCGACGCTGTGTATCCACAGCCTGCATCGCCTGCCGCCGGAGGAAATCAAAATGCAATGGCGCCATGCCCAGCTGCGCCGCCTGCACCAGCGTCTACGGCACCGAGTGCGTCTATGATCCGAACTCGGACCACCGCCGGAAGGGCGTCTACCGGGAAAAGATTGACAGTATGAAGGCCCGGAACTCGACCCTGCAGATCCTCATCGAGGCCATTCTCAACGCCAACGAAGACGAGGTCCCTGACATCGTCAAGAGGATCCGCACCTGTGACAGTCTCGACACCGTCGCTGAGCAGATCCTCAAGCATGAGACCATGCTCCAGGAGGCCGACGACAACGACAATGGCGACGACGACTACACCGACGACATGCCTATTGAGGGCGAGAGGGAGCTCGCCCGCAAAATGGGCGAATTGCGCCTCGAGAACGGCTCAGTACGCTTCATTGGCGGCACCTCGCACCTCATCTACCTCGGCGACCCCGCCGACGCCGACATCAACGAGCCAGAGTCGGACGCCAACCTCGCCGACGAGGACCCCATCACCAGTTGGACCCGCGTCACCGATGACAAGGAGCTCATCGCTCACCTCATGAACATGTACTTCAACTGGCACTACACCTATTTTACCACACTATCCAAGACGCTATTCTACCGCGACTTCTTGGGAGGGAAGCACAACTTGCAACACAGGCGCACCATATACTGCTCGTCGCTACTCGTCAACGCCATGCTGGCACTCGGATGTCACTTCACGAGCGTGCCTGGGGCCTTCGGCACCCCTGGCGACAGTCGGACCAAGGGCGACCATTTCTTCGCCGAGGCGAAGCGCCTCATCGTCGAAAACGACGAGTACGAGCGACCCCGTCTCACCACAGTCCAGGCCCTCGCCCTCATGTCCGTCCGCGAGGCCGGCTGCGGCCGTGAGGCCAAGGGCTGGGTGTACTCGGGCATGGCCTTCCGCATGGCCCAGGACATTGGTCTCAACTTTGACGACGGGGGTATGTCCCCGGACAAGGAGAACCTCGGCGAGCACGCCGTCGACGCGAGGCGCGTGACCTTTTGGGGCTGCTTCCTCTTCGATAAGGCATGGTCCAATTATCTCGGTAGGCTGCCGCAGATACCCAAGAACTCGTACAACGTGCCAAAGTACGATGTCTTCCCCGGCGAGGATGCCGAGCTGTGGGCGCCGTACACAGACGCGGGCTTCGACCAGACATCAAAACAGCCGTCGAGGACGCGCGCCATCGGGCTGCAGCTGTCCAAGCTATGCGAGATCAGTAGTGACCTGCTATTGTTTTTCTACCATCCAAATCACATCGGACGCTCAAGCGGCAAGTCCGTCGAGCTGAAGAAGCTCAGCGAGCTGCACAGGAGACTGGAGGATTGGCGAAAGGAGCTACCAAAGGAGCTGGAACCAAAGGATGGCCAACTGCCCAATGTGATCCTCGTACAGTGAGTATCACTCATGGTGCTCGTGTGAACTTGTCCCCGGCTGATTGGCTCATAGCATGTTCTTCCATCTTCAATACATCCACCTCTTCCGCCCCTTCCTGAAATACACCCCTGCCGCATCCCCACTCCCCTCACATGTCTCGCCTCGACGCATCTGCACCGCCAACGCGGGCGCCATTTCCAAGCTGATGCGCCTCTACAAGAAGACGTGGAACCTGCGGCAGATCTGCAACATCGCCGTCTACATGATCCACAGCGCCTGCACCATTCACATGCTCAACCTGCCCGAGAAGACGGCCAAGCGCGACATCATCCACGGCGTGAAGCACCTCGAGGAGATCGCCGAGGACTGGCTCTGCGCACGCCGCACGCTGAGCATCATCAGCGTCCTCGCGCGGAAGTGGAACGTCGAGCTTCCCGAGGAGGCCTCGGCCGTGCTGCAGAGAACAGATGAGAAGTATGGCACCTTTAGCACGTCCGACGTGCCATCACCGTATTCTCACGTGACGATGTCGCCCTCACCGCCGCAGCAGCAGCCTGTTTCGCCGGGGACAGAAGCACGGAAGTACGGGGACCAGTATACCCCTCTGAACCAGTTCGCCCAACCGCACGCGGGCGACGCGGGCGCGACGCCGAGCCAGACAGACTTGCTCATGGCAAGCGCTTCGGTGGGGGAGATCAGCGGTACGAGGCCGCCGTCGTCGCGGCAGCTCCTCGGGGGCGGTGGCAGCGTGGGACAGAGTTCGCTCGGCGGGTGGGCGCAGGCGGGGCCGGCGCAGTCGATCCCAACGTATCAACAGCAGCAACGATACAACGCAATGAGCGGAACCCCGCAAAACAACCTCACGCCGTCAGGAAGCAGCCGCTCCGGCGTGTCGAACGGACGGCATATCGCACCCGTCCAGGTCTTCCAGGGACTCGACCAGGACTGGTTCCTCAACGACGGCGCAAAGTGGCACCAAAACTTTGAAGCGTGGAACATGGCCACGTCCGTTTGTGGGCCCGGGTCGGTAATGCGGACGGGCGCCGGGGACCAGGTATTTATGTTTTCCGGCGGCGGTGGCGGGGCGGGAAGCGGTGGCCAGGGGATATCGCAGGCGCAAAGGCAGTCGTCCGAGGATCAACTGAGTCCCAGCTTCGAGGGGCTGAGCTCGTTGAACACCAACGGTTGGCTTCCGGGTCTGGATTGAGGGCAGGAGGAACGGCCTCACTTGCTTCACTTACGATACCTTGGCGCTCCGAGGGGGTAAGAGGGGTGACGCTGGCGGCGCGTTATTTTACGAGCGATTGGCTTAGGGGGCACACCTGGCTTCCATTTTTATCTATTTTTCCCGGCGGTATATACCGTACGCTCTGCACAGGACAGAAAGGAGTGTGATGGAATCCCCTTCCACTTAACCAGATATGAGTAACCTTTTGGGCGGATACCATGCAGTCTGTCTGAATACCCGGCCAGAACGAGAGAGAGAGAGAAAGAAAACGAGAGAAAGGAGGAAGAAACATACCACTGTCGAACATCACTGACGGCTCACTACACACGTGTGCACCACACACCAAGAAGAGATAAAAAAAGAGAGCAGTGGGAGCGTAAAGGTGACACATGGCCGACTCTCGATGGACATGGGATCTGATCTCTGTTGGTCTACTTCCTCGTCAGACAAAACGTCACTTATGTACAGGAATTCAATAAAGTAAAATAACCACATTCCATCCCATCCTTTCCATCAAATCGTGGATTCGTCCTCGCCCCCATTTTCCTATCCGTCGCCTCTCCCCCCCCTCCCAGCCCCTCGTACAACACCAAAAGAGTCCAATATTGACAAGAAAAACCCAAATCTTCCCCCTTCCCTTCATTTCCGGAAGAAAAAACAAAAACAAAAACAAACCCAAGGTATATATAAACCCACCACATACAAGCCATGATATGAATTCCAAAGAAGAACAACTCTTCTTCCTTTCCACCCGAACCCCCAAACGGTCTGTCTTCTACCCATCACTCACCTCCGTCTCTCGTGGCTCAGTAGGGCCCGCCTCGTAAGAGGATATGATGAGCCAACCCCCTCCCCCCCCCCCCCCTTCCCTTCCTTTGTGTATCCGTACCATGTCCCTTGTCGTTCTTTGATAAACGTCTTTTTTTTTTTCTCTCTCTTCTAAGTGCCAATCGCGCGCCTGTATGATCGCCACAATGCCTGGAGGGGGGGAGGGGGGAGGCTTCACGCCGGGCCTCCCTTGGCTCATAGGGCCAGCCCGGTGCCGTCGCCGGTCCAGCGGTACAGAGCAAGCAGCTCACGCCGGCGCTGGTGCTGCTCGTTGAGGTCTTCGGGCACTCGGCCGCGGACCTGCGCCAGGGCGCTTCGCATAACCTTGCTAAAGTTGCGCTGCACACGAGGAATCAGCACACCTGGTCCACCCAATATCTCTCACACACACACACACACACGTAAAAATGAGGGGAGCTTACCTGGTACTCTGTGTTGAGCGTCACGACGCAGGCTTCATGGGCCCGCACGATGGTCTCGCACGCCTTGACGACGCTCGGCGACGCCTCCAGCTGCAGCTTGTCGGCGATGAGCAGCAGGAGGAACGAGCCCTGCAGGAGGTAGATGCCGAAGAAGAAGGGCATGAACTCGAGGCCCGGGTCGAACTCGAGGATGTTGTTGATGGCCTCGGCGGCCGACACGGCGTGGCCGGTGGCGGTGATGAAGCCCTGCGACGAGATCCACAGGTCGTTGTCGTCGATGAGGTTGATGGGGTCCCACTTGCCCGCGAGCAGGATGTGCAGCACGTGCATGACGTGCGTGCCGTACGCCATGACGATCTTGGTCTGGATGTCGCTCTCCGTCATGCGGTTCGACGCGTTGGTGTGCACCGAGTGCACCGACGGCGTCCCGATGTCGGCGATGGCGCTGTGCTCCACGCCCTCCGGGTTCGCCACGTCGCCCTTGTCGTCAAGGTTCATGCTGGGCCGCGTGAGGTGCTGCTGTTCGAACCGCCTGAGGCTCTTCTCGTACGCCTCGAGATGGCGCGTGATCTCGCTGGCCTGGTCGTCCCACTCGCGCGCCGACCGGAAGCCGACCCCGAACCTCGGGTGGTTCCGGGCGTGGTGGAGGTCCACGATCTCGCCGAGGATGGTCATCAGGGGTAGGAAGTACCCGAATATGCTGTGCCCCGTGCATTCGAAATGCGGCCCGCGTACGCGGCCTTGCTGGCCCGTCGTCGTCGTCGAGGAGGAGTCCCTGAGGCTCGGGTCCGTCGTGACGTTGTGGGTAGTAGCAGGGCGGAACTCCCCATTCTGCCATGCCGTGTCGTCCATTGGCTGCAACAGCCCGGCGCACTCGAGGTCGAGCAAGAACAAGGGGCGATTGTAGCAGAGAGCCAGGTGCCGGTCGACGATGTAGGCGAGCCACCATATCCGACGACGCTCCTCGCGCTCTTCCTCCGTGATGGCGCCCGGGTGGCTGCTCACGCCCAGTTCGCCCTCGCCGTCGACGTCGCCGCCGTCCGCTTCATGGCCGTTGGGCTGGCTCATGGAGAGGGGCGGCGTCGGCGGCAGTTCGCGGCCGAGCTTCAGCTCGCGAGCGAGCGACCAGGCCGCGTTCCACCATCGAAGGCTCGCGCCCTTGTACTCGCTTGCGGAAACCACGGTCGCGAGATGGATGTAGGTGATGACGTCGTCGAGGCTGCCGGCAGCACCAAACGGCCCGGACTCGCCCGACAAGGCATCCATACTGATGGACCCGGGAAGTGCGACGCCGAGACCGCCGAGCGCCACGCCGTCAATGACGGGGCTGGTGACGGGGGATGTGTCGCCCGACGGTGCGTGGATGAGCGGCTTGAGCAGGCTGACGGTCAGCTCCAGCAGCCTCTGGCAAATCTTGCCACGCGCCGACGGCACGCTGGTCAGGAAAGGGGCGTCGCTGGTCTGCGCGGCCACCCAGAGCATGCTGGCCAGCAGGGCGGGCTGGCAATGCCTCGGCTTGGTCGGGTGGAGAAAGGACCTCTTGCGGAAGACGAAGCCCAAGACGTACGGCGACATTGGGTGCATCTGCGCCGACGACGACGACGCGAAGTAGAGGTCGATCAGGTCGCAGGCCAAGGACAGCGGGATAAGGTTCCCCAGATGGGGTAGCAGGGGCTGCAGCACAGGATATCGCAGCTTCTTGACGGCGTGCCCGTAGCCACTCCCGGGGATGTGGGAGGAGGGATACTGCGCCGGCGGGGGTGACATGGATATCCATTCGGGCGACGTCGCTTCGCCCCCCAAGGGATATGCGCTGATGGGGCTGGCGGCGATCCGGAACGGCGCGCTGTTGGCATATGCCGTCGGGCTTTGGGTCTGCATGGCATACGGGATCTCGGGATACGCCGACATGGCGCTCTGGGAGGGGGCGTACGCCGCGTGGGACGGCCCCGGCATCATGTGCGCGCCCAGGCTTTGCCTGTCGTACCCCCCATGGACGCCGCCGTAACCGTTCAGATCCATCGCTGTCGGGCTTTCAATGTGGTGGTCCCTGTCCATTCCGTGGTGGGTTGACAAGTGAGCTGGGTGGCCGCCAGCCAGGTCTCCCAGGCTGTCGAGCGAGCCCGTCCTCTGGCTGTGTTGCATGGCATCGTCGCTAAGCTCGTCAATGACCTTTCCGCCATGATTCTGCTGCGATTCGTTGCCCGAGGACTGCCCGTTTTTGACGCTGGCAGACTCGCCCTGCTCCGACGGGGGGCCGTTGTCGTCGGAGGGCGACTTTTGACCCTGGCCCGGCCCTCCCGACGCGGCTTGTGCAGCGGCTTGCGCCGCGAGGTCCTTCCGAGACGCCTTTCCTCTCTTCTTCCTTTCGCGGATGTACTCGCAGCCCAGCCCGAATTCTGCGGACGCGCGTAAGTCAGAACATGCGCTCAAGGCTCGACGGTTTGGGTGACCACCGCATGCTTACCTACGCAGTGGGCGCAAGGGTGCTGCCCATCGCATTTTGTGCGAAGCTGGTTGCATTGGTCGCAGGCTCGGCTGATCCTCCTTCGGATGGGCCCGGAAGCGCTTGATGATCGGGCTGCTGGGCCGTAGGGGTGTTGACGATGCTTCGACTGAGGCGTCCCGCGAGCGAGATGAGGGTTGTTGCCGTGCGCCCCTACGTGGTGTTGGAGCTGTTGCAAGGCATAGTGCGAGTTGGGCGCAAGCGGGTCAAGCCCGTTGGCGTGAGAATGGCCGTTCGGGACGTGTGCGTTGGAGAAGAGGGCGCTGGACTGCACGCCGTGATAGGGCGAGAATCGGTGGAGCGGGTTGGACAACATCTTGTCTTCCTTGCGCTGGGACCAAGGCCGTCGGCGGTGGTGTATTGACCGAATGGTGAAGATGTTGGTCGAGCCGCGAGGACCTAGTTGTACCTGTTCATGTAAAGCCGGGATGGCGGGATCTGTAACCCAAACTGGGGACCGCCGGTAGGTAGATACCTAATATTTTCTTTTTTCCGTGACGCCGCTTGAGGAGAATGTGCACACGTATTCCCTGCGTCGTCTAATTAGCGATGCCGAGGCGGGTTGGGGCAGAATCAAGAAACCGGGCGGGCGTGGAGCGTGTGCTTGTTAGTATACGAGCCGAACCGAGAAGCGGACGGACTCAGTAATAACCAACAACACCAAGACATTGCGGGGTAGATGCGACGGACTGCTGGCTTGGAAAGACGGGACAAGTGACAGGGGACCGAAGAAGCCCAGCAGCAGGCTGAAAGGAGGGGATCAAGCGACGGAGGATCTGGAAAGGGGCGAGGGAGGGGGGAATGCAGGGTGAAAGAGACCAACCTTGATCCTCGAGTCTCTCTCGTATCTCTCGACGGCTCGTTGCAAAGAGGCTTCCTTGGATATAGACCGTTTGCTATGGTCCTCTTCCTTTCGCCTTGAGCTTTGCAGGTGGGGACAAATGCGCCCTCTGCTCTCTCTTGTACGGTTGGTAAATTGCCCGGCCGCAGCCTCAAGATGGCTGTCAAGCTGAGGAACGGCGCCTGGGTTCTCAACGCGATCGACGGTGGTGAATGCGAGGCCGACAGTCGATGAATCTTGCTGATGTCGAGCTCCTCCTTCGAACCCCCTTCTCCCAATGTCTCTCGTATCCTAGCTGGGAAATCGCCTGGAGACGGACGGGACCCCGGCGCGTATGCACAGGAGGGAGCCCACGAGAAAATGCTGATGGCCAAATTGGTCGTATTCTAGAAAGGTTTGGCTGATGGGCGTGGCGTTAGGTGGCATGGACTATGTCGTTTAGGTTTGGTGAATCCAGCACACGAAGAGACGAAGGGACACGAGATGGAGGGAAATGGGTGGTGACAGGCGGCGAAAGCAGCAGATGTAGGACCGGATATGCACGAACAAGTCGAGAAGGGCAAAAAAGAAAAAGAAAATAAACCAAAATAAAAGAGCGTCTGGCAACGCATGTACAAAGTACAGACGCATAGACGTACCGCGGGAGGGGGGCGTCAGGTTCTCGAAGAGGGGGAAGAAGCGAAATGGTGACTCTGTGGTTCCTTGGACTCTAGCTGTTTATTATATGGGGTCACTTGTATCCGTACATGATACTCGGTAATAAGATGCGAGCTCACGACGGGGGACAGGGTTGCAATGAGGGAGCAGGGGGGGGGGGGGCCAGGAGCTGTCTGTCGATGAGCGATGATGACAAGGTGAGGGAGGAGGAGTAGGTAACGTAACGGGCCAGCAACCAGAAGGAAAAATTAGCAACGGGCGAGCGGGCCATTGACATTGACATTGACAGTGACGGGGTTGAGTGAGTGAGTTGTTGGAGGGGGGTGGAGAAGAGCGGCATCATATTGGGGCGAGGAACAGGGCCGGCCGGATGCCATGCTCAAAGAGTCAAGATGCTGCTGCGCCGGTCTAGAACCACGGGCTCACCCCCGCACCCCTTCCAGCCAGGTCAGGGTGATGAATGATGATCTTTGCCTTGGGCTAGTTGATTTGGGGGGGGGGGGGGGGGGGGAAACAAGTGGCTCAGCGCGGGATTCCCGTGGCCGATCCTCGAGAGAAGAAACACAACCCAACCAAAAAAAAAAAGAAGAAAAAAAGAGCATCGGTCGAGCAAGACTTGCCTGCGAACGACGAGACAGATGAAGGGGGCGAACAATCCTGAACAATCCTTGGAGAGCAAACACGCGGGAGAAAGAGAGAGAGAGTGTGTGTGAGTGGGAGTGTGAGAGTGAGAGTGAGAGAGAGAGTGAGAGAGAGAGTGAGAGAGAGAGAGTGAGAGAGAGAGTGAGAGTGAGAGAGAGAGAGAGAGAGCCAGACATGGCGGTGACAGGCTATCATCAAAACCCTTTTCCCACCCACCGGGACAAGGCAGGCTCAGGCTCAGGCTCGTTTCGACCGACTTGTTGCTTCTGTAGCGCGGGCGGTAGTGTATGAAGCGAGCGAGCGAGCAGCATGCATGGATGGTTTCCGAGGAGCGGGCCGGGGGGGCTGGTACTGCCCTCGTCGGGGAAGTGAGACTGAAAAGTTGGGGAATCGTCTGTCCGAGTCTCGTCATGGTTCGTTCTCTTTGCTCGTTTCTCCAGTCTTCAGACTCGTCTCCAGACCTCCCACCAAGCCTGCCCTGCCCCTACCTACATACCTACTACTTGCTCTGTCCGGACTGTGCCATCCTGGCCACCCGCCCCTTTCTTTCTCTTTGCTCGAGTGCGGCTTGGCTTCTTTCTAGTTCGATCTGTCTGGGTGCCGCCAACCACAGGTCACCGCTATCAGGATACCATCCTTCTCCGTCCACTGTCATGGCGGTGCCGCAACCTCTTTCTGGCCTAACACGTTTCTACCTCGTCAGGCACCCGCCAGTGTTGGCGGCAATCCCACGTCCCATACTCCGTACACAGGGACGCTGGGTATGGGCGCATGCCGGGTTTGGGGCGTTCCTGGCCGTTGTGCAAGCGGCAGGCAATAGCTAGCAGGGCCGGTCGTTTTTGGAGCGGCTTAGAGGGTGTCGAGGTACTATACTATCCGTGTACACGCAAGCATCTCTTGCTTATCATCTCCATCATCACCATCATCATCTTCTTCTTCTTCTTCTTCTTTTTAATCTTTGAAGAGAACTAGTGATGATGATAGTGATGGGGGCTAAGCTTCCATTTAACACGACATGGCCGCCCCAACGTGAAGAAACACCATGTCCCCCTTCGACGTACATATCAGTTGGCCCCCGACGCGGACTGCGTCGCATCATCCAGGGAGGACAACGCCGGCAGTCTCGCACCTCATGGACATGGGGGTGGTAGGTGTCCGACGTTGAGGTTTTGGTAAATGTAGTGCAGTCGTACAGCATGCGGTGAGAGGAGGGGAGGGCGTCCCTGCAAGAACCCCGGATTCTCATCGATTGCATTGTCAATATGTGCCCAAACGGGGGATCAAGGACATGGGAAAGGAGGCCCTTTTGGGCTGCCTCTACCGTACTGCGTACTGACGATGGACGGCATGGCATCTCATATTGGACGTTGGCGCTAAGGTAGGTCGCCTGACCTGACCTGTCCTGTCCTGACCTGTCCTGACGTGAGTGCATCTGTGTGGATGGCATCGCCCCAAGAAGACTGTGTGAGTTGTCTCGTTTACCCCAACCTGCACCCTCCAGGTTCTCGATGCAGGTGCTAGGTATGCCGTCGGTATATGGCAATACTACCTCCGTGATCTAAGTAATAGCTGAGCAGTCCAAACAGGGGTCCTATATGGCAGGAGAGAGAGTGCGGAGAGAGTGCGGAGAGAGAGAGAGAGAGGGGGGGGGGGGGGGGGCAAGGGAGGGACTGGAGATGTAGACCAACTAATTAGTGCACTCGTACCAAGACACTACACTAATGTACCTGTATACAGACGAGTTCAGTTATAGTCGTGAGGAACGGGTTCTGGAATGAAAGGGGACGGATGGGACGGGCTGGGTTGATCTTGGAAGATGTTTGGCAGGCAGATGACACCGAGTTTATTTGGAACCACCACTGACTGCACGCAACGCCTAGGATGCCTGGGTAGATGAACAACCAAGGATTCGTACAAAGTGTGGAGTACACAGCGGCATGCACTCTCCCGTGCCGCACCATGCCTCGAGGGAAGCTGAGCACACGCTGCCCGTCGGTCAGGCGGAAGATGTACTCCGGGGGCCCGGGCACGCCAGTCCCGTGTCTCTGCCCAGCACAGTCAGTCTCAGTGCTACCCTCCAGTACCCGGAAGTGTGCGTGTAATCCAGAGAGCAGTGTACCGTATCCACTCGTTAGATTCGTACACTGCACTGACCACCTACTAGGCCTATTTCAACAGGCGGTCAGCCAGCCTAGCCACACACCCACCCATCTAACCCTAACCCTTTCCACCAAACTTGCTGCTGACGCTGACTAACCCCTACATTTGCCACTTCTAGATCCCTGTTTCTGCCAGCCCGCTAGGCCCTATCCAGCAGCCCATGGTCAGTGCAGTGTACGAATCTAACGAGTGGATACGGTAGTTTAAACCAGGTTTAGGTGGTCTACACCGCACTGTTGTTACACCGGGTGAGCGAGGGGGGGGGGGCCATGGGCAGACCCTCAATTGCCTCGAAACATGCATGTTAGATTAACTTTGGCCTCCCCGGGACCCAATCCCGGCATTACTGAGTAAAATGACCGACGCAGCCAGCTCTCTGGCTCTCGCTGTCACTGTCACTGTCTCTGTCGCTGTCGCTGTCACTGTCACCATCACCATCACCATCACCGTCACCGTCGCCGTCTCTGTGTCTCCGTCCCTTATGCAGTGCAATCAACCAATGTGCGTACCTCAAGACCCGAGCAGGGGTGGTGGGTGGCCAATTACTCTCTCATCACAGACATGGGCAAACTTTCAGGGTCTTCTTTGCTTCTGGCCGTCAAGCTTGCTCGCTGTTGGATATTACATGGTATGTTCGCCAAACACGGGTCGGGTGAGCAACCAAGGCCAAGACAGAAGGTAAAATCATTCACCTCGAGGGGACTTCCCTCTCTTACACTCCAGCCCAGGAGCAGCCTCCATCATGCCTCTTCCCGGCCAATGTTCATCCTTCTTGCAACAACATCAGCAAACATTGTCCGACTCCTCACTTGCGCGACTGCAGGGAAACCCATCGTCACGGATCCCATACTGCCCAAGGGAGGCAACGCCATCTTCGTGTCAATGACCTGGACTCGGTGTACCCCCCAAGACACGGCTCAGGACGGCACCGACCGACCCTCACACGTTGAGGGGACGACTTCCAAGCCATCCCCTACCGACATCGCTAACGCACCGCGTATCCGTGTACTATGTCGCAAACCAACCTCCCTCCCTCCTACCTACGTAGTAGATACCACGGCGACGGCCTGCCACAGCACCGCGAGACGCCCCGGCATTCCGTCCAACCCAGAGCCCCATTACATCCACCTTTCCCCGGCAGAGCCAACGAATCCTTCGGCTCAGCTCTTGCTTGATGGTGTCGATTTAATATAAGGCAAGCCACCTGCAAGGGGAACGCTGCGGCACCCTTCCTCCCCCAAGACCGGAATCGGGACACAGGCTTTTGGTCTCCAATCCCAACCACAGCATCCCTCCGCACAGTTTCGCCTGGTTTTCCGGGCCAGTCGTGTCATGAAGCATTCCAAGTAGCCTCTTTCTCTCACACACTCACACACTCACACACTCACTCACTCACTCACACGCACACCAACCCCCCCGGGATCGCGAAGAGGACTCAAGACCGGGACGGTCTCGAGACTTCTCTCACGTGTAAGGAATTGGGGAAACTCAAAACTTGACGAAACGGGAGCCGTCGAGGACCTCGTAGACGGGAAAAGGGTACTTACTGACTTGCATTCAAAGTACAGAGTACGGGTTTCCTGCAAGGCACTCTGTACTCGAGCGCCTCGGTCTAATTGGCTCGCCTTTACCCCCCCCCTCGGATGGGTTTCTGCAGGCTGCATGCCTCCTCCCAGTCTGGAGAAACGGCCACGCTGATCCGGCCCATTCAACTGCTACCTAGCCTAGTCATCGCTTCTCCGCACATGTGCGGAGAAAACCATCTTTCTCTTCACCTCCCTCGTCCCGCCTGCTCCACGCACACACACGCACACTCACACACTCACACACTCACGCGCGCAGCATTCATAACGTACACCACACCACACCACACCACGACTCGATCCTGCCCGAGGGTCACGCCGTGTAGGGATAAGAGCCGATCTTTTACGATGGCCTCGGTTTCCCCTCTACACTGAGCCGCCCGTCCGTCTCGTTGCTTGCTTATTTCGAATGCCAAATCATCCCCCCGAGTAAGCTGTGCGCCAGCCACACTGCGCGCATCGAGGTCCTGGCTTCTTTTCTCGCTGTCAATCCTTCAGGCTATCCTTGCTTTGTTTGTCCCTTTACCAGACACTCGCTCGCAGTCGACGCCTGAGAGGGTCTACAACCACGAAACCACCCCCCCATATCACGGCCTCTTCCCGAATCTGCCTAGCGGAGGGTCGAAGAAGAACGGCGGGCATTGGCGGAACTAAACTAGTTCAATTTGCCAACGATTCTGAACGGGCGAGTGGGTCGTTCTGGGGAACTTTTGATCATGGGTACCTAGGTAGTGTACACTACGACCAGTGATTAGTATCGCCGGGTACGAATAACACGCAACATTGTACAAAGCTCCCCTTTTCCCCAGAGACAGTGGCCCGCTACGGCTCCATGCGAGTCGCAGGTAGTCTTCTGCAGACACGCGTCTCGTGGCTGAAGCTGTTGTAAAAGTCCTGCCATGAGGGCAGCCGGACTCCCGACAGCGAAGCGCCCGGATTCCATCTTCATCTCGGGACCCACGCATGGAGCAGCATAGTTGGAGGATCAGGTTGTACCGTCAACATTTGACCGATGTCTCGCTACCAGAAAGTGCTCGCGAGCGGTAATACTAGCTGGCCGAGGCTACCCAGCGGCACAAGAACGAATGGTCGATCTCCCTTGGCCGACCTTTGGTGACTACCCCACCGCCAAAAAAACCATACCTATGTCCGTCCGCGCCATCCATCAACGACATCATGGCAGGCGTTCTCGGGATCGCCACACACCTACAGCAGGCTGTTGGTTGAACGTGGCATATGATCTCGGTGGGATCGCCGGACAAGTCATCCAGGCAGACAGACGGCTGCTCGTTCGACGTCACGTCCTCGACGGGAATCCCAAGCTGGAACCGCGCCACCAATTTAGGTTGTTCTCAGGGCCACGAGGTATCTCGGCCTAAGCACGGCACGGCGTTTGGGGGTTGGCGCCATGCCGTTAACGGCGTTCGGTCCGCAACTCCAAGACTTAAACGAGGAAGATCTGACCGACGCTCCCTTTGCCTCTCATTCGCGGCTTTACCACAGCTGCGTCCTCCACGAACCAATCGACCCCCCTTGTTCTTACCCCAACTCATCCACACCAGATCAAGTTTGCCGTAGGTACGGAGTACTCGGGTCCCCAATAGTTACCAGTCCAACTCCACCAACGCCAGTGACCGCCTGTTCTGGCCGCATGCCCTGAACATCTCATGGGCACTCAAAGACTGCCAGCTTGGACGCAGTGGTGGCTTTCGGTAACGTCAGAGCATGAGGCGAGCTGCTTCTCGATGCATGCTTCTTTCATCACGCTTCATATAACCAAGGTATTCACCAGTCCGGTCATGCATTGCTACCCACTTATACTGCTCACTCTGCGCATAGCGTAGCCTCCGCGCGATGTCGCTCTCTCATGATGTCTCTCCTGCACGCCACCGAATGGGTAGCCATTCCGCTCTCCTTCGTGTCTGGGCCCACTGCCGCCCAACTGGACGTGATTTGGTCCCCTTCGCCCCTTCACAGCCACGTGGCATCCGCAGACAGCCCGGGCCGGCAAATGGCTTTTTTGTTTTCTTTTTTTCTTTTTTTCTTTCTTTTTGGCACCCGTTGCGATGCATTCTGATTCAGTTTCCTTCTGCGTCAACCATCAGTCATGACTGGAACACAGGGATATGTTTCTTCTTTTGGTGCAGCCTATGTGACGGATAGTTTCATCCCAATGTCGTCCCAGCCGCAACGCCATGGACTCCTCTCAGCCAATCACTCATCACCGGGGATCGTACTATACCGTCGCCTGCCGTCACCGTAACCATCGTACCCTGGCCAGCGCGTCAAAGTCCTGAAATGCTCTTACGCCCTCTTATCAAACCTGAGGAGCTAATGACGACGGATGGTCTAGGGTATTTCCGGAAGCTCGCAGACTTTATACGGAGCTGGTCCACCGTTAGATGAAGCAACCATCATGCATGGGTTTGCCTCGCTCATCATGATTTAGGCTTCGTGGCATCGCAGCAGATCTATACCCGGGGTCGTCTTCGGAACTTTGAAGCAACGCAAGATCAGGGGGGATTCCCTCGTTGGGGGGGGAGGTTTCGGCATCTGGACCGCTCTTCCATGCAGGGGTAACAATGTCGTATACTCACTCACCTTTTGATCGATGGAAACTGAATCTCGACCAGACCTCATCAAGGCCCGGCTACCAAACCATTGGGACATGAGTCTGCTACCTGCTCGTCAGTCGCGTTTCAGCGCCTGAGAGCAAACGCTCCTGGGGCTCGTTGGCCGCTTTCCCACACACACACACCCCCCCCTAAGGACGACGGCCAATGGCTCAGGCATTGAACCATGCCCGGCTTCTCGGGAATCGACACGATGCCCGGCCTTTATAACAGACCGTGTTCGGGAAGTTTCCCTAGCGGCTGCTGCACATCGCGGGGAACCGCAGGGAAAAGGTCACCTCTTCCTGGGGCGAAGGTCTCTCTCTTTCTTGACATGCCGCTCTGCTGATCAGGGAGGATCCCGCCGTTTCTGCTACCGATCAGTTTACGATCAGGGCCGCATCAAAGATAGACAGTATGGCCCGAGTGGCGTTGGAAAGTTTCACGAGCTATAGTCGGGAGGACGACTCAGAAGGGGAGAGGGATGGTGGGATTGCTGTGTTCATTGGGCTGCTTGCGAGCCTCAAGTATCGCAACGAGCGCGAACGGGGGTTCTCATAGAAACACCTCGGGCGCCCAGACTCGATGCCACCCAGCATTACCACGCCATCCTAACCCGGTCGACCAGTCTTGAGACCGGTTTCTTCTGGAGTGCGTCCCAGGCCTCCCATGAGCTTCGGACAGCCCGCACGGGATGAGACGGCCGTTCCACACGGGGCACCCGGGCCTGTGAGCACGACATCTGTCGGGTCAGAGCCACTGCTGTTGCGGCCTTTCTCGGATCGTGACTGACTATCCGCGTGTGCCGGTGGTACCTGACTTCAAGCCCAACACCTAATCTCAACATCCGGGGTCGGGGGAAAGGACATGTTCTATAGTGGCCCACACGTGCCGGTTAAATTCTGTCAAGGCCGGCGGCCGCCGTTGGGATGCAAGCAGCTTTATCAGCATCGCACAGATTGGAGGAGCGGCCTCTGATGGATATGTTGCTCTCAGAAGGGTGCTTTTCCTTGGGGAGGGGGGGGAGGAATCGGAGGGGGGAGCTTGCGTCCTGATCTTCTGGGTATTCAAACGCACGAAACCAGCTGCTTCAGACGCCCGGTACGACTAACAGCACGTCTAGGGTTGCAGCGGGCGCTCAGCTGCAGACATGCATGACAAGATTGCAAAGGCAGCCGACCTCTCTCTCAACCTGGAGCAGCGGCGCATTAATCGAGGCACTAGGTGTGGAGGAGGGAGCGGGGGGCTTGGATGGTTTGCTCGCGGCCATCGTTTCTATGCTGGACCATTGATGGGTGGGCTCGTCGCCACTCCCTTCCCCAAGCCCCGCGGCAACCGTTCAGGTGCCGTGGACCTGCAGGTTGACCTTGGGTTTCCGGTGTGGATAGAGGAAGACAGCAGTCGATCCTTCGGGGCCCTCCGTAAGGTGCCCAGCTGGCGGGCTGAGAGCGCGGCATGAGCACGCATATTGTGCAATGAACTCAGGTTTGGGTCAGCTTTGGCTAGGCCGCCATCTGAGATCTACAGTTCCAATCTCACAGGTCCTGAAAGGGTTGGTCTGGGACGAGGGCAAAGGCTTCCAAGTCTATGGAGCGGAGCCTCTGGGGGTGGAATGAGGTCTCTCGGGACGCCGTTGGATGACCGTGTGCAGATTCACTTCCGTCTGTCCGTAGTGCCCCCTCCAAGTGTGTGTTTCTCCCGTCGAGCCGCCGTCCTCTGCATCCGACGGGACGAACTACCCAGGTGTCGCGTTATAGGACTCGCGATATAGCCTCCCCTGACATTAGAGTCTGGTCCGATCGGTCCATCGAGTGGAAGCTAGCGCTCCCTGCTAATCAGCTCAGATTATGACATCGATCCCTCATATCGTGTGGTGCGAGCCCATTCCGGCCACCTGAGAGGGATCAGCTCAAACAGGCCCTGCCTGGCCTGCTCCTCTTATTATTGGACAAGCAGCCGTGAGCGTCGCGACAATCACCTCCGTCTGCGGAACATACAGCATCTTGACTTGCAATGGTCCATATGACCGTTAAAAAGGATCTTCGATATTGGGGGGCAACTCCAACAAAATCGTCCGCTGCTGCTGCGCCGCTGTCATCATCGCCATCGCGGAGTGGCAAGGAAGCCTCCCCTCCGACCTGGGCGTTTCCAGATACGGCCAAGCCGCGCGCAATTACCGTGAACACTAAACGACCTCCATTTAAAGAAAGATATGAGAGGTCCGCACCAATCCTTCCGGGCCGTCTGGAATTTCGAGCTCCCCTTCCACACCCCCCCCCCCCCCCCCAAAACGTTCCCACGGTAGTTCAAAGTCTGGATGCGAGGGGTGTTGGACGATGTCACCTCCTCCGCCACGGACCGGTAAGCACGACCGTCTCCTCCCTCGGTCACACGGAAGCCATTTCTCTTACGGGTGGCGCCTCGTTAAGCGTGCGGCTCGAATTAGAGGCCTGTGATATAAGGTTCTGTACGGTGATGACGGGATGCCGGGCATTGCGGCGACGCTGGCACTGGGGAAGTTGAAGCTAGACAGGCAGGGTCTGCGGGAAGGCCTGCATTGCATCATGCGGTTGAGCGCTGTCGGAGACTTTTACGGCAGCTTTGGCATCACATGAATTGCTTTTACTGACTTTCTTGCGTTTCCTTGGTTGATATATAGCGGCATGTCATTCCCTATTTCTGCGGTTGGCAGATCTATCACCGACCATTGTGTGCCTCAAAATATGGTGGCTTTATGTCGGTGCCACGGATCGGTGTTGTTAAAGGCCACATTCGTCCCGGTCCCGTCCCCTGTTGTATTGACTACCGGAGTTTAAGTCTCGTCCATGACAGGACGGTGCTTGGCTCTGAAAGCCCGTCACATTTGATTTCAGCGCTGCATTCCGACCAAGGATTGATCCGCCAACCGTGGCGGCTCCTTGGTGTCTTTTACTGTTCGCCAACGAGGTTCGGGAGGTGCTGTTACCTTACGGCCCCAAAGTAGAAAGGTCTGGCAATCTCTAAGTGCAAGCCACGTCACGCGCTACAGGGCCACTGGATGGCTTAGAGAAGACCGTATGGCTTGGGAAAACACGGCGGCATGCGAAGCTTCCGAGTTTGATCACTCGGGCTCTCAGTCTAAGCGGAGTAGCGTCCATCGATGAGTAACCCGGGGTTATACGATGTGATACTTTGCGTGTTCAAATTTGCCAAGGGGTAGTACCTGGACCGAAAATCTATTGATATGAAATTTCCGGGAGTGAAAACAAAGAGATAGTTTGACCTTTACCAATATAAAGAATGGCAGACGGGTTTACGTAGAGAGGATATCAAGCATGCACCCAAACATGCCTAGTCCTCCGATAGGCGTTTCTAGTCGCGTTTGGCCATAACCCTGAAGACAGAGTGTAAAGAGTGGGAGAAATGAACATCTCCATCGGGGAACGCTTCCTCCTGAGTTGAAAGGAATACCCGTAGGATCGTATTCTACCACTGGGGCTAGATAGTAAGCAAGCTCCATACCGGCTCCAGAACTCTTGGTTCCGAGAGTACCCATTCAGGCTCGTCGCGCCGTACCACTGGGAAGCACGTGTTTAAACACCAGTTCTTATGCGCTTCAAAGAAGACGGCTTATTGCAAGGAAACAGCGTTGACGTTTATCCTGCTGATCGTTTACGCTGGGGTTCTGAGCGCTCTGGTATGGCTCCCAGTCATCGAGGACAACGTCGGTCTGCCGGCGCGACAGCGTCCTAAAAATTGCGAGCCGCTCCCCGCTCCCACTGCTGGTTCACCTCAGTTGCAAGAGCGATTGTATTTTTTTTCTGCTGCTGGACTTAAACACATAGCGTACCTGCAAGCGATAATTCTCCGTTGTGCCGGTGATACGATGATTGGCTGTGCCTTGAGGGCATGACGATTACGCTCATAATTACCTGGATTTATACATAGTTTTCGGAGTGCGAAATATGTTTATGTAGGCCATGGCGCAGCGTACGATTCCGTGTTTGATGTCTACCATGTTACAGTTGATAAGTGACGTGCCCAAAATAGTCTTTACGATCATCGTTTGCGAAGATGAGATTAGCTCCGAAGTCCGCAGTAATACGGGTAGGGCGTTCACTTATCATCAACACATTGGCCGCGCGGTCAAGTATGTATACTTTCATGAGCAGGTCATGAGTTTGAGTATCGAGGTCGATGTCAGCAAACCAAAGTTTATTGAATGCCAAGCTAGATACTAGAAGAAAGTCTATTGTGTGCAGGCCGCTCAGGGTCAAGTTTATGTTAACGCCAAACAGCTGGAAGACGGTATTAAGCAGCCAATCGTGTCTATAGATTTCATACATCCAATAATTTGAGCATTATCCATGGCCGCTGTCAGAACGATTGTTACACATGCCCGATAACCACAGTGAGATTCGATGTCTGAGGTCGCTGTTAATCGGTGACGAAGCATCTAAACTATTCAACCAACCTACGACAACTACAGACACCAACTGAATTCAACCACGGGATAAGACTAGGCAATTAGAGATGTCTTTTGGAATTGATGAAAGCAGGAGTTTATTATAGGCATGAAGCTAAAACCAACTCAACTGCATACAATTGTCGAGCAAAAGTTAACATGGATATTGCGTGTATATAAATCTTAGTACAAACTTTATAATCCTATGAGACACCAACTTGTTTACGTACAGTTTATATTTGTGACATTTAAGCCTAGTCTACTCAGGTAAAGTCCTCAACACACCTTGAAAAATGGTACTGAGAGACATAGTCGAGCATGTTAAGCTCATTTCCAAATGCCGTTCTCTTTAGAAACTGATACTGCCATGTATTCAAGCGACTACATTAACATGTATCTAGCCCGTCCTTGCGGCACAATCAGTTGAATGAAGGTGGTCAGTCAACATCACCATAGACTTTACTGAACCGAGTCGTCAGTCTATAGGAAGGCTACGGTTAGCTCATAACGATCCGACTAAGGGGATACGTCCCAGTAACCAGACAATGTAAACGAACGAGCATTGGTGCCCCGCACTCCGCCATATCTCGCCCCTGAAACTACTTGCGTAGGGCACCACAGTATTCGCAAATTTCTGCAAACTTGGCCGTTCTGTTCCTGTGCCTGTATGTTTTCGAGGAGTGTCACCAGGGCTGATTTTGACTTTAACTAAGGCCCACTCCTATCAGCACCACAGCGAGATACGGTCACAGAAAGGGACAGAAATATTGACTCTCATATCTTGGTCTCCTATTAGATTGAGCCTGGTGTTGAACGGTTTGTCAACCGCCCCCCCGTCCCCATCCAAGAGCTTGGTATCATTATTCTGTATATCTGCCATAAACTATGCACAGGATACAGTGAGCGCTGAATCTGGTTGCTTTTATGTCATGAAATTCGTGCTCTAAATGGAGATGTAACCTGTTATTCAAAGTGAAATGTCCCAAAAAGTAGACCAATTCGGATATGCTGCCAACGCCAAAGGACGTCTAGAGAGACTCAATCATTCAAGCTCAAAGGGCTTGCCTTTCTCTTTCTCTTATCGCAGGGCTATCTCGAACGCTTTTCAACCGGCAGCATACTGGCTCTTCTTCCTCAATATCGGCCCGAACTTCCACAGCAACAACGGCCCAGGCCACCCAATCGCCACGCCTATCAACGCAAGCACCGAATTGCCCCAGCCATAACCCAGCTTCTCGTACATGCTCGGCGCGAACAGAGGGAACCCGAAACCCGCCAAGCTTCTCAGTACCGTCGCCGCCGCCACCGCGCTCGCGGCGTACCTGCTGTACGTGTCAACCAGGTAGCCCTGGATGCACTGGAACCCGACAATCACCCCAAAGCAGAAGATGACCGCGCCAATGTTGGGCGCGATCCAGTGCGTGTGGTTCTGCGCCGTCCAGCCGTAGATCAGCAACCCCGCAGGGACCAGCAGGGCGCCTGGGATCATCATCGGCACGCGGAACTCGGGGCGTCCGGGGCCGCCGTCGGGGACGTACCGACGCTTCAGGGCAGCGTAAATGCGGTCCTGCATCGGCGCAGCTGCCTGCGCTCCGATGAAGAAGCCAAGACCCAAGGAGATGTAGTTCAGTCCGCCGATACCGACAGATTCGCCGTACTCGCCGGTCCAGAGTGCGGGAAAAGTCGAGAGAACGAGGTACATCAGGCCGTAGAGGTACATCATATACAGCGCCAAGAACTGCACCAACGGCTGGGTGCCGAGGAGGCGGAATGGACGGGTGAAGGCGATGCTGAGCGTGCGGGCCATGGTACGATCGGGGTTTTCGAATTCGGTATGTAAGGCCGCGTTGCCCGTCTCCTTGATGAGGCGGTTCTTCCTCCGGGTGAGTAGCACGGGCGCGTAGGTCTCTTGGAGGACGAAGATGCCAATGAATTGAATGACGGCAGTGAGGATTGTGGTGCTGTAGAAGATCCAACGCCACGTCGTGTTTTGCGTGATGAAGCCGCCAGCAATTGGACCGATGGCTGGTCCAAGCATTGGCATGAGCGTATAAATCGAAATAGCCCTGCCGCGTTGCTCGGCTTCGAAAAGGTCTGCAAGAACACCGCCACCGATGGCGAGAGGCGCGGAGCCACCGAGGCCGGCGAAGAAACGGAACGCTATGATCTGGCTCTTTGTGCGGGCAAGGCCGCACCCGAGATTGAAGCACATGTATAGGAAGTTCGTGAGCTGGAGGACGATGATGCGCCCGTAGAGTTCCGAGAGGGGGCCCCACGCCAAAGGGCCGATGGCGTAGGCGAGGACGAAGATGGAGAGGACAAGAGCCTGCTCAAAGGAGCTGGTGATGTTGAGTTCACTGCCGATGGCCTCCAGGGCGGGTGCGACCATGGACGAGGAGACTGGTGAGAGGAGGGTGAAGCATGACACTGGTGATGTTTAGTGAGCGAGTCTTGTCTTACACACAGGAAATCAGCATACCGCAGAAGACTGCTGCCCACTTTCTTCTCATGGACCATTTTTTGGGGTTTCCAGGGTCGTTTGGACCATCCCATGCCACCAAGTTGGGATCCCGTGGTGTTTTGAAAGTCGGCGTCTTTTCCGACTCTGGTTGCGAGCCCAGTTCCAGGTCTCGTCTGTTCTCGATGCCATCTCTCACTTCAGATATCGTCCTTGAGAGGGAGCGCGACCTGGCGCTTCTCGTGCTCTGGAGGACATGCCCACTGTGTCCCGAGCTGCTGTCGCTGCCTTCCGAGGAAGTTGAAAGCCGTGAGCCCGTCTGTTTCTCTTGTACTTCCTTTTCCGCCGCCGCGGCGATTGTCCCCTCGACCTCTTGTCTCAGCGTCTTGCTCTGGGGCTTTGTTGACTGGTCCTCATGATTGGGCTGTGTTGCGGGAGTTTTATTTGTGTCCGCCATCACCGGATCAGTCTGTGGGTGAATAAGACAACTAGTGTCTGTCTCTCAGCATGCCAGTCCAATAACCCGGCGCTGATAGTATTGTAAGAGTATACTAATAATGTGAGAGAAGACAGGCAGGGGAAGCAAGCCTTCGACAAATAGGGCAAAATATCCGTATTGAAGCTGGAATCCACGCAGCAGCACTAGAAACCCAGCCGGAGACGCCCTTCGTTTAAAAAGCAAAGCGTTGGGACATGCAAGCTACTAAGAAGGAATGAATAATTCGGAATTCCCAACTAAATCTCCTAACCCCGGCTGCCCCCCCAGCCAGCGTTTCCGCAGAACTGTGGCCCACCGTGCATGACTACTTCATTGGTCATGTAGCTGCGTCTTTGGCAAGGTGGACGCCTTGCCGATATCTCTGGCCCCGGATACTTGCCATGTAGATCGGCACATCGACACAGGTGCGTTTTTGGGCGGCCTTCCTTGGCCACATGATGCTCTATGACGCGGCGCTAAGCGCAGAGATACCCGATCGCTTGCATCGTTCTCCAGGTGCTTAGACCTTTCTATCACATGACCCAAGGCCGTGGCCGGCAACAAGTTGTCACTGAAACGGTGTAAATGTGAGAATGGAGCCTGGGTTAAGGCAGACATACCGTACAACAGCACATACGCCGTGCCTCTTGGAAGCGTGCATGGCGCAGCGAAGCGAAATGAATTACCGGTGCCGAGTGTGTCCGGGATTTTGCCTCCGTACTCCGTATTTTCGCCTACCCGGCCCGGTGCCCGGTGCCGAATCGGCAGCCGAGCCAGGGTCCCTGACTTTCGGATGACACCTGTTGGTTCGCTCTGCATTTAGATGGAGCTGACCACTGCCATGGCTTGGTTGTGCAGTGTACCTGTCACAGCGTGCAACCCTTTCGACCTCAGAACTGTGACGCCAAGATCCTTGAACGTGCTGCATCTCTGCGATTTCGGTCGTTGCCCGACATGCGAGGAGGGGAGGGACTAAGGCTTCATTGCTCCTTAATCAATGGGTACCGGCCCGCGATTCGAGATGCCGGCATCGTAGTGGCTTATGCTCAATCAAGCAAGTGAACGATGCGCTTTCCTCGTGCCGCCCTCACGCCAATTTAACCAAGTCAAGAGCCGAACAATCGTTGCAAATGGTCAGAAATATCTCGATTGACTAACGTGTGACACAGAGCGCCGTATATCCGCTGATAAGTAGGGACGGATAATTCTCGCAGTTGCAATCTTGCAAGACGGGAGGCACTATCCGAGTAAGGTCACATGCTCATGTCATGCTATTCGTAACAACCAGACCTCTAAGCCAGCTATACCTAAAGCCAAGTCCCATCAACGCCGTAGACCGTTTGCCTCGTTTTGTCAACGGGCAGGAGAGCCAAAAAATCGAGTCCGATAAAGTTGCTTTTGTAAGTGGTATCTTGTTTCAGAGGAATCCAAGTCACAATGGATAGATGTCCACCTCGTTCGCCTCATGCGGCGACGTCCGTCTTGGTGTCGACCTTCTTCGCCTCGGGCTCGGCGGCGCCGTCGTCCTCGCGGGCGCGCTTGCCGTTGTCGTTCTTCTCTTCCGCAACGACCTCGCCCTTGTCGTTGGTGGCCTGGATGGTAGGCTTGCCACTGTAGGACTGGTCAGTAAAGCTGCTCGCTCCAGGCGGAGGAAAACAAGATCTAGGGTACGTACGCGTTGCGGTCGCTCGTGACCTCGCTGGGGTCCTTGCGGTTCTCCTGGTTGTCGCGTCCGCCCCGGCGGTCTCCGCCACGGCCACGGCCACGGCCACCACGGCCACCGCGGCCGCCCTTGAAGCCGTTCTTCTGGTCGTGGTCGCGGCGCTGCTTCCAGTCATCCTTGCCGAAATTGCCACCACGACCACCACGACCACGGCCGCGTCCGCCACGGTCGCCGCCCTCCTTACCCTCAAAGAATCGGCGCGAGGTGTTGGGTTCGAGCTTGCCGGCGCTGATCAGAGCGCTCTTCTCTTTCACGTAGTCGATCTTGGGCATGATCTTCAGGTCGTGGTCCTTCCACTTGGGCTTGGGGTCGAGGGCGACAAACTTCTGGGCAGCCTCCTCATCGGGGAACTCGACAAAGACGGAGCCCTTGAAGAGCTTCTCGTTGGTGCGGCGGAGGCGGACAGCGTTGATGGGGCCGAATTGGGTGAAGAAGGCCTCGAGATCGAACTGGGTGGAGGGCTCCTCGTCGCCAAAGCCCTTGACGTAGACGCAGCGGGCGTTGTACTTGTCGCTGCTGGGGGCGTAGGCCTGCTTGCGCTGGATGGTCTCCTCGCCCTCCTCACCAGCAATGTTGACCTGGGTACTCTCCTTCAGGGCAGCGACAATGGCGGAGTAGGGCTGGAAGCGGCGCATGCGCTTGAAGTTGGTGATGGTCTTGAGGGGGATGGGCTTATTCTCGAATCCGCCAGTAAGCTCCCACAGGTACTTGTCGTGGGGCAGGTTGCTGTCGGAGAGGTAGAACTCGACCTAGATTCGGTCGTCGTTAGCCAATGCGATCATGCCTGATTCACGCAGATGCGGCGCCTTACCTGCTTGCGGATCTCGACGGGGTCATCTGTCTCCTTGAGAAGCGAAGGGTCGAACTTCACATTGTTGGAGTGCTGCTTGTTGTCGATCCGGGCGGTTGTCTTGATGATGTTGGCGTCCTTCTTCTCGGACTCTGCAGGCTTAACCTCGGACTCCTCCGTCTGGGCAGTCTCCTCGGCCTTCATAGGCTCCTCGGCCTTCACAGGCTCCTCGGCCTTCACAGGCTCCTCAGCCTGGGCGGGCACCTCGGCGGCAACAGCCTCGACGGGCTTGGTTTCCTCGGCGGCGCTCATCGTGGATTGTGACGGATGGATATTCTGTACAACAAGAAGATAATCAATTACGGGCTCTTCTCGGTGATAGGTTTTGTGTCGTGCGTGTACAAGAGTGGGTGACACGACGAAGGGGAGAGGCTCGAAGGTAAAGTTGCAGGAATATTGTGTGGCGGGGTAGGCAGCCGGGGGAGAGTCACAGAGAGAAGGGTGAGTAATTCGGAGAAAGCTTACAGCAAGACGAACCAGTCAATGCGATTCGGCAGCTCTGGTACTACGAATGACTTTTCTTCGGGGGCGTCTTGGGGTTCGAGCTTTTAGATACTACCGGTTGGGAAAATAACAATTGTTCGGTAGTAGTAGTGGCGCGGGAATGGCAGAAAAAAAAAAAAGCGGCGGTTCCCCCAGCAGTGAGGATTTTGCGACGAGAATTCGCATGCACGAGCGAGAGCTCCAGTTTCTGCCGCAGCGGGTTGCGCGCGTTCGATACCACACCGCCCGCATTTGATCTCCACTTAGCTAGGTGGGGGGGACTGAAAAAATCAACCACACGGGTGACAGTGAGCATAGTTAATGCTACGGGAGGCTGGGTACGTACCGGCCTGATCCTAGGGGAACTTTGCGCGCGGTTCTGAGCCTCCAGCCTCAAGCTTCAGGGACCTTTTCCCCCTTAGGTAAGCAAGCCAATCCCCCATCATATGCTGCTGCACGTGACTACGTGAGAGAGCTCCTCAGTCGAGGCCAGCTAAGGTACGTACCGGCTCATCGGGAGATGCCGTCCCATCACCAAAATTTCCGTCCCTGCGTCCCTATGCTCCTGAAGCTGTCGCCATCCTCCAGCACCCAGCACCCGACCATATTATCCCAATTAGCCCAGCATGAGAGCTAGAAAGCCTAGGTGGTACAGCTTGACCAAGCCTGTAAGTTATTGTGCATTCATCGCCCCTAGCTCGTGTGCCAATTGCAGCGTTCCCCTGATCCCGCTGTGAGCCTGATGCGGCACACGAGCACTTGTCCTCGCGACACGGGACCACGAACAGACGTTGACCGCCAATATTCCACCGACAGAAACTCCGCCAGTCATGGAACAAATATAATCTGTATAACATTGCCAGTGCGAACCTGAGGCAAAATCGTGGCAAGACTTTCTTCCAGCAGAAATGGGCGGCCAAGTCTGCGACCCGTGGCTACCACGGCGCCCATATCAAGGAGTCGGACTGGAACCGCGCCTTCTCTCGCCGCCTCTTCTCTGCCGTCGACATGCCGCCCGATTACCTCGCCTCTTTCGACGGCTCAGAGCAGGCCGCTGGTCGCGGCTCCGGCCTGCACGCGGAGCCTGGCTCCAAGGACCGCACGCCCACCGCCGCCAACTTCTCCCAGTTTGAAAAGGAACGACAGCGCCGCGTTCGCGCGCTCAGCGCCTCGGCTGGTCAGATAAGCCATCCATCACAGAAGCTGATCACAAGGGACGAAAAGGCTCAGATGCTGGCCCGGCCCGTCCACGAGATGACGCCCTACATGCAGATGGCCTACGCGCCGCTCGAGAGGAGACTAGACGTCGCCATCTTCCGTGCCATGTTCGCCAGCAGCACGCTCCAGGCCAAGCAGTTCTGCACACACGGTGCCGTCAAGGTCAACGGCAAGCTGGTAAGCTCCCAGAAACAAAACGGAAAAGGAAAAACAACCCCCAGACTGACTCCGCCTCTTCCAGATGCGTTATGGTGCCTATAAGCTCAACCCGGGCGACATGTTCCAGGTCGACATCGACTCCGTCCTCTACGCCACAGGTCGTGCCAAGACCCCCGCCCATGCAAAGTTCGTCGCCGGTGAGGACTGGGAGTCCAAGAACACCATCCGGGACTCCAAGGAGGGTAAGAGCCGCATCCTCGACCCCGAAGCCTCAGAACAGGCCGCAGCCGACACACCTGTCGAGGCCGAGGCTGAAGCCGCCGCCGAGGCCGTCGTTGAGAAGGCTGACGCAGCTGCCGCCGAGGAGGGCGGTGAAGATGCCGCCGCCGCGTCAACGGAGGAGAGCGCGGTGTCGGAGGAGGAACGCCGCGCCGCGCACCGCAAGCAGCTCAAGGCTCTCGTCCGCTCCGCAAGGTCCCTCATCAGCGACGGCGAGGGCCTCAACCCCCGCAAGAAGCGCCAGCTCCGCGCCTTCATGACGGAAACAAAGCGCGTCCTCTCCTCCTCGGGCCGCGTCGCCGACGCCGAAGCAGCGTCCGACGATCCTAACGCCGTCATGGACCATCTCTCCTCCATGCTCAAGGACTTCAAGGTCGAGGGCACCCAGGTCGAGGCTGTCGAGGCCGTCGCCGCCGAAGGGGAGCAGCAGACCACGCACAAGGAAAAGGCCGCCACTGAGACCATCAATGAACTCGTCTCCTCCAAGGAGGTTCGCCAGCAGATCGACGGGCTGTCGCGGGAAGAGCAGAAGGCGCTGGCCAGCCTGCTCCGCCTGGACGCCGAGAACCCAATCGACGAGTCTAAGCCCTACTGGACCCCTTGGGAGCCGCGGCGCTACATGGCGCCGTTCGCCTTCATCCCCCGCTACCTCGAGGTCAACCAGAACATCTGCGCTGCCGTCTACCTCCGCCACCCCGTCGCCCGTCGCGGCATGGCCGAGGTGCCCACCCCCTTCTCTTACGAGGTCAACCAGCTGGCCTTCAACTGGTACCTGAGGAGGCATTGAACACGTGATGATGACGATGCTTACAAGTGCGAGAGGGTGTTGCTAAGTGGCGTCGGGGAGGGAGAGATGGGGAGAGAGGTTGTGGCCGCTCAAGTGGGGAAGAAGGGGGCGGGGGGGAGCACGCGGCATTGTACAACAGGATATAGAGACCAAAGCTTGTAAGACTGAATGTAAAAAAAAAGGCTTAGACATGGTCTTTTTTTTATGTACATCATCAATGGCAGGGGGAAATGACAATCCTCTCTACCTCGTCAAACATTCCCAAATGATCAACTTCCTTGATACCACCAATCCGTTGAGGCTGCCGAGGCACATGTAATTTCCCTATGAAGCCAACCATCAGTTTACCAACAAAATGGAAGCTGGGCGGTTGTTTGGCACACCAGAAACTTCTAACCGGCAAGGTGACACGTCTGTCCAAACAGGTTAAGAATACGCGGATGTCACCACAGTATGCAATCACTCAAACACAAGATGGGACAAAAAAGAGTTCTAGGGAATCATCCTTTTCAAAGCACACTGAAACTAAAGCTAGCAAAGACGTCAAGGAAAATAAAATGCCAAGTAAGTGAAAACACCTGTCATGCCAGGCCGTCTTCGACCCCTCCTTCTCCATAACCTCATCCGAGTAAAATACAACATCGAGGGGTGGTTTGCTAGACATAAGCGGGCTGCTCCCATCACAACGTAGCAATACCATCTGTTTACCATGGTTGTGTGTCCACAGCTGGAAGGTGGCTGTTTGAACACCATGAGGCAGAAGAGTATCGAGTGTGGCGTCGTAGATTATAAAACCCTATTCCGAGTGGCATGTCTTTTTTCCGAAAGAAATGAATCCACGAGGATACTCTGCTAACGCAAGTCCCACCGACTAAATCAAGCATCTCCGAAGTCCTCCTCGGCCGAGTCTGCCATTCAAAAAGAGACAAGACTACAGCCAGTAGTAGGGCTGCAAAAGTGTTCCGTGAAACGCCTCATCGCCAGAATCAAGCCTCGCGGAAGCAATGACTCGTCGTATTTGTTTCTTTCGCGTGTCCCCTCCTTAGTCTGCATCAAGCCCTCTTGCGTGCCTGCTTCGTAAAGACTTTTGGTGATGTTGGGATTCCGTGTGTGATTAGATGAGGGAGTTTGATTGATTAAAAGAGGTCCAGAGAAAAGTGGTGATAAGAAAGAACAAGAAGAGAATCGACACAAAGAGACGCGTTGTGCTGGTATTGTATGGGCATCATTGGTACTTGGACGTGGGTCGTGGAAAGGAGAAGAATGCGAACACCGTGTGGCGTCAAGAGACCGAGGGAAGGGGGTGGCATCTTAACGGAGCGAGAAGCCCTTCCGCTTGCCTTCCTTCTCGATGGGCCGACCGCTCTCGACTCTTTGCTTCTTCTCTTCGAGCTCCATTCGTTGGCGCTCCAGCTGCTCCTTCATCTCTCTGTGGCGGGAGTAGAGCTCTTCTTCGCTCTGTTTCAGCTTGCTCTCCTTCTCGGCGACCTTCTGTTGGAAGACCATCTTCATCTCGGCCTCCATCTTGGCGAGCTTCTGCTCGTGCAGGGCGCGCTCCTCCTCCTGCTTGACTGCAGGGTTGACCTCCTTGAAGACGCTGGGGTCTTGCGACACACCCATGCCGATGAGCTTGTCGGTACGGTAGTTCTCGTACAGGCTGTTGTTGGTGTGCTCCTTGAGCTCCTCCATATGGGTACGGATAAGCATCTGGCGGAGCTTGACGAAGTCGCAGTGCTCCTCGTTGTCGACCTCAATCACACCCCAGGGGTAGCTACGTCCGCGGACCTTGCGTCCGTCGGCGTTGGTGATCTCGTTGGTAGCACCAACCACTGCGAAAGGAACTTTGGACATGATCTCGTTGTTCTCGGCGATAGTCTCCTCATCGTCAAGCTCGTAGCGCGGGCCCTCGAAGATCTGAATGTCGTGGTACTTGATGTCGGCAAGAATCTGATCGCAGGTCAGTACGTGCGGTTGCAGTGCTATATAGGGGTGGACATACTCTAGACTTGAAGTTGGCAATCTCCTCGTCGGTGAGGGTATCGGCCTTGGCAATGACGGGGATGAGGTTGACCTTGGTGTGAAGACGGCGCATGACCTCGATGTCGAGGGGCTTCAGGGAGTGGCCAGTGGGCTGAATGAAGAAGACGCAGGCATGGATACGGTTGTCCACAATGTTCATGCGGTTGACCTTGTTCTCGGCATCGAGGTAGGCGTCGTAACGCTGCTCAATGTTGTCGACAATCGGGCGCCAGGACTCGTCGTTGTTGACAAAGTCACCAAAGCCAGGGGTGTCGACGACCGTCAGGCGGAGACGGACGCCGGCCTCCTCGATGTCGGCACTGATGGACTGGATTTGGACAGTCTTGGGGAGGATGTCGAGGCTGGGTCCCTTACGCTCCTTGGGAGGGTACAAGGAGGTGTTGAAGAGAGTGTTGACGAGGGTCGACTTTCCGAGGCCGGATTCACCTGGAGGTTGAGTCTATCAGCTATCGCCCTCGAAGTCTGGATACAGAAACCAAAACTCACCAACGACCATGACGTTGAAGTTGAAGCCCTTGCGGACACTCTTGCGGTGCCATTGGTTGGGCAGGTTGGCAAAGCCGACGTAGCCAGTCAGCTTGCGACGAACAATGTTCCTAAGATCACTGGACGGAGCCGATGGGGCAACACCAGCTAGGTAGGGGTCAGAAACGGGCTCTTCGGGAGGCGAAGTAGGCGCCCGCGAGGGGGGCGGGGAGGTGGCAGGAGAACCTTCAGAAGCTGTTTGTGCAATCATGTCAGCAAATTGATCACTCTTGAAAGCGTGTAAGTATGCAGTATAACAAGGCAGAGAGGCAAGAGGAGCTCCTGACATGGTGACACACTGGTCGACAGAGCTTTGTCCACTTTGGCTGTCTGGCTTGGGACCTGAGGGTCCTGGGGCTCCTGGTTAGGTTCCGGGCGAGGCCGTTTGGCGGGTGGAGTATTGTGGTGGGTGTTCTGATAAAGATCCTCGTATGATATGGGTTTGTTGGGCCCAATCTTGGGTGCGTGGTCGACATCAAGCAAGCTCTTGTAGCGGCGAACGGTTGCAGTAGAGTCCGAGGACACTTCCGAGGCAAGCTTGACATTTGCTTTGGTTTTCCCCTTGAAGATGTCTACGGTTGCCGGCAAGCTGCTGTATCTCCTGGAGACGTCGTGTGCGGTGGGCTTGTCCAACTGGATGCTCCTGGTGCGTGCCTTGACGTGCTCAACCAATTTGATGGCCATTTTGGATATCGTGCTGTGTTGAAGTGGGTGGTGCTGGGCAATATCTCTGGCCTATTTCATAAAAGACCAAAAAAGGAGAAGCCAAGAAACGGTAGATTGGTAGAACGAATGTGGGCGTAACGAGAGATGCGTCTGATGTCGAGAGGAGATTCCAGGACGAGGGCCGAGACGAGAAGGCCATTGAAAGGGCTTAAGACGGCCATTGCTCATTGGAAGACACCCGGGTTCCTCTTGCCTTGCCTCGCTCATGCAGAGTATCATCAGGGGAGAATATGCTTACCCATATCGAATATCGTCAGAGGTTGTTAATTTGGAGAAGGAATTGATCTAAAGAAAAGATCTATAGCCGGCAAAGAAGGAGTTAGCTACGGAGTGACGTAAATGACGATGTTGCGGACGCAGAGTGCCGTCAGGGAGGTGAGGTGCGAAGGGAGAGGAGATGGGACAGGATAGGAGCGACTCGAACGACGGCAAGAGCGAACAAATATCAGATGGTGGACCAAGTGACAGAAAAGACAAGCTTCGGCTTCTCTCTTGTTTCCTCGACCAGGTGATGTTTGTAACAGAAGCAACGCGCGGGAATCAATGTCAGGCTGGGAAGGGAAAGCCGTACATACCTGGACGTCTAAAGAGCAGTCGCGTGTCAAGGAGCGTCGCAGGTGGGTAACGAACGAGAGAGAGAAAGAGGGTCGAAGAGAGTGGGCGAAGAGAAGAAAAGGTCTGACGACAGACGATTGGAAGACCTGGCGGTTTCCAAAGAAGTGATGCTAGAAATGCTCGAAGCAGTATGGATGATGGGGTCGAAGGGAAGAAGATTCACAACCTCGGGGAGGAGAGAGTGTGCGATGGTTGTGAGGTCGAAGTCGAGGGAGGTAGGTTCTCGATGAACATACGTTTTGGGTGGGAAGGGGAAATTTAGGGTGCGACGGGGTAAGGAAAGATTTGGCTGTGTGACCCCGTTTTCCTTACGACGTGTGCTCCCCTTTCTACGTCCCTTGCCCGGGTACCTGCACAGTACTGAGTAAACGTGAGGCAAGTAGGTAGGAGCACCATGTACCTAAATACCCGAGGCAGGTACCTTGGCACCTTGGGTCAGCACCTTAGTTGGCTGCTGCACCTGTTGTTTTGCGCCTGCACCCTGCTGTATGACCAGGTGGTCTCTGCACTTGCGCTGGTGGAATGGAAGGGGGGTCAGTGTCAGGTCAGGTCACGTATTTGGCTGGGCACTTGCTGCCACTGGTACATCTGCTGTCCGTACAGGGGATCAGCGTGCGCTGTAATGCCGGGCATAACGCTATTCGGTACGGTACGGTACTGCCGCCAGGGCCACCCTGGTGGGTGCTACAGTGCTGGTCAGCGTAGTAGATGACTGGATGGATAGGGGAAGCACACGTTGCTGTCTGTCCCGTTCCTTCCATCTGCCTCTCCCTTTCTCTCTCTGTCTTCCTCTCTCTCTCTTTCGCTCATTCACACACCAAACAAAAGGGGGTCGAGCCACGACTAGCCCATATCGGGTTAGCTTGTTTTCTGTGGATTCCCGGTAAGGATTGTAGGTGGAGCGACCGAATTAGAGACCGGGGCTTCACTCAATAGCGGCGTCTCATTGGCCGGGGAGGTGGTGGTCGTAATGAAGCACGGAGAGAAAAAATCCCCAAAAGGAGCACCTGGAGATTGGAGAATGAACGACAAACGCTGGTTTTATTTTATTCTATTTTGTTTTATTTTTTCCCCTTGCTTCCCTCCTTCTCTCCCCCCCCCCCCCCCCCCCGTCTTCTTTTCGCCTCCTTTTCTGATACGAATGCGCTTGGTTTCTGGTGCAGGTATTTATCTGGTACTGTCAAAGAGGCACCACCCGAGAACCACGGCGTAAGAGGGTTCTTTTTCAGCCCGACGGTTGGGTAGCCTGCGATGCTTTTCTTGCTGGCATTCGCTCCGCTAAAAAAGCAAAGTAGCCCCATGCAAGTACTTGTACGGAAATAGTCCATACAAGTGCTGGTCTGTTGTTTCCCGCATGCATTAAGGTACTGTCAAAAATGCAAGCAAGCTGCAGAGTCGGGCAACTTTGGATTCGCTCCTCTCAAAAAATTCAGACTCAGGACGAGGATAAGGCCGGCTGCTGCTGCTTACCTAAGGTGCACTGTACTTGTAGTCTATGTACCTACCTATCTTCTTTGCTGCTGCAGCACGGGACGACCATACAGGGTCTGTCTGCATTACATAGTAAAGGCCGGAAAGCAGCAGTCCGACCTTCAATTTCCACCCTCACCCATGATCCATGAGGCAAAGGAAGCAAAGGAGGAGAGAGAGAGACCCCAGAAAGCCAAACCACCACAATAACAGGAGCACCCGCCAGTGATCGACACCACCTGGCCTGGCCCGGCAAATAACATGGAATGCCGTGGAGACCACCGGCGAGTAAAGAAATGGAGACGTGGAAAATGGCGGCCGGATGTGATGTTCCAACCCCCATGCGTGCCCGACGGGCTACCAGCACAAATTGCGCCGCGCCTCAGGCAATCAGTCAGCCAGTCACTCGAATACGTGGCATCTGTACTGTGTACTTGTCCACCCGGTGCTAGTCTGCACCAGAACTCGGGACCTGCGACATGCTCCCCCGAAAGGAACGGGGGAAAACACTATCTATCCAACACGAGCCGTTCGCTGGCACCGACTTCTCCCTCACTCCTCATCCAGATGCTCCAAGATACACACTATCTGTACACTAACAATATACTAACTACCTATCTGCCTGCCTAGTAATGGCAAGTAGGCTATCCCAGTTAGCTTGAGTTTACTATGATATATTATGACGGTTGATGCACGAATGTGCTGTGAAGCTCAAACTCTTTCATCCCTTCCGGCGTCCCTTCCGGCCGCTTTTACCTGCAGGAGTGGACCCCACTGGACCTGCAGGACACTGCACCGGAGTCCCTGAGCCCGCGCGACGACTGATGCTTGCTGCCCTTGGCTGGAAATCGTCCCTCTGCCGTCGAATGAATCCGTACCAAACCAACGAACCAACTGCTGCCCAAGCTCACTAGGTAGGTACCTGGGTACCGAGCCGTCTAGTGACGTGACCGTACCGAGGGTTGTGGACGCATCGTCGTCGGCCCAGAAGACAGAAAAGAAACTTGATGCAGGTTTGGCAGCCAGCCTTCTCCCGTGTCTCGGGTCTCGCTGTCTTGCCCATATAAGACAGACCCCTTGCCACTGTCCGACGGTTTGCTGACTGGCCGAATGCAGCTTCTGTAGTGTAGCCACAGACCCGGCATCGACAAACAAGAAAATCACACACTCGCTGGTGTTGCTTGCTCCGTCCGCCTGCAAACACTATCCAAGGCGCCAATTCACTCAGCCAGAGCAAAGTCCCCTCCTCTTGCTTTCATTCGGTTAGCCCTTCTTGCTCCCCCTCATCTAGTTTACTTCTTCCTTGCCGGGGACATCCTTCCTCTCTCCGAAACTCGTAATGGCATACTTTGCGAATGGCTATGCAATTTCCGCTCCCATCCTGTAAAAAAACTCGCTCCGCCATCATCGCCTACACCCTTCCCATCCCCAGTCCAGTTGTTGGTATAAAGTCTGTGTCTGCCGACTGGTAGATGAGCCTCATCCACCACCGTGGTCGACAGAGGCCGTCCCATCTTGCCAAGAAATCACGGAATCACTCCACAGAGCGGTTCCTGGCAGCGGTGGGTTGCCGGCTCAGGCCTGCGCAATGGTCATTGACTGAAGCACTCTGTACGACTCGGCCTTGTCATTCACCTCACGGTGGCTTGTACGAGCAAGCGCTTCCGGGGCCGGTCCACGGCAAGGATGTTCTGGTTGGGGGGTACGGAAGAGATGGGACGTTTGCCTTCGTTCCGATATTGACAAGGTCCAGCACCGCGGAGTTCGGCTGGTACCCTGGAAGCCGCTGCAATGACGTCGACCTTCTCGCTACCCTCGCCCGTCGTGCAAGAGGCTCGCATCCAGCGATATAAAGCGGCTCATTGCTCGCGTCCACATGCCATGGTCTGTCGTCGTCTTTTATCACGACGTCGATGACAATGATCGTGATTCTGAGGGACTGCTCTACCCTAAACCCTTAACCCCCATAAAGTTATGCTCACCCAACCTTTTTTTATTTTTTATATACCCACCTGGTTTTTGGACAAAGGCAGAGATATTCAGGAGGTAGGCTATCCATCAAGAAGGCTAAGTGGCGATATGCCTCATGTGGCTACGCTCTTGCATTTCTGGCTTCTCGGGCCGGAACTGTCCATCGCCGGCCATTTTCAAAACTGCTGGTCATCGTCGAACTCGGTTGCTGTGTCATCACTTGCGTGGTGCGCTGAACACACTGCAGGATTACGTCCCGGACGATAATGCTGAAGAGGGCGAGATGCTTCGGGTACATCTTGTAGTACTTCGACCATTGCCTTTGCTGAATCGTTCACAACGGATATTGCTGGAACTAGGCAAGCCATCCCTCATTGGCGTGGCTCATCTATCTTGTCATCGAAAAGAGGAATCCCAGCATCGATGATGAGCCTTGCCAACAGCTCTGATGTTTTTCATAAACCCGGAAACGCCGATGGCTAGCTGATTTAGAAACCTGTCTTTGCCAGAGTTCCGACATCCAATTGCTCTGGCCAGAGTGGCTCTCACTGACACAGCGTCACATACCTACATGAACTTCCGGCCGTCAGAGAAAGTCTAGAGGGTTTAGAATCTCTAGAGGCTATCTAGTTCGGACCGCCTGTCGATCGCAGTGACCTTATGTTCGAGTGCATGTAACCCTCGCGGTTGTATAACGCACTGGTTCTGTGTTGAGATCGAGTTTGCGTTGAGAGGGTAGTTTACCTGCGTCGCTGATGGTGACGGCTGCCACACGAGTATCTCCTGAGCGTTGGGCCTTTCCTAACACCACCAATGTAGAGCGACTTTTAAACCGATCAAGGGTTACCGTGCTTGATCGGCCACGGCGACAACTTAGTCAAGAGACCAGGCTCAAATCGATTCAAGGTATATATCGATCAAATATTTTTCTGCTTGTAGTGTCATGCAGAAAGAGAAGAAGAGGCATGCAATGCTACCTTAGAAACAATCAGCTCGTCAGAAAGGATCAAAGTTATGGCAATTCTCTTGACAGCCTTGTCTTATGAATATCATGTGGAGAAACAAATGAGGCATGTATAGCTCGCTCGGCTCTGATATACCTGCCTATTTCAACTCGCGATCAATGCGATCCAATCGTACAGCTGTGAAAACCCGGCATCTATTACCGTACTTCAGCGCCAAGCAACTGCAAACCGGTGTAGATAGAGTGAGTCTTCAACTAGAAACCCGCGGTGCCGTCACATCGCCGGTGGCATGGCACCCCGCATTAGGTAAGAAAAATCACATTTGGATGGGCTGAGAATAACTGAACATGCAAGGAGCGATGATACAGATACCACTATCGTGCATCAAAGACAGAAGTTTGCGAGTCCTTGAGCTGGTATGGCCGTCTTGACGCTTGGACGACGTACTCGGAAAAGAACGGACAAACCAAAGAGAGAACAAGAGAGCCTGGCAATACTGACGAATTTCAAACGAACGACATGGCGCCACAGACGGCCACAGACGGTGGCGAACCAGATACAGAAGATGCCCACGCGTTCGTTAGGAAGGGCTGGGCAAGCTGGGCGCAGAAGGCTTCTTTTCTCAGGTTAGGTAGGCTGTACCTGTAGGATACCAAAAGTCCAATTTGTCTGTCCCTTGCTACCCCAGATGACCCGCTGATTTGTCCCCTCATGATTGAGTTATGAGGTCGTCCGAAGAGACTTTTTTTTGGAGCTTCTAGGCTCGCCCGAACGGTGACCATGACATTTAGACATGTCATTTCACATGGTAGGCGGCAACGGCCGGGGTGGGAAGACTGGAGCGAAGAGAAACATGGCGCCACCGAGTGGCCAGAGCGGCCATCGGGTGCATACGAATTGGCAAATCAGGGCGCCCGGAGCATTCGCAGCGGAGGGTGGAGATTTGGGCTGGCTCATGATACCTAGCACGATAGCACGGGACTTGCCCATCGTACGTCAGCTGAGTGGAAGCTGCTTGTCTCGTCTTATTCCGCCCGACGCAGGTCCGCTGCGCTGCGCTAGTCCGTTCGCCCCTCGCCTAAGCTCTTCCTTGCTTCTGATCCACCAATCCCCGATCATGCTTCAATGATGTCAGGAGCGGGCCAGGGTAAGCAGAGAAAGTTGTTGAGCTACCAACTTGCAGTACCGGTATGTATGCTCGGGCTCGATCGATGCGACTGCCTCACGCCGTCTTGCGCCCATCTAGCCCACCTTTGTCCTTTGTCTTGTCTGTCCTCCCTTTCCATCCCGCGTCGTCATACCTACCTTGGCTCTTAGACACATCAAGAAACCCTCGACCCGATATGAAGGCAACCACGTCGCCGAATCCGTAACTCCCTGTCCCCGAGGATCCTTTGATCTAAGCATTCCATCCTTCGCAACCGCCGCCGTTCTTACCACTACTACCCCGCGCCACGTTCGGTTCCTGCTGATCATCACCACCACCGAACTTGGCTCGACCGGCCAGTCATGTCCTGTGGCTCCAGCCCCCCAACACCGCCAAGATGAGATTGTTCGCGTTATATTCCCGTGACGCCATGCGCCGGGCCGGCACGAGAGGCTTTCACCACAGCGTCACTGTCGGGCGCATCAGAACTCATGGTCTCCTCGTTCACAGGCGACCCACGCTGTCGCGTCAGTCGAAGCACAGCTTCTTCACCGCGACTGAGGAGAACTCGCCGCCCAAGAACAAGACGTCCCTTCCCGTCGCCCTGATCTCTGGTGGCCTATTCTTATGGTTGCTGTACCCGTCTCAAGAGTTTGAGCGACTGTCGCTTGCCCAGGACGAGAGGGACAACAAGGTCCGCGATCGCCAAGCTGGAAAAGCGGCCGGCGGCTCCAACGACGGCGCCTGGTACAATTTTGCACTCAAGTTCGAGACCCTGTCCGACGCTACCGATATCCAGTGGAGCGCCGACAAGATTGTCGGCTTCATCTTGCCAGAATGGTCCAGGCTGATCCCCGGATACATCCGGAAACTCCAGAGGGAGGTAAATCTGCCAGTTCTCGCTCCCTTGCTTCAATTTACTGACCAGGCTAGCTATCCATGGCGCCCGGGTCTCTAGCCGACGAAATTTGGCGAGAAGCCCACGATCCCTTTGTCAACCCCGAAGTGCAGTATGGTGCCAGTGTTAGAGTCTCCAACGACCTCTGCGACGAAGAAAAAGAGTTTCTGGCTAGGAGAAAGAGGGTCACCACCATGGCCTTGGCCAGGTATTTGGATCTCGACGAGAAGGATGTCCACCCAGAAGACGTCCCGACTATCGCCATGTGTGGCTCCGGCGGCGGCCTCAGGGCCCTCGTCGCTGGCACCGGCTCTATGCTCGCTGCCGACGAAGACGGCCTTTTCGACTGCATCACTTACACCTCCGGCGTTAGCGGTTCCTGTTGGTTACAGGCGCTGTATCACTCGTCTATCTCGGAAGGTAGTCTTGACCGCCTCCTGCAGCACCTAAAGGCTCGCGCCGGCATTCATATTGCCTATCCCCCCGTAGCTTTCCAAACTCTGCTCTCGGCACCTACAAGTAAATACATTTTGAGCGGCCTCGTCGAGAAGCTCAAGGGTGACCCAGAAGCCGATTTTGGACTGGTCGACATTTATGGCCTTCTCTTGGCGGCGAGATATCTGGTCCCTAAAGGCGAACTAGAAGTAAACGACCGGGACTTCAAACTCTCCAACCAGCGAGACTACATCAAGTACGGACAGAACCCGCTCCCTATCTACACCGCCGTCCGCCATGAGATCCCTGACGTCGACCTCGACGGGAGCGGAGAGGTCCCTTCAACATCCGAGGTAGCGAAGGAAGTCGCTAAACAAGAGGCCTGGTTTCAATGGTTCGAAATCACACCCTACGAGTTCTTCTGTGAAGAGTTTCAAGCAGGCATTCCCACCTGGGCCATGGGAAGACGCTTCGAAAACGGCGTCGACGTACCCCCTGAAGAAGGGTTTCACCTCCCCGAAACCCGCTTGCCCTTCCTCCTGGGCGTTTTCGGCAGCGCCTTTTGCGCGACACTCAGCCACTATTACAACGAGGTCAGGCCCATTGTTCAGAGCATCGCTGGTTTCAGCTCTTTGGACGGCATGATCACCGGCTACAACGAGGACCTTAGCAAAGTACACCCTATCGACCCTGGCACTGTTGCGAATTTCGCCTATGGTATGGAGGGCAAGCTCCCTGACACGGTACCAAAGAGCGTGTACAAGTCAGAGCACATCCAACTCATGGACGCTGGCATGTCCAACAACCTTCCCATCTACCCGCTTCTTCGTCCGGGTCGAAACGTTGATGTTGTTGTGGCTTTTGATGCATCCGCAGACATCAAGACCGACAACTGGCTTGCAGTCGCCGATGGTTATGCCCGTCAGCGAGGTATCAAGGGCTGGCCCGTTGGTGTTGGCTGGCCCAAGGCCGGGGAATCATCAAAGCAAGTCCGCGATGAATTGCTAGAGGCCGAGGCCGCATCCATGCAGGAGGCAGATCAGAAACTGTATGAGGCCAAGAAGTTCCAACACGAGCACCACCCTGGGGAGAGCCAGCCAAACGAAAACACGCAGAAGGGGCAGGCGGCCAAGTTCAGTCCCGGCGACGAAGAGTCTGGAGAGCTCGGTTATTGCACAGTCTGGGTCGGCACAACTCAGGAGCGTACCTCGGAACCCCCACCTCCATCAAAGGCTATCGACGAGTCCACCTCCTGGCAGCTCATGGAGCCCGACGCCGGCATTGCCATCATCTATCTTCCCTATCTCGCGAACCCCAAGGTCCCCGGCATCAACCCGGGCACGACCGACTTCTTGAGCACCTGGAACTTCGTCTACACACCAGACCAGATCGAGCAGGTCGCTGCGCTGGCGAGGGCCAATTACGCCGAGGGGCGTGAAAAGATCCGCGGCACGGTGCGGGCCGTGTACGAGCGCAAGAAGAAGCTCAGACTCGACAAGGAGGAGAAGTCCCGGAGCAACCGGTACAGGCGGTTGGTAAGGCAGGGCATGGCGCACAAGCTGGGCGAAGGTGATCAGTTCAGCTGATCTCGTCGTATTATTGGAGTTCATAGATGGCAGATACCCTGGAAAGAGATGGAACGGCGCACATTTGACGGAGGTTCATTGTAGATTAGCTAATAAGCATCTTTTATTGTTACATTCTAAAATGGCGGTACCAGCATTTATCCACTAGCAGAGACTGCGATGTCATGGCTTCAAGACCGTGTGTCCTTAGCGAGGGCACAGCGATTTGATTTTGGAGTCCAGCAGATCGTTCCCGTTTCGAGGAGTGTCTTTTTTTTTTTTTTTTTTTACAAATCTATTCATCTTACAGAAACATGCTTGACCTTTCTACATGTCCTTGTTTCAAAATGTACACTGCCAAAAAGAGGCATATTGGTCATCCGGGATCACCTGTGTCCCCTGGCGGTTCAACGGCATCTCCCCCTTTACCCTCTCCACCCTCCTATTTCATCTGCCTGCCACCTTCTCTCTCGTTTTTTGCCCAAGTGGATGGATTACATTTGATGGATTTTCGTTTTTTTTTCTTTTGTGCCCCTTCTCCCTTCTTTCTCCCCCATCTTCGTTGCCCTGTTTTGTTGTACAGTTTAGATGATCTCCCCCATGTCGATGTGCAAAGGCTTCCACGGCTTGGCGCCCTCGACGAACATGTCGCTTGGGACGCGGACCTTGGCGCCGGGGCTGTAGAGGTACCAGGCCTTGAGGGCGTTCATGGAGGCCTGCAGGCGGGCGAAGTCAAGGCTGGCGCCGGTGCCCTCGCCGAGCTTGTCGCGGCCGCTGTAGATGCCGACGACGTAGACGGGGGTCCTGCTCATGCGGCCCGTCTCGCTCTCGAGGCGGGCGACGGGGGCCTCGAAGCCCTCGCGGGCGCAGAGCATGGCCAGCTCGCGGGTGGGCAGCTTGAAGCTGAAGAGCTTCTCGAGCTCGACCTTGCGGCTGAGGACGTGGGCGTCGATGAAGGCGCGGGCGGCGTCGCGGCCGGCGTGGGCGTAGACGGCGCCCGTGACGGCGCGGACGAAGGCGGCGTGCGCGTTGTTGCGGATCTTCATGTACCGCTCCCGCGCCATGGCCGGGTCCTGCGGGTCGGCGGCGGGCTCGAGAGGGTTCGGCTCGGGGGCGTGCAGGGTGTCGCCGAACTCGTCGTCGAGTACGACGCGCGACGACACGGAGCGGCGCCACTTGAACTTGTCGAGGTGGCGGTGCTCCTTGCGGACGTAGCCCCAGCGGCCGTGGACGATGCCGGCGGTCGGGTCCTGGGACCACTGCAGCAGGCCCGGGTCGACCTCCCCGCCGGGGGCGGCCGCGCTCTCGACGCCCCACTGGCTCGCGACGCGGTAGAGGGAGTCGGACCCGGCGTAGGCGCGCATGGCCTCGTAGAGGATGGCCATGGGCAGGCGCGGGTAGTGGGCGATGAGCCACTCGGAGACGTGGTAGCCGATGAGGGTGCCGCCGACGACGGCGAGGTTGGCGTTGTTGAAGTTGGGGCTCGGGTCGGCCGAGGGGTCGACGAGGGCGCGCGCGAGGGTCTGGAGCGGGAACTTCGCGGGGAGGGAGAGGCGGGCGTGAAGGGCGGCGAGCTTGGCGGAGCTGAGGGCCTTCTGGGGGAGAGGTGACGGGAGGGTTCTCGGGCCGGCGGGTGTCGTCGTTGTCGTCGTTGAGGAGGCGTCGAGGGACTCGGAGGCGAGGTGCGGCGCTGCCGCTGCCGCTGCCGCCGGTTTGGTCGAGCTGAACATGGATCGTGTCCGCACCGGGTTGCTTGGCCGGGAGAGCTGCTGTGGTCTAAAGGAGATGGGCGTCAGGCACGACGAGGCGTGCGTCCCGGCCGGGGCGCTGAGCAGTTGCCCGGTGCATCTTGATATCCTTGACCTCTTCATCGGGATGGCTGCTGGACGAAAGGAACCAAACAAATAAGGGGAGGAGGGCGGAGAACAAAAAGACAAGAGAATAGCGGTATCAATTGGGTTGTTGTACAGGTTCTAGGTCTTTCGCTGGGTCGGAGTAGCGACGGTCCCTTTTTTTTCTCTCTCGCTCTCTCTCTCTCTATCTCTCAGCGGCCGGTCTCCCGTACACGAAAAAGTTTCTGGAGCCGAGTCGTGTGAGCTCCAGCAGCAGGATTGCTAGGGGCGGCGGGCCGTGCACGAGCCAGTCAGGCGCCGCGGAATATCCGAGCCTCCGTGCATCCGGCAAAGGTTCGGGCTCCACTCACTGGGCGAGAGCGACTGGACCTTCAGATTCACGACGTCCCAAAGGCCGAAAAGCTCCAGTCCGAACCGAGGCGGGACAGCGATTGCCATCACCACACCACCTAGTCCTTCATATCGAAAGTACAGCCAAAATGGTAAGTCGCCCCTCGACTCTGTGTGCTGCTTCAATTGCTAACTCGCTTGCAGGGAGGCGGTCCTAAGGTTCCGTAAGTACTGCGCTTCTCGCAACCCGCCCCCGGGTTCCTCGAAAAAAAGCGGCCTCCTCTAACGACACGTCTTTCTCCGCGATACAGCTACCCCAAGCACGTCTGGTCGCCGGCCGGTGGTTGGTATGCCCAGCCTGCGAACTGGAAGCGCAACACCGCCGTCATCGGCACCGTCATGGCCGGCGTCGTCGCCGTACTCTGGAAGATCAGCGCCGAGAAGGAGGTGCGCTACGTGATGCCTCAGGAGGGCCGTTTCTTCCCCAGCAAATAGTACGTCCACCATGCGCGGCCACCCCGGAAACAAGAGCGTTCGCTAACCAATGGTGGGGTGGGACAACAGCTGGTCGAAGCAGTTGATCGAGTACGACAGAGAACAGGCCGCGCGGAAGGCCAAGGACACGACGCAGGCGGAGGCGGTTCAGAACTCATAAACGACTCGGACGGTCGATGAAAACTTGTACAATGTATATATGGCACCCGAGAAATTGAGCGCCGCGCGGCAGCGGCAGTTGCGAATAGCGGGTGGAACTGCCATCTATCGACCACTGTGACGATCAAGTCTCGCCTGAACGCGTCTTCCACCACCAGCTTCTGGCGATATTCGAGACGGCTGTTCTGAACCACTTGACAGTCGTTAGATAAGGCGCATATGACTATTGACCCTGTGCGGCTGGCAACAAAGCCTGGTAAGATGAATGTCATCCCTGTCGCGTTCAGTATCAGGAACTGGGAGAAGACAGCTTCTATAAGAGTCACTGCCTCATCCAGTACGGCGAATAATCGAGCTTACGGCTACAAACACCTTGTCATTCAGCGACAATGGACCGTTCCAGCAGCTCAATTCGAGTGACAACATGGGTAATGCTCTTGGCCAATCAAAAAGGCTGCAAAGGTAAGTCGGTAAGTGGGTCACATTTGGGATCGTGAGGTTCAAGATGTCTCCTTACTTATCTCTTACTATATTACAGCCACAAAGCCAGAGTTCACCAGATCTGAATCAAAATCGTATCACTCACACACACTTTTCTGATGACGTTGGTATGGCAGTTGCTATTCCGCAGAAGCCCTAGTCTTTGGCTTGACTGTACCAAGGAACAGGTGGTTTGGCCTGGAGACCTGCAGCGAGAGGGCGAGCGGAGGCGTCAAATATGTTTCCTGCGTGGTTTTGGCCAAAGAATTGATAGAAAGAGCAGGGTGATTTGAACCGGTCGTCTCACCCACGACCTGACTGCGCCCCCCAACTCGTTCTGGATCTTAGCCGTGAATGGTACTACTAATGTGCAAGTTTAGGCATGCATTACTCGGACATTAGCCAAGTCACTTACTTGCCTGTGGTTGCCATTATTTTCCTGTTTTTCTCTGCGGACCTAGGTTTTGCCAAGCTGAGCTGTTCAAGAACAATAGGGGGCGGGCGCAAGAGCTTCACCACAGCTCAGGTTGCCGCGAACACGAATGCAAGCCCGGGACACGAAGACTATGTGCACGATCACACCCATCTCTCCAAAATCACGTTTCTTTCACTTCAACGCCATCTTCTGCTTTCTCTTCTTGGGAGAGTTGCGGAATTGGGCCTCGCGATACGGCAGAGTAGCTGGTTTGGATCCGCGACAGGGTCGCTACTTTGCCCCGTGAGAACAGCACAGGCGAAGTATACAAGAACAATTCAGAGGGGCAGCCGCGCTACTTTATCCACGGGGTATGCGAATTGGCTTCCTTGATGCCGATGCCGGGACTGAAGTTTGTTGTCCAGGGATCTCGGAATGTGCTCCCCCCTCCACCTCTTTACTGAGTGGTTGCGAACACGCTACACCGTATTATTCGTCTTTTGCTCCGTGTTGTTGCTCACTTGGAAAGAATCGCAACCAGAGCAGAAAGACTATGGGAAAAGTCCATACGTAACAATGTCAAGATATGGCTATAGACCACCCAGAACTTATGTGAGAGACAAACTGATAGAGCGTGAGGCTTCATTTCTCGTGTGTATGGTAGACCCGTGCAGGGGTCATTTCTGTCTCGATCCGGAGTACGGAGTTATGCTGTAGCCCCCTCCCCCCAATTGGAAATCTCATGCCGCTTCCTTCACCAAGTTAGGTCCGGACACCCGAGTCAACCATTGACAGAAGAAAGCCAAAGAGCCATGTCTTTATTGGGTGTATCAGAACTTGGACACGGATCCTCGGTTTGGACGCTGGTATATACAGACCCCCGCTACTACTTCACCCCCTTGAGAAACTGACTCCGGCTTGCGACTCGCCGGGAAACCGCCCAGAGCCCGCACCATACAGCTGTGTGGCACGAGAAAGACGCAGAGGAGGGGCCGGGAAGGTATCACGCCGACCCTCGGTACCGAGGGGGAACAGCAGCGGTCATCCTCGTCAGCGCATGCCTCGACAGCGGATCCGAAGTCGGGGGGCTTGAACCTTTCCCCTCGCCAAACAGCCGCGTCGTGAGGGCGAGACGGCTCGTCGAATGCGTACGGGGCTCGGGCGTCGTTATATGGACAACAGCATTCTTCCTCAAGGGTTTGGCGTCATGAACGCCGGGCACCGGCAACCTGGCCAGCAACGGTGCTCGGCGAACGAGTCAATGGCGGTCTGATCATGAGGGCAATCGACCTTATATGGTCGACATGCACACGAGATCCTGCCACCGCGGAAAACCCCCGTCTGAGATGGGCGGATTTGCCGGCCTTGGGCAAGTTGGACTTATGGCGACGGGGGCAAGTAGACCGCCCCATCGGGAGTTGTCGCTCTATTCCCCCAGAACAAGGGATAAAAATCAACACGTAGGAACGTCGCGCTGTTTGTTGTAGTACAATCAGACCTTCCACATATTTGCCACCGAGCTTGAACCTCTGCTCGTCAGAAAACATCCTAAAACACCGGTTTATCATGTAGTAAACAAGCCAAGGAGGGTCGCGTCGAGTTATGAGCATCTCATTGTATAACTAGCTTGCTATGCACGAGGGAGCAACTCTAGCGTCCTGTCTTTCCTAGGACGCTAACTTCTCTCTCATCTCTCCATCTCGCTTTCTCGATCTGTCTTGTCCGACCAAACGACTTCGTGCCATCCAGCAACTATTGCATCCCTTTCATGAAGACATACGGAAAGGACTCGACGCAACCTGCGTCGTCCCGCCCTACTATGGTCGTCCCAGCACCTCGCGAAGCCGACCAAACTCAGCCACCAGAGCTGCACGAACTCATTGAAAAAATAAAAAGCAAACAAGAATGGGCAATATACATTAAGCACTAGGCAGTTTCCCTACCCCGCTGTTCTATCGTCGCAACTGCAGAAAGGAACGCTGCCGGTTGATCCGATTGAGTCAGGCCAGGTATATAGAATCGAAATCGCACAAAAGGGGGGCTGAATGAGCGTCGAGAAGGATGAAAGGAAGAAAAAAGAAGGAAAAAAAAAACCCCCATGCGGGCCTTGACTGATATCAGGCTGCACAATGGGTGTATCGAAAGGTCTGCGGTGAATGGGTGACTCGAATAGTGAAAACGCGTCGTCGGATTCTCTCCTTTGATCGAATTCATTCCAAGAGTCCTGTTGGAGAGAAACCCTCGATTTATTTTTGCTAGTTCGCAGAAAACGCCTTGCCTTTGCTGTCCAGAATGCATGATAGACCCGGGTCTATCGCAGAACTATACGTGGTGATTCGGTATACGTGGGTACTGTTGTGGCACAGCTTATACGGCTTGTCCGGGAACGGGTTTCCGGTCAACAGACCCCATGGGCGGGTCTGGACGATCCTGGGCTGGCCCTCGGTTGCTCTGAGGGCTATTAGGACTCATTCGAGTGGGCTGAGGGATTCTGCTAGGTCCTGGGCTCTGCTTGCGACCTACCATTTCGTTAGGGCTTTGAGGCCGTTGTCCCGGAGGTCCTTGATGGCGGGGACCAGGAGATTGAGGGCGGCCGCCAGGTCCCATAGGGCCATGCCCGGATGGGGAAGCGGGTCGGCCACCATGAGGACCACCTTGAGGAGCGAAAGGACGCTGACCAGGAGGGACGTTAGGGCCGGGGCCGCGGGGAGTTCCGGGACCCGTGGGATGGCCACGCGGAGGACCTTGGGCCTGGGGGGGTCTGGGCTTGACAGGGCGAGCGGACAGACAGGTGCGAGGTACAACCCCCTGCTGGGATCTATCCAAGCGGATGCAGAGCGCCTATTGATATGTCAGCTTGAGAATCATGACAGGTTGACGTTGTATATAACTTACCCAGCCATCGTCGTACTCGTGGAGAAGACGCACAAGCTGACCAGCTCTCAGTTCCATCTCGTCCTCGAGGGTAGGCTTGAATTCGAGCTGTACCCGGTGAACAGTCGTGTTGACAGGGCCACCAGCGGCGGCAATGGCAGCAGTGCCAGTAGAAGCCGTGGACTGGTGACCAGGGCCGACAGAGTCCCTGCTGTACGTGGTTCCGGCGGGAGAAGCGGGGATGAGAGACAAGGGGGCAATCGGGCCAGGCAGAGTGAGATCCAGTGCCTTGGGGCCGTCCTTCCGGATCGACGTCTTGCGGGTCAAATTTCCGACTGAGGCACCACCAGCAGCAGTAGCACCGACAGCAATACCAATAGCAGCACTGGCAGGGGAGGCGTCCGCAACGCTGGGTAGGGGCTTCTCGTTGAGGTCCAAGGAGCAGACGGACTCCTCGGGAATGGGTCCATTGATTCTCTCGGCTTGAGCGCCAAAGGGGTTTGCGGGGTTTTCGCCTTGGCTCGTCGTCGGTCTTTCCCAGGCGCTTTGGTTCGGGTTGCGGATACCGAGAGCAGCAGCAGCAGGAGCCAAGTTAGCGTTCATGTTGGCAGCCGGGCCTTTGCTGGCACCCTTATCCATGTTCAGGTTGGGAGAGAACTCGGTGACGGGACGGAGGCTGATGCGAGGAGCGTAAGGGTTCTGGCTAGTCACAGCGGCGGCGGTTCCGAAGCCATCGCTCTTCTCGTCCTCGTCAGCTAGGCGCTGCCGCTGCAACTGCTTCTTGCGGCGGTTGAAAAGGAAGAAGACGAGCAGGAAGACAACAAGAACACCAGCCAAGACACCGATGGCGATGCCGGCCTTTGCGGCACCGCTTGTCTCAGCACTGGCCGCTTTCTCAGTGGCGGCCGAGGTCGCGCTCTGCGAGGGATAGATGGCGCCGCCATCGACCACAGTCGCGACAGACGTGGCGGGTCTGATAATAGTCGGGGTGTCAGTTGCGATGGCAAGGGTAGAGGGAATGCCCCCAGAGAGGGTGAGGGGGTCATCAATGACTGAGGGCAGCAATGTAGCCGTGTCGGCGTCGAGGGTGGTGGGGGTGGAGGAGATGTCGGGCGTCACAACCAGCGGCGCGCCGGCCCTCGCGATAGTGGTCTCGGCGGGGTCGGCGGGGTCAGACGACGGCGATGTCGGCTGGGTGGGAATGGGAGGTTGGGCAAGAATTAGTCGCGAGGACGGGCTGGGGGCGAGGCGAGGATCACCGTCGGTGACGGTCTGGTAAACGGTTTTGATAATGGTCGACCGGGCTTTTCTCGTATTAGCGCGCCGTGTGGTTAGGGCATCATCGCCAATGTCCTGCCGGATCTCGAAGTTACCTCCATTACCTCCGTTGTCGTTGTCGGGCGCGAAGGGATTAAGATCCGCCAATTTACTTCCAACATCGTCCCAGAAGTCGGGGTTGCGGGGCAGATGCCTGTGACCGTGGTAATGATGAGCCATGTCCAAGGATGAGTGTCCGATCTGAGACAATCGAGATGGGCGGAATGGCGACTAGTACAACCGGCAGCGGTTGCAATATGTCGGGGTGGGTGAGGTAGCTTGTATCGTCAAGGTCGCGTGTAGAAGCTGGGTATCTGAGAATGGGGGAGAATGTTGCATTTGCAAGCGAGGCTGGTGATGTGACCGTTGGCGGAACGTTGGGTCCAGTCCAGAGAGAAAGTGATTTTCGTGAGGTGGTCGTCAAAAGAATGAACAGGCTGTAAAGGGAACCGGCCAGGAGAGTCGTCGTGGAGGACGGAGGGTTCAAGGCAGTTGAACACACGAGTCGGTGGTATCGAGAGAGGGCGTATGGGGGTTTGTATATGAGTGTTGTTTGGAACGAATGAATGCAAAGCGGCGCTGGGCTCGAAAAGAGAGTAAAGTGAGAAGGTAGGTGAGGGTGAGAACGTCGAGGTGATGGATCTCAGTACCAGCTCACAAATGGTTGACAGTGACGAAGACGTGTCAGCGGGTTGTCATGAAGACGAGGTGATGCCGTACGTTGGGCGTGTATGGGTGGAAAGAACGGATGAATCTGCACAGGGCGACACTGGGGGGCTGCGGGAGAAGACGACCGGATTCTCTCTACCTTGATGCAAGAAGCACAAGAGGCAGTCGGTCCCAACGAGCGTGTGCAGTTCGGACGTGTTAGGGGAGAAGGGGAAAAAGGTGGAAGAAGGGACCGACAAAAGTGGGAGGGGGCAGCGAGAAGAAGGGAAACGGGCACGTCGAGGTTGCATAGAGTTCGAGGCATACGCTGGGATGATTGGGAAAGGGCCCCGAGCAACGTTGGACGGAAGTTGACAAGGGTCTGAGCGGGTGGGTGTGGGTGTGGGTGATGGATGGGATGAAGATCCTTGTTGCACTTCGGACCCCAGCTGGATGAGTTCCTACTAGTAGGTACGTGGCGGCACTCAACACACCCCAGGAAGATATGGTAGAAAACAGGGCAAATGTTTAGGAGATCGCCTCTCTCTCGTCTTCTCTCTCTGTTTTTCTTTCTGACCGGGGGGGGGGGGGATGACCGAAAGTCAGGTAGCGACGGCGAGGCCCGTGAAGGATACCAGGATAAGAAGGGAATGGCGCGCTTGCGTGCGCGCGTGGTGCCATGGAAGGAGAGGTCATGGCTCTCCTTGGTGCCCATGCAGTCAGTGACTGCCGTGTGTTAGCCTCTCTGGGGATGTCGCTTGGTGTCGCTTAGTGCGGAGAGAGAGAGAGCGCGTGTGGGCGCTCAGGTCACACTTTGCACTTGGGGGGGGGCACAATATGGATAACACTGCGTAAACTAACAAAAATATCCAACGATGGGGAACCCGACAGACGAACGACCACAAGCACGAGGCACAGGGAATGCGGAATACACAGTGGCGGTCCAGAAACCAACGGTCCTTGGACAATGCATACCGGTAGGGATACATGGTACCTACTTCCCTACTTCCTTACCTATAGTATAGGTAGGTGGGCATTGTCCTGCCCGTACCTCAGATACGTACTCGCAGCCACTTCCCGAGTCAGCGTTTCACCACCCGCCCTGTTTTCTCCCCTTTCTTTTCCCTCCCCTACGCCGTTGAGGGAACACGCCGATTACAGCAAAGCCACCAAACAAGACATTTCACGATGGTGGCACCGACGTCTGTTTGCCCACTGCGTTGCTCACACAGCAACCGTACCGTCAACAGTGGTGAGGTACTTGATGAGGAAAAAACATAGCCGTACATTGTACGTGTAGCCTCGTCTTCTGCCTCCCTGCGTGACAGCGTCCGCAATGCCGTCACATTCATTCACTCTCACAAATCCCTCACTCGATTGCGCGCAAGCCCAGCACCCGGTCGGTCGCAATCCCCATCTTCATCAGCGCAACGCGCAACGCGCAATGCACATGCTATGCTGCGCTAAAGCAGGGGCTTCCCTATACCCCTGTCTGTACGTCAGGTCCCAGCACCACCTGATTGGCCATAAAACTCGCCAGTGTAGACCCACCACACCTCCATTGGGAATAAACGAAATTGTTTGCTCGGGGTTCCTCCGATCTTTGTCCAATCATATTGTCTAGAGTGGGTACATCAACAACATGGGTTGTCCGGCCTGCCATCCAACCAACGGCCCCAAAATCCAACGTCCCCTCCTCCTCCGTCACTCATCACCACCCAAGTGCAGGCATCGCACCCACAAGCGCGCCCTTCCCCCTTTCCCTTGCACAACTATTACAACCTACCTAACGCAGTTTTCGTACGAATATCTAAACGCCTTTCTTCTCTCTGCAAAGGGCAGCGCTACAGTTCCCTTCGAGAAGCACGGCACGTCTGCCCACGTACCTCATGCAGGCTACCACCGCATCAAGGAGGGGGGGGGGGAAGGGAAAAAACACGAATGCACCAAAATAGACTTCACCGTCGCTTCTCCCTCTGCCCTGGCGCAAGCCTCTTGTGGTCGGTGTTGGCGTTAGCGTGTATGCAGTTCCTACGCTACGTTGCCTATCATCATCTCTCAACTCTTTCGGCCCGGAAACTCTAAAGAGAGCCTGCCATGACCAGTGCCTTCCTCACACATGTCGCACCTGACAAGCGACAGTCAACAGTTCATCCCATCAACCTCTCTCCTGAAGAGCGGAAGAGAAGGCACATGGATGACCTCCTCCACTAACTTATATATAAGATATCTATGTACTCCCATCAGCGACAGATTGCGGCCTTTACTCGCCTCCCGAGAGCCTTACCGCGCCTCTCTGAAGAAGAGGCCTACATTGGGGGGCTCCAATTCCAAGACATGCGCCTTGACGTCAGCGACAAAATGGCGAGTGAGAGTGGGCTTGATAATATTCCTGAAACAAACCAGCTTGTCCCCCTAGTGCCGCCTTTTGCCTTGTCTCTTCTCCCCATGATCTACAACCCCGGTCAAGTACTCACCGGGTGCCGCTGCCCAAGGGTACTGATGCCTGGCAACTTCCGCTCGTTTCTGATGCCCATCTCCACACTCAAAATGACTGACTCTTCCTCAGCCCACTGGCAGCCTTATCCCGCCATCACCCATGCGGCAACAGGCGAAGGTTTGATGGAAAATATGCGGGCAATTTTTCGGGGGGAAAACAATACGCTACACCCGGATGCGACTTTGGAGGAAAGCACCGCGTGCAACCAACAACGTTCGGTCATCACGAATGGAAGTCAGAGGATTGGTTCACATTCATGACAGTACCCACGGGGTCCAAACCTTGGCCCAGGGACGCGGTACACCAGGCCTTACTGCTTGCTGTGCAACGTCACTCGACAACGAATCCGACCAGGTGCCGGTAGTGGCGGGCACTGTTTCAAGCATATCGAGCCCTGTCTGACGGAGTAGTTCGCTCCGGTAGTTTGGGAGAAACAAATACCGGTACAGGGCTAGTCGGTGACCCACCTTCGTCCTTCGGGCCTACCGACGTAATGTAGCTTCGCTACTGGGCATCTCGTCTCGTCTCCCGACTAGACTCCCTTGCTCTAAACGCTCGGTCTTCCATGCAGGCAGCCGAGTGATGCATGGCCATCGAAAGCCGTCGACAATAAACATTTCGCACACGCCAGCCCGATCGGTTCAGGCGTAGGTCAGCCTGGGGAGGGCCAGCATTTTCTACTGTTCCAGTAAACACGCACGGCCTTGAATACATCAACTTTTATCCACTCTTTTATCTACTCTGTAGGCTAGGCCGTCTCTTCCGTTCTAGGTGCGTTTTAGAGACATCGTCGTCCGTTATTAATCCAACGTGGCTGTTTTGGCGATTCACAATTCGACTTTTTTATTTTCAGGTCTGGACCTGGGGCTGGCGCAGCAAACATGGGCTGCTAAGTCAAGCCACCCAGCACGGTTCGCGCCCCTGGCATCGAGGCCTCATTTGCGCGGGACGTCCGCGCTCGTCGCGGGCAAAGCACAAGTGTGTCCAATCCTTCAGGGCACTGCAGTGCCTGATCCAACTTGCGTCGTCGGCCGCGTCAGGATACTGAAGAGCGCACCTAAACACGTCGAGACCCACCGTTCTAGTTCTCGACGGAGGCCCTCTCGCCACCGCACATTTTCTTCCAAGCTTTTCCCCTTCCGCCAGTTTACCGCGGAGGCGGCTGAGCACCCCACTGATGCGGTGGCTGAGGAGGTTGCTGAGGCGGTTGTTGTCCTTGCTGCTGCTGCTGCTGTCCACCTTGTTGCCCCTGATTCTGCTGCATCTGACCCAGCAACGCCGCGAAGAAGGCCGGGTTGATATACCCGCCGCCCTGCGGGTTCTGCGCCGTCTGTCCGCCCTGCGCCGGCCATCCAGGCGGCGGTGGCGGGACAGCGGGAAAGCCCTGCTGACCCGGCTGCACCGGCAAGCCGGGGAAAGGGAAGTTGAACGCAGGCGCCGCCGGTGCTGGCACGGTCTGCTGCGGTGGGGGAGGAGGAGGAGGAGCTTGGTAGCCGCCGTTGCCACCCCATTGTCCTTGAGGGTGCTGTAGGCCGCCGCCCTCCTGTTGCGACGAATGATGCCTTTGGTGCGGAGGCGCCGAGTATCCGTCCCTATGGTCCCCCCCTCCTCTCCCTCCGTGACCGCCCCGTCCGCGGCCGCGACCTCCTCTGCCTCTGTCGCCGCGTCCCCTGAAGTCACCTCGGCCGCCCCTACGGCCGCCGAACCTGCCCGGCTCGGGTTCCGTGGTGAAGGTCTGATGTGTCGGCGGAACCTGCCCGAAACCGGGGGGCCGCGCGAGAGGCTTGTACGGGCCGTCGTCCTCGTCGTCGTAGTTGAGGCCGCCTTCCACGGGTGGCGCGCTGACCTCGTTGCGCAGCGGGTGCGGTTCCCGACCGCCGCGTCCCCGCCCCTCGGCGGCGGCGCTGCCGCCCTTGCCGAACCTTGCCTCCTTCTTCTTCTGCTTGACCTGCTTCTTGTGCTCCGCCTCCTTCTCGTCGTCCGAGAACTCCATCTCGTCCTCGGCCACCTCCTCGTCATGGATGTTACTCGCGTCGGAGCCCTTGAGGTTCTTGAGCGGCTGCGTGAAGACGAACTTTGCGTGCGCGGGCGGGTAGTACACCTTGGCCCCGACGGCCAGGCCGGCCTCCCTGATCTCGTCGGCGGTCGAGAGCATGACGGTGTACATGGGCTGCAGCACCTTGCCGATCGTTTCCCAGACGACGCCGAACACCTTGCGGTCCTCGGTGCAGAGCACGGACCCCGTGTCGAGGACCTGGTACTCGCCCGGCGTAAAGGCCTTGATGACCATGATGTTGTCGACGATCTGGTCGACGAGGCCGAGCGCCTCGATCTTGTCGTCCGCCGCGAGCGTGACGTCGGGCTTGGGGACGGTCTCGACGACCATCTCGTTCTTGGTCCGGAGGTGGCCTGACGTGCCGGCCTTGCCGCCCTCGTTGCCGCCCTCGTCGTCCGAGCCGCCCTCCATCTCCATCAACATGCGCGCTGTCTCCTCCACGCCGAGCAGCTGGTAGCCGCCGGCCTCGGATTCCTCGTCGGACGAGGAGTCGTCGCTGCTCGATTCGGACGAGGACTCGTATGGCGAGGAGTCGATCTCCCACTCGGGGTGTTCGCCTTCGGCGGTGAGGGGCTGTTCTGCGGCGGTTTGTTCTGCGACGGCGGCGACGACAGCGGCATTGGCGCCCTCGGCTGGCTGGGGCGCCGAAGTGTCTTGGGCCGCCGCTACGGGGGTTTCTTGTGCCGCTACGGGAGCTTGTACGGGGGGCGTAGGGTCAAGTCCACCGATCATGGCTTCGAGGGCGTCCATCAGGGAGGGCTGCTCGTTGGCCTCGTCGACATTCATGGCCTCGGGATCGCTGGGCTGGGCCTGTTCTGGCGCAGCGGCAGGCTGGGCTTCAGTCGTCACGGCGGCGGGCTGGGTTTCCATGGTGTTCTCTCCCATTGTTGTGTCCTCGTTCTGTTGCTGTGTCTGCTCTTGCTTCTCCCCTTGCTTCTGGTCCTGGGCTCCGTTACCAGTGTCGATGCCCTCGAAGCTGGCCGCCGCTGGAGGCACATCGGGTGGCAGAGGCGGCAAGGTCTCGTTAGGTTTCGCGAGCCCCAGGCCGGGGATCTGGAAGCCCGACATGTTCCCGGCGTTTGGCAAGTGTTCCGGTGGTCGCTTTCACTATCTGGTGGAAAGTAGGTTGCTCCTTGTAAATTTGAATCGAACTGCGAAGAGTTCTCGAGCGCGCGTTTAAAATTGGAAAACAAACAGACCTTTGAATAATGGGAGACTCGGGAGCGCAAAAGAAATCGAGAGAGCCGGGGGACCGATAAGAAAATTTTAGTGGGGTCAACTCAGCGATAAAAAATAAAGGTGGAGCTGTCTTGCATTGGTGCCGTTCCCCCCACCTCCCACCTTCACCGACCTCACCTGCTTCCAAAAAGAGTCACCTTGGACTTACACCCGCATTTCTATTTTCAAAAATAGTAATCATGATAACAATGTAAAATGAAGGGGGAAAAGGGGGGAGGGGGGAAAAGACTCGACCTTTATCCGAAGATATAGACGTATGAAAATCCCGGAGTTTCAAGAAAGTCTCCCGAGACCTTGGACCAACACCGAAGAGTATGTCGGTTTAAATGGATGAGAATGTCCCAATAACAGCACTTAAGTAACCGACGTTGCCTCTCGAGGTTCCCCATCTATGAGAGAGTGAGCGCTTCTAGTCCTGGAGATGTTCAGCCATTATGATATGCCACTCATGTCTCCAATGCGTGACGAGTTTACCTTGACCCAGATACTGATGTTTATTACAAAGCAAGCGAGGTATGCGGTCAAAGAGACTTTCTAGATTGCCTCACATGAGAGCATCGAGCGCCTTGTCCAACAAGGGTTAGCACCCAAAGTAGATTATTCAGGATTGAAACATTCTGATATAAATACCACGGGAGTGAATGGAAATGTTTCCACGAAGAAGCCGACCCAGGGTGTCGTCCGTTATGCGGAGTTCTTTCTGTTAGGGGGAAACGGATGGCATCGACTACTACGTGAAGGCCTTCCTTAGTACATGCAATCCTTTAAACATGAAGAAAGAAAAATATAGAAAAAAAAAGCACTGTTCAAATCACAATGTTGATAGCTACTACTTCCTTGGAATGATTGTGTGTGGACTGATAATGCTAGCCTGTCAGTTAGGTCATACCGACCGCGCGAACCGCACGACAAAAGGCTGCCGTTATGATCTTGGCTATGGGATAGGAAAAAATTGGCCAATGCTACTCCAGAAAAGAGATTACATACGAATCTAAGAGTCCTAGGGCCATTCCCAGGCCAAAGGCTGCAAGTGATGTTGATGACCCTGCTCAATGTTGTATTATGATGTGTCTCAGCAAATTTTCCGCGCGCGTACCCCTGAAGCGTTTGGGACATATAGGAAATTGCGGAACGGCCCGTCTATGGATGCTTTTTTTAATGGCAGTCGAGATCTCTGGGTGTGGTGAGGCGCTTTTTGCAGTCGGACGTTCCACGGGCATGGGGCCTGGCATAAGAACGCGTACGTTCCTTATCCACTTCGTCTCTGTATTTGATCAAAATGATACTAAGAAGACTTACTTTAGACTTCTCACGTTATTGAAAGCTCGACTGCAGGTTGGGCACTTGCGACTTCCGGAACTGGAGGTAAGACCACCATCACTCGACGTCGATGTGCCCCCGGACATGAGCGAAGACTTGGCAATCTTCGATGAATAGCCAAAGACTCCTTGACCCGCTCCATCCCTCGGGCCTGGTGAGGATTGCTCCTCGAGATTCGTAACAGTGCTGCCTGGTAGATGACCGAGCGCCCACTCCATAAAGTATGGGCGACGGCCCTGAGGCAGCTTGAACGACGACTTGACCCGACAAACCACCTAAGTCGTTCCCGTACAGTCGTGCTTCGTAGCTGAAGGTGTGCAATGAAACTTTGCTGCTGCTCCTTGTTTGTTCAGGTCTGTCAACAGGCTGGTGAGAGTAAATTCAATGTCAACTACTGACGATAGGTTTGGATATGGCATATCTCCTCTCATACTGTAGTCATCATCTGGAAACGAAATTGGAAAGGATGTAGAATTTCAAATCGTTTTTGGTTCCTATCTACTTACACAAACGTTGCTGCATCGATACTGCAATCCAGACATGTGTACATATACGGTGCGGGTGGGCGAGCTGCCCCACAAAGCAAAGACTTTTCTTCTTTTCCGTCCCGAAAAAACATGCCAGTTTTCCCATGGGGTATCTACCGTCAACGCCAGACCCAACTCAGACAAAATTCCTCCTTTCCAGATCCTTTGCAGACGTATCGTAAAGGGTACCAGCAAAAGCGATAGACCAGAAAGAGGTACAAACGGGAGGGGCGATAGTGGCTAAGTGCGTGCGAATCAGTAGTAGCCACGGCCCTTACCACGATTACGCCGGTGGTGGTTCGGGCCGCCCCAGCCACCGCCGCCGCCGCCGCCGCCGTCATGCCGCTTGTCACGGTGGTTGTTATGGTTGTTGTGATTATTGTGGTTCGGGCGCTCCGGCTCGATGGGAACCTCAACCTCGACCTCGTACTCCTCGTACTCGTCGCGATAATACGCCTCGACCTCCTTGCGCTCCTGACGGGCCTGCTCCGGGTCAAAGACGAAGCGCATCGTGCCGTCCTGGTTGCGTCCGTTGCGCTTAGCGCTGTTGCTACCAAAGAACGAGATATTCTTGAGGACCGAGACGCCATTGGATAGGTTCTCGTCCTCGCCGCCGTCGCAGTTGTTGCACCAGTGGGCATACCGTGCGAGGTTCGGAGTGTTGTCGACCTCGTTGTTAATGACGATCTTGACCTCGATGAACTTGTTCAGGTCGAACTTGTTGCCAAGCTTGGTGGACTTGCCGTGCTGCGTGTAGAGGTCGAGCAGGTCGAGCACGGTTTCGACCACGTTCTGGCGAGTCGTGTGGAATTCGGCGTAGTTGATCCGTTCGATCTTGTCCACCCCCTCGCCGAGGATTCGAGCGGTTAGCTCGAGCAAGCCCAAAGCCATGGCATAACTGGTCTGCTTGATCGGAGCGAAGGTCTTGTATAAATCCACGCTCATGTCCATCGCGATAGAGAAGATCTTCTTTGAGTCGGGGCCCATGATCTTCTTTGTGGCCTTGAGCAGAGCGGATTGGGGGTAACGGCAACGAAAGTCGAAGCCAACGGTTTCGAGGACCAAGCGCTCCAAGCCTATGATGATCTTGGAGGGTTGCTCAAACATCTGTAGGTGGGTTAGTCATAATCCCAACAGGCAGAGGGAGTTCTCTTCACGCACCTTGTCGTCCTGGGTCGTGGTATGGTCAGGGTTCTTAATGTTGTACGCAGCACATAGGAGCTCCTTGGACTTTTTGATGGTATCCTCAACCTTGCAAGCAAGGAAGAGCGCAGCCACGGCGGCATCCTGGTAGTTGTACTCGGCGTCACGAAACGACAGTCTGAACCAGTGGTAGTAGACGCAGGCGGTGTCGAAAGTCTTGACGGGGCTACAGAGAACAAAGTCAGTGTTACTGTCCGAGAAAAATTGCAGCAGGATAGGGCCCGGCGTACACATGTAACAAGGTTCGGATGTTATCGATGAGCTGTACACCTTGAAGACGGTAGTTATCCTCCCTGGCGGGATCACTCTTATTGTCTCGCAGCATGCGTCTCAATCTCTGTTCGCTGGTATACTGGCACGCCACTTGAATATGACCGGGGTGCGGCCCCTTCGAGGCCGCAGGCTCGGGGGTAGGCGTCGGGGCAGGGTTTGCAGCGCTAGCATTCTGCTGCGCCTTAGGGCCGGAAGGCGCCATCGTGATGTCGCCGTCACGTTCGACAGGACAGCCAGCTATGGTCTTGTCGCTGTCCTCGTTGTCCTCGTCGTTCCAGAGCGGACCTGTAGAATCGCTGGTACCCAGGCCGTCCTGATTGTCGTTACCGTCGTCGTCGGTCTTGGTATTGTTGTTGGTCTTGTCCTCGCCGTCGTCTACGTTCTTGTTCGTATGCGGAGCTGGACGGATGGGAGGTGTGATCCAGCTATAGTCCTCGAAGAAAACGTCGTCGCCGTCGAGTGGCAGGTCGAGGATGTGGTTGGGCGCAAGAAGTTCAATCTGTCTGCGCGTAGCCTCTGAGACCTTACGTCCCCAGTGCTTTAGAACGCCCAGGTAGATTTCCGTCAAAGTCGCGGTGGGGTGCGTGAAAGGTGCAGGAGCTGCATCGGAGGCGTGCCAGTCAACTCGTCCAGCAATGCGCACGGACCATGGTTGCCATCCAGGGTGGGTCACCACCAGGAGCCGGAGCCGAGGCGGGACGACCGAACAGTCTTGCCGGTACAAAACCCGGATCAGCTTGGGATGGCCACCCGCGCAGATGTCCAACACCTCGGTGCCCAAACCCCCGGGCGCCAGGATGTTACTTGGCACTGGATACCCATTGAGGGTGTCCATGTCATGCGGGATAGGCCCTGTTGCCATCTGTAATTGACCATGGCGTATCAGCAAGTGATTAAGGGAAAGCGCACAACCACAAGCGTCGGCTGAAAATGCAGCGGGGGAAGAACCTCCCGGGGGGGAAAAAAGACATCATAAGTTTGTATTGGCCATGGAGGGTAGTAGAGGTTGATTTCGGAAGCAAAATGTCGACGAATAACTCACCGCGTCGAAGGGGAAAATATGTCGCGTAGTTGGTCGGCAGACAGCAGCACATCGTCTTGACACCTCCAACTTCTGGTGGTCAGAGAAGGTATCGCGACGCGGCGGCGAGCTTTAGTCCTTCGAGATGATTCGCAAGGAGTGCAAAACTTCGAGGAGAGGGGTGAGTGATATCGGGCTGCTGGAGTCGGCGAGATGAGCGTGGATGGGCTCAAGAAGTATATATCGAAGGAAGAGACAGTGCTGAGAGAGCCTCAACGAGAATGAGGCTGACGATACACTGGGGATGAGGAAAAGAAGATGTCAAGGTATCAAAGGCGATTTTGTGTCTATTTTCCTGGGCAGGCTTTGGTAGGCTGCCCTCAAAAGGTAGGTACAATAATAATGGTCTTTCCCAAATGCGTTTCCGTTTCGCCCGACAGCCTCCGAGAACCCAAATCTTTGTTCACCTGGACGGTGTCGAGTGAAGAATGTGCGGCTGGCGAGCTCTGGGTCCCGAGTGGTATCTTCCGTGAGCACTGGGACACTCTCCCGGAGCAGTCAGCGGCCTAGACCGGATGTGCACATATGTGAAAGGGGGTATCTATCAATGGTGTTAGTGCTGTGCTAAGCTGTACGCCCTGAAGACGACAAGGTGTTGTAAGAACATCAGTGTTGCTTGGTTTCAATGTATAAACCCATTCTCGTCTCAAAACATTTGGGGAATGCAAATGATCAGGCAAGAGGTGAGGTAGATGGAAGAGAGTACAACTGATGAGTGTATATATGTACACCACGTACCATTTTCTCCATCTCGCAAGCCAAAACAGCAACACCGAGTAGAAATCCAAAGCCGATTTGCGTCAATGCCCCGTCAACAGGCGGTCCTGTTGGGTAGACGTTGAGTGACTACCCCGCTCACTCGGTGCCGCTCCATCACAACCTCTTCACTCGTCGCACGTGTCCGCCTGAGGGACCCGTCGGTCGATGGCCGGGACCTCGGGCGCAACGGTGTTGGGATCCAGTGTCGGGATCTTGAAGGTCTGGAACGGTGCTGCCAGAACGGCAACCGGGAAGAGAACGAGGAGAACCTTGGAGAACTGCATTTTGATGTATGGTGGTTTCTCAAAGGGGAAAAAAAGGACGTCTGGTAATCTGTGCGGGAGATGGAAATAGAAACGGCTGCAGATAGCCAACGTCTGAAGGGAGGAACGGACGAAGAGGGTGGATGTTCAAATTAGATAAAACTGGGCAACTCTGTCTTTGGTAATCCGTTCTTGATGGTAACTTGCTGCGTTTCATGTGCGGCCCAGGAAGCGATGGTCGTCGATACTTAAAGGGCGGGACGGCCCAACTTGCAACACCCCTGGCCTATCAATCAATAGCGGTTAAACGAACATGACGTCCAAGCCTAAGACCCCCCCTAAATATTGGTGGATCGACGTTACCCAGCCACGAGGCCATTCATGCACCCTTCGGTCGTCAGCGTCGTCAGCTGTCGAAGTACCGGGTGATGCTTGGTATACCCAGAGGGGCAGGGCTTGGGCGGGAGGCTTGGGAGTGGTTGCTTGAAACAAGGCCTTCCAAATCGCGTTTCAGAGGTCATGGAATCCCACCAGCCTGGGACCTACCTACCTGCCAACCATACGCCTGCTAGCGTGTGGTGGTCGGACGGGCCGCCGCCATCGACGTAGGACCCTCTAGTTATCGAAGTCGTCGTTCCAACAGGTTACTCTACCGTCCGAGAGCCCGACTAGCTCTGCAGAGGTCGACCGACACTAGAAGGCCCGGCGAGCATTGCCACCGCTCTAGGTGCCAGAAACAGAGAGCACGAGCAGTCGGACCTCTTCCAAGACTTTGACGGATGTTGACAGTAATGCCAAGGAGTCCGGCCATAGAGAGAACGAGCCTAAAGCCAGGCGAGATATCGAGGTTGGGGCTCCGTAACGCTCCTAAGCCACTGCATCTCGTGACTTTGGTGGCACGGACCATGACTGTCCTTTGCGTGCGCCACATGGCCCAGGTCACTCTGTCCGTGGCCAATGGGAAGCTTGAGTGATAGGGAGATAGAGAGCCCCGAGAGCTCACCCAGCCACCCACCTGTACGGATAGCGTCTGTGCCTTTGTGCCGTCAGCTTTCCCTCGTCACAGTTGCTTCCCCCTTTGGCAATTAAGCTCAGCGGACCTTCCGGACCAAGCTTCGCGTTTACCAAACTTCTTTTTATATATATTTTTTTTAGTCACAGAGTTAGTAGTTTAGGCACGGAGAAATCACAATACGAACGCAATGAAGTCTCTCTCCATTTCTAGGCTCCTCGCAGCTGGTTCCTTGGCCGCCGTCGCGTGCTCGGCCGCAACCCCCCAGAGACCCCTCTCCGACGACGCCTCCGACGACCACCCCATCCCTCTCGTCATCTGGCACGGCCTTGGCGACTCGTACGATGGCGAAGGCATCAAACAGGTGGGCGAGCTGGCCGAGGAGATCAACCCCGGCACCTTTGTCTACACAGTCAAGGTCGGCACCGACCCCAACACCGACCGGTCCGCCACCTTCTTCGGCAACGTGACGACCCAGCTCGAGCAGGTCTGCGAGGCCCTCGCCACGCACCCCATCTTGTCCACCGCCCCCGCCATCGACGCCATCGGCTTCTCTCAGGGTGGTCAGTTCCTCCGCGGCTACGTCGAGCGCTGCAACAGCCCCCCCGTGCGCTCCCTTGTCACCTATGGCAGTCAGCACAACGGCATCGTCGAGTTTAAGGCCTGCGGCGACTCCGACCTGCTCTGCAAAGGCGCCATGGCCCTGCTCCGCTTCAACACCTGGTCCGGCTTCGTCCAGAACCGCCTCGTGCCCGCCCAGTACTACCGCGACCCCGAGCCCGCCCAGTACGAAAAGTACCTCGAGTCGTCCAACTTCCTGGCCGACATCAACAATGAGCGCGAGCTCAAGAACGCCCGGTACAAGAAGAACCTCGCCAGCCTGGCCAACTTCGTCATGGTCATGTTCGAGGACGACACCACCGTCATCCCCAAGGAGACGGCCTGGTTCGAGGAGGTCAACGGCACCGAGAGCCTGCCGCTGCGCGCTAGGGCCATTTACAAGGAGGACTGGATCGGCCTCCGGGAGCTGGACCGTAAGGGTGCCCTGCGGTTCCGCCAGGTCCCTGGCGAGCACATGCAGCTGTCCCAGAAGAGCCTCAACAAGACCATCCAGGAGTTCTTTGGCCCCTACAAGAAGCACTTCGAGGCCGAGGCGAAACCCGGTTTCCTCACCGAGGAGTTGTAAGTTCGGAATCACGAAGCTTGATTGAGGGAAAATTATGGTTGGCGACAAACTGGTACGATCATGTTGAGACAAACAGGACACTCGGGGAGTAAAACGGGCAAAGTTGTACAGCACTAGTTTCTTTCTATCGATCAATCCTTAGCCACTCGAGTTAAAATGGTTATTTTGTTTGAACCAACGCCGTACGCCATAAAACCATGCATGGTATAATCCCGCACGTAAAACCGTCCGTCTCTTTTTCTTTTTCGGGTAAAGGGGGAGTCTTTTTTTGTTTCAAAGCATGGCAGAAAAGCGCTTTTTTTTTTTTAGTTGTCCAGGGCAGCCTTGGCCTTGGCCTTCTGCTTCTTCAGCTTTTCTTTGCGCTCCGAGATCTGCTTGTCGAGGACGTCGTCGTTGCTCTCGGGCAGCGCCTTCTGGGCAGCCTCCTTGGCGGCCTTCTTGGCCTTCTTGGCCTTAGGCTTGCTGCCGGCCTCCTCGTCGTCTCCTTCGGCGGCGGAGCCGAGAGACTTGCGCTTCTTGCCGACGTTGGCCTTCTCCTTGATGGCCTTGGCCTGCTCGCTGTCGTCGGCGACGATGTCCTTCTGCTCCAGCCAGAGCTCGTCCGTCAGCCAGACGGGCAGGGCGGCCGTCTCCTGGCCCTTGATGTAGATGCTCTTGACGTTCTGCCACTTTTGCGGCACCCACTTCTCGACGAGGGCGTTGACGACGGCCGTGGCGTTGTCGGCAACCTGGTCGGCGGAGAAGCCGGCGTAGCCTATCCGGATGGCGGTGTTGGTGGAGGGCGTCAGGCTGACGAGGGCGGCGCCGATGGCCTTCTCGATCTCGGCGGCGATCTCCTGCGGCGTGCCGGCGTTGACGGTGCCGGGGGCCTTCTTCTCCTGGGACTTGGCGCGCTTGCCGTCGGCGTCGCGGGGGGCCTTGGCCGAGAGGACGACGGGGACGGGCCTCTTGGCGGTGGTCTTGTAGAAGGTCTTGCCGAGGGCCTTGGGCAGGCGGCTGACGATGCGGTCGTCGGCGAGGAAGATGTCGTGCTCGGCGAAGAGCTTGCGCTGGGCCTCGTACTGCTTGAACTTGGACTTGAGGTGGGCGAGGTCGACGACGCGGGTCACGCGCTTGCGTAGGGCCTCGGGGAACTCGTCCGAGGCGACGATGTTCTTGTAGGCTCGCTGGGGATCGGCGGTGATGAGGCATATCGTCGACTCCTCGTCCGTGTTGAGCGGGTGCGGCAGGGTGATCTTGCCGGGCTTGAGGCGGGCGCTGTCGGCGATGTGGCGCTTCGTCGTGAGAGTCAGCCAGATGGGCTGCTGGGCGACGTTGGCCTCCTCATCGTCGAGGTCGGCGAGCAGGTTCTTCTTTCCGGATTCTGCAGACTTTTCCTTGGCGGCCTTCTTGATATGAGCCAGGAGAGCTTTGGAGGCCTTCAGGGTCTTGTGGTTTTTTTTTCGCACATGTTAGCTGCGCGCGGTCTTCGGGGAGGCGGGTGGGCGGCTTGCGCAAAGCGGCAGACGGCGACGGAAGCGGAGTTGGGAATTTACCTGTTCGGGATCAATTGAGGGAACGACATCCTTGGATGCGACGGCGACAGTCTTTGAGGGGGCCATGACTACGGTTGACGGGTGGGAGGCTCGTCTGGTGTTCTGGCTGTAAATGTCGGGATGTACAATCTCTGCCGATACAGAGAGATGTGGTGGTGGGGGCAACCAGAATCTTTAGACGGTCGTCCAGAATTTTTTTGTTGCAGGGATCAGGTGTAATCGGCGGATCCAGAGCGCCGGTGCCGACGGGTCCGTGCACGCCGCTGACCGAGGTGAAGGTCTCGGTGAAGGCCGGTGTTTAACCGCAGCCATCACGCCGGTGGGCTTGACGTGGATTTCGGTAAACCGTCACAGCTGCCCAATACAGTATCATGGGGCTGTTGTCGAGCAAAGGGGCTTTTCGGAATCTCACGGCTTGGTTGACATAAGATTGGTGTCCAATTGCAAGCGCGAATATTCACTAGTCTTGACGCGTTCAGTGGTTTTGATACCGCGTTATAGAGTGCAGAGGCGGCACGCCAATCATCCAACTCTGACACTCCCAACGCCGAGATGCGCGCGTTCAGACTGCGTCTTGCTGACTTTTTCCCAATGCAAAATGCAAAATCGTCTGGATGAGCCTTTGCGTACCAATCAAGGCTGGTTATACCGATGTACATTACATCAGTTGGTGCTGACACGGGCCGTGGTGTAGTATGCAGCCGTGTCTCAGTCTGAAAACGGGGCCTCAGCAATGTGCAAGACTCTGAAAGTGTGGGCAAGTAGGCTGTGGGCCGGACTCCCTCTGCGTCCATGCACTTTCATTCCAATTGGAAGTGCCGGGACCGTCTTTTTTTTAATGTCTCTTCTTTTTTTTTGTTTGTCAAAAGCCTCAGCGGGCTCTGGTTTGTGCGTGTATGAGAGAGGGAGACGAGAGCGCGACTTGGGTTAGCGATGTGGGGTGGACGCGGTGATGGATGGACGGTTCGGGAGACTGGGGGCTCAGCACGGGTCGGGTGGTGTCTAGACAGCTCATTTCCCCCACGGCTAGTCAGCTTCATACAGGACGCGTTGGAACACGACTTGACAAAAAAGGCAACCAAGTGCGTTGAGCAAGGGATGAGGGACCACTGTGACAAAGACGTGATGGAGGAGAGCACACAGGGTAGGTATCGTATGCAGGTGATTAATATATCACCAGCCAAGGGTTCCCGGGTGGCAGCACTCTACGCGAGGAAACACGGTTCTTGATGGCTCGTTTCAACCCCTTTGGCGCGCATTACATACCGGCCTGGCACGAGGATAGGCTTTCTGTTTTTGATTTATCTACTTGGAGCTTTGGCTCGGCTCTCGCATCCCAGTCGCTGGGGATCGGGCTCAGTCTCACAGGGCGGTGGAAACAGGTTGGAATTGGACATGCCCGTGGCAGGGAAAGGGAAGGCAGATATACCAGAGAAGGGAGAAGGCCGCGCTGGAGGGCCAATGAGTTTTGGAAGTTGGACGAGAACCGGAGCAACATGGTGATTTGGGTGTGAGCCACAGGGATGGGATGGGTAGAATATCAGGGAACAGGATGGTTGTGGAATGCATGGCTCTGCCTGATAGAGCGATAGATACTCAGCCAGCCAAGCAACGCGCCGGCAATAGTAACGTAAATCGCTTTACTCTTACCAAGTAGTACCTATGTATGTACCTTTGGACCAGGCTTTGGCTTGCCGGGGTTGACAGTTAGGGCGAGTGGGCTGGCTTTCTTTGTGCGCGTCTGGTTTGCTTTGTCTGCGGCAGCTAATTAGGTTCTTCAGCGTTGTCCGTCGTTAGATAGGTGCAGATCGAGCCCCACCGTATGTATCCGTAGGGACTAGGAAGGATGATGAATGCTGACCATCGGCTCATCGGGCAAAGAGCCTGTGCGTGCGTGCGTGCGTGCGTGCGTGGTGTATGTAAGAGAGACGCGCAGCGGAAGTGGGACTGCGACTCGCGAGTCTTGGGTTTTCCTTCCTCTCTTGCTCTCTTTCTCTCTCTCTCGCCCTGTGTATCCGTGGTTAGTGGAGACCGAGACATGATTTCAGGGAGGCTGGATCGGCGAGACTCAACGTTGGAAGAGGGGCATAACGACGGTTGTATCCAGCCAGAGGATTGCAGGTTTTGCACGGGATGGCTGGAGATCAAAATGGCGGTCTACACGACATGACTTATGGGAAAAGAAAGAGTTGCAAGTGACGGAAGAGAGACTGTATGTCTGCACAGTCTCATACAACTTCCGATACTAGCTAGGTAGGAGACAGACAGAATGACAGACCGATTGACAGATGGGCAATTAAACATGGATGTCAGTGATGCAAGCCAAGTGCCCGCTAAAGGCTCAGACAATGAATGGCCCACGTTCAGCGACCATGGCCTGGAAACACGGTCGGCTTTAGCGTTCCTACCCGCTGTAGTCAGCTACAAGCTCGCTGTAAGTCAGTCTAGTCCCGGCGGGTACGCGGCCGCCAACCCCACACCAAGCACAAAAGTCAGCACGGTGCTGCACAATTAATTCCTCGACACCAACCAGCGCGCGCCAACTACGCGGAGGGGAAGGGACGTGGACGCGCGAGAGACACGCTTCGCTTTTTTGGCAGGGCCCCTCAAAAAGGTCCAGGGCCGCACCTCTGGGTCGCCTTTCATCAGACCTGCAACCACTTCGACTCTTTTTTTCTTCTCACTCCCTTCCTTTTGCTAGCTAGGTAAGGTAATGAGTGTGGCCTTGGATCCTGCAGACCCTTCTTCAGCAGATTGATTCTTTGTTGAAGCTTCTCTCTCTCTCTCTCTATATCCTATCCTCCTCTTTGCCTACTCGCCTACCTACCCACCTGCCTTACTGTATATCCTTCCGCCCATCACCACTCGTGGCCCCCCTGCCAGGAAGAGAGCCACTTACACGCTTACCCCAACGACGCCAGCGACTCACGTCCGAGCTGACAAGCGACACCCGCGCCGAGAAAAACGCGCCCAATCTGCAACGCGGTGGAAGGAGAACAAGATATAATAAAAAAAAAGAAGAAACAAAAAGAAGGATTGAAGAAGGACATCTCAAGGAAGAAACCTTTCTATACAAGGACTGGTCATCGCTTTGGGGACTTTTATCTTTCTTCCAATATTCTGCTGCTGCCTGGGCATGTCGTTGCCGCTGCAATGATGGACTCGTCACCCCAATCTACTAAGCTCCAGGAGCCTATGCTCCCTCTGGCCGGCACCAAGCGTTCCGCCCCGAGCCTTCTGCCGGCATTCGAACCTCTCTCCTCCTCGCCGGGCTTCCCTCGACCTTCCAAAAGACAAGCCAGACCCGGTTCTGTGGGAGGACCCAACGCGTATCTCAAGTACCCCACGCCCATCCCGACCTCGAGCACTGGCATCCTCTCATCTTCACCACCCCGCGTCCACCAGAGACCAGCCGGCTCCTCGCGAGCTCTCTCCTCCGCCTCCGAACGCACCCCCCTCGGCGCTGTCGCCTCCATTGAATTGAACGCCAATGGCGAGACTCTGCTCATGGGCCGCTCTAGCAACTCGTCCCACTACCAGCTGTCCGCCAACCGTCTCGTGTCCCGCGTCCACGTCAAGGCGCGATACGTGCCCGCCCCTTCGGCATTGGAGCCCAACAAGATTGAAATCATTTGCAACGGCTGGAACGGAGTGAAGCTGCACTGCCAGGGCCGGACATGGGAGCTCCTCAAGGGTGATTCCTTCACCTCCGAGACCGAAGGCACCGAAATCATGCTCGACGTCCAGGATTCCCGCGTCATGATCCAATGGCCGAAGCGAGACCGCCGTGATCGTCTCGCAAGCCCCGACGACTCGGCCTGGGGTGACTCGCCGCCCCGCTCCGCCGCCCGTGCTGTTGCCGACCTTCTCGAGTCGAGCCCCCTGCGCCGCCCCTCGCGTATCGAGTCCCCTGAATCACCCACGCCCGCGCACCTGTCAAGCTCGCAAAGGCTTCAGGCCCTTCTTCCCACCGATGACGGCGAGGTTCACATCTACGAGGACTCCAATGCCGAGGAGCCGGAGCTGCCCAAGCTAGTTGAATCCACCACTATTGTCGGCGAGAGCTTCGCAACCGAGGCCACCAACTCCTTCTCCTCCGAGCTTAGTGAGCCCGAGGATGTCAACGATCCAGATGAGGAGAACGACCCCATTGTCCACTCTTTCGGCCCCTTCGGCGCAGACATCTCCAATCGCCTGGCCTCCATCACCACCGCATCTCCCAAGTTCCCGTCCTTTAAGCGGTCAGGCCTGTCCACGATCCACGACGACGCCAATGCCCCCAACCCCTCCAGCCCCATCTCGGCACCGCCAAAGTCAATGAAGGAGGAGGACGATGACGATGGGGAACCGAGGAAGGCGCAGCCCCCTTACGAGAACCCCGCTGTGCGCAACCACGTTGTCAACCAGCTCGCCTTCTCCCGTCTGTCGTCCAACCCGCTGTCGACCATCATGAACAACCTGCCGTCCGAGGAGAAGAAGGGCCTCACCAAGGATCAGCTGCGAAGCCTGATCGAGGCCACGGCGTGCATCGGCATCATCCAACGCCAGGGCAAGGATGCCGCTGGTCAGCCCCTCGAGAGCGAGTACTACTACGTCCCCGAGTTCGACGACGACGATCAGCGCCGTCTCGCCGTGACCGACGGACTACGCAAGCCCAGTTTGAGAGCGTGTCGAAAGCAGCACAAGGTGAGCCATAGTGGGTCGAGGGCACGTTTCGAGCAAGTTGGAACTAATATTGGCTGTTTAGCAATACTACTGGAAGCGCCCACGCACACCCTGAGCCGCACCTGTTCAGGCTTTTATGCCATATCTTCTGCTCCTACGCCCTTGCATTGCTTGAAGTGAGCCGAGCCATGCTGATGCCATGCACAGCATGGCCTCTAGACTATACTCACTACCCGAACCCTCCCTCCCACTATCTATACCTCGGCTCCTAGAGGGACCCTTGGGCAAAAAACACTCGTGTGTTACCGATTGCATAGCGCAAGGCGTTCTTCTTTTATCAACTTCACCTTGCTGTTTTTGTTTTGTTTTGTTACTCTCGTAGCACTATTGTACGATCAAACCATTTTATACCTCTGGGTGGGCACTCTTATTTTTATCCCAAAGATTCCCACAAACACACCCTTGCCTACAACCCCACTATTAGATGAGAGACGCGTCATGCCCCGAGCAATCCAGGTAACGATTTGGAGTGAGGGGTATGTCCGGTTTTTTTTGGTTGTTGATTTTAGTCGTTCTGTTCGTCTTTTTTTGCTGCACTTTGCTTTGATGCGTTGGAAGGGGGAATGAAAGATGGAACATGAATTGGATGGGGCGGTGAGGCGTCGGCCAAACGCAGGAATGAAAATGATGGTTGGATGGTACGTACGGAGGGTGAGGGTTTGAAAAGCGGACGAACCACGCCAGTATCAGAAAGGACCGATGAATAAAACAAATGTTCTTCCATGTGATATGGACCGGTTCGCATGGTGGTGCCATGCTAAGGGTGTGTGGTGTGTGTGTGTGTGTAGAAGTTGCATGTGTCAACAGCCGATTCCGTTGCGAGTCCGCCATGCTGCCGGGTCTGGAGATGCTCCGGGACGAGGTTCATGCGCGTCCAGCTCGCGTCTGCCAACACCCGACCAAAGCTCCTGTTCGTGCCTCGAGCGTCTGTTTTACGGCGTGCTCTTCCACCACTCGACCGTGTTAACATACCAGCTGTGAGCAAGAGCCATTTGCCGCCCGTCACGAGAGCGAGGCTCGTCGACTCCTGTCCAAGCTCATCCATCCAAAGTGAAGCCAGCCTACCTACCTAGGCAAGCGAGCGAGGTCGTCCCGCTTCCGTCCGGAGCTCCTGTGGGGCCTAGAAACCCCACGGCGCGTGCGCACGGTCCACATAGTGCCGATAACGCCCGATAAGGTTAAACAAAAAGAGACCTAAGGAAAATGTCCCGTGGTCGGCGGCGGGCCCACCCCGGGGGGGAAAAAAGGGTCTCGACCACGTCTTACCCCGCAATGACGGCAGCGTGCGGCCAGTCTACGGGAGCCTCACCTCATCCTGCGTACCTAGCATGTCTCTCGCCTCACGTTCGCTCCTCCTCCTCTCCCCCCTTCCCAAGTAAGAGCGGACGAGTAGTATACAATGCAATACGGGGAAAGTAGTGAAGACTAAGAATTCCAGTGCGACCCACTCTTTCTCGAGGGTTAAGTTGGTCAAGACCGGGGTTCTAAGTTCCAGTGAACACATTGTAGGGCCTGAGAAGCGTCACACCGGGAAGAGCATGGGCTTGAAACTCTCGTCTCCCCCTCCCCGCCTCCATGGTCGACGGATGGAGGAGGTGTGGACGTCTGGTGTGCAAGTGTACCTAGTGTAAGTAGCAACGGACCCGGTGCTCTTCTAATGGGAGGTGGCGAAACCCCCCTTCCCTCCGCGCCCCCCCCGCTCCATCCATCGCGCGGTGGAGGCAAGCGAGCTATGATGCTATACGCGTGATCGTCGTCCGATGCGTTTGTGCGGCCACCGCCGTCGCTACGTCAACAGCGCCCCCCCTCCCGAGAGGGGAGGGTCTAGTCGAATCTTTACCCAACGCAGATGGCTCGGTATCTTGGAGATATGCATCCTGTCGCAAGGATCTTATAACTACTATGTAAAAAAGCAGGGTGGTATGAGGGGGGTAGGGTCGTCTTTGGTGTGCTGGCGCCGGGTGCTACTGCACGGGTAGAAAAATAAAATTAAAAAAAAAAAAACCGAGACCGATCGTCGTAGGACAGAGGTGTTTGGGCACGAAAGAAGAAGAAGAAAAAGAGGAGGAGGTGGAGGTGGTGGTGGTGGTGTGAGTGAACCAGTGGTCTGGCTAAGACCTCGAAGGTGTACTGGACCCTGAAGAAAGCCAACCACGACGACCCCGAGGAATGAGCTTCCTTCATCTCAGGTCTTTCCTGGGGAAGTTAAATAGGTGCAAAGATCCGTCCTTCCTCCTCGTACGTTCCCTCACCTGACCCTTCCACCCCAAATCACCCGTTTATCGTGTGGTAATAAAACCTACATTCCAAAACCACCTGGATATAAACATACCAACCTCTCCCGCCACCATTCTCCAAACGTCCTCCATAACCAGTTGTTCGAACAAAAACCAAAAAGACACCAACAAAAACACCCAAAACCACAGAACATCTTTCCCGCCCAAAAACCCAGGCAAACAGAACAAAGTCCTCTCCAAACATGTCATCCGAGCAGACGCCCCGCACCGCCGCCGCCGCCGCCGCTTCCGCAAACACCAACACCACCCCCGACACCTCACACTACACCACGGCCTCGCACGCCACCTCGGCGCCGCCCCAGATCGTCGAGCGCACCAACAGCTGGAAGCCCTCGTTCGGCCGCCGCCAGAGCTGGAACCCGGAGGACCAGAAGCGCGAGCTGCAGATGAGCCACATCGACGACGTCAAGACCGGACCCGGCTTCACCGAACGCGCCTAGAGATTGGGTGGGGGTCTCCGTGTTTTTTCCAAGGAAACCAGGCTGCCGTCCATTGTTTGCTCGACCAGATCGCGCGCGCGTGCCGGGCCCTTAACCGCATGTGGTAATTTGAAAGTTAAGGAAAACACGAGGAAGGATGCACTGGTTGGAACGGCTTTGTGTATTAAGAGACTGCCTGTCAATGGGTCGAAGAACCGGACGGCGGATTTGGTAGTTTGATGGAGGAAAGGCACGGCGCTAAAAAATATTTATCAACGAGAAGCATACCTGTACTGTTTGGGTCAATAGCATCAATTCACATTAGCTGCGTTCCTATGTCGTTGATTCCCAACCATCTCGCGGCTCATCATGCCTATACAAGGTGTGGTGATGTCATTCTCGGGTAGCTGGACTCAGAAGAAAACCAACGCATCATTGAGAGCACTATTGATACAAGTAAATAAAATCTGGCTCGCCCGCATCGTTGCCGATTCCCACACCTGATGTTTGCATGGGCCCCATCCTAGCCCGATGAGCCCCCACAAGCTACCGCTGAAAGACAGTCGCAGAATCCCCTTAAAAACCCTTAGGGCCCCTGCCGTCGCTGCCCCCAGTCGTGAAGTACTCTCCAACGACACCAATCGCATAAGAAATCCCGCCGACCCAGGCAGCCCCAAGAACAACCTTCTTGGCCCTGCTGCGTTTCGGAGGTCGAGGCGGCTCGAAATCCTGGCTGTCGCAGGAAATCGTGTTCCGTCTCCTTACCGGGCTTAACGGGGGTGGGGGCTTTTCTGTTGTCTCCGCTCCGGGGTAATCATAGTTGAGGTAGCCTGTAGGACTGGAAGAGTAAGCGCTTGGTACTACGGGGTCGCTCCCCATCATGTCGATGGGGTTCACCTTTGGCGCCTTGTACGTCGTCGGCTTTTCGATCACTGGGGCGAAGGAAGCAGTCGTCTGCCCTTTCAGGGCCGTCTCTGCCTCGCGGACTTTGCGGAAGACCAGGACATCTCCGCTTCCGGATACAATCTCGTACCCTTCTCTCTGTAGAGTGCTAAAGTAAGGGAAGAACTTGGTCGGGTTCGACAAGCGGAGGAGAACCTCGGCCGGAGTCAACGGTGTGGTGCTGTCTGGAACAACAGACGTAGTCTCAGCCGTGCTAATGGCTTGCATGGTGGGGTCGTACGCAAGAATCTTGTAGATGGTTGGCTCGCGAACAGTGTCGGCGGCAGTCGAAGACACCACACCCTCATCCTTGGCGGCCAAAATGGCATCCTGAGCCGAGGATCCGGTATTGGCCGAACCATCGGACACCGTACCATAAGATCGCACGTAGGCGGGCCAAGTTTGCTTGCTACCAGTCTCCTCAGAGTAGCTCAGCTCGAGGCCCTGCGGCTCTTTCGAGTACGAGTCAGACTGACCCTTTTTGCCTGAAAACCGGGTCGATGTCGAAGCAGATGATCGGTCCAGGGCTGGCTCCAACCTTGGAAAACTCTCATCGAAAGAGGCTGCCTCAGCCTCGTCCGGTTCGACACTCTGGCTCTTGCTATTCTCTCCCTGACTCTCCGCAGCTGCCACAATGTTGTTCCAGGACCCCGAAAAGTCCTCGGGGAAATCTCTCACATAGTTTCCGGTGAGCTCTGCCTCGTCTTCCCTGGCCGGAATGTGACCCCAGACTTTGCTTTTGGAGTTCCGTAAAGCAACACGAGCAGCTCTGCTAGAAATATCCCAGTTCACTTCATATCGGGGAAGGTCGGCCTCCAAAATCTGTCTGTTTGTCGTGCTATACTCCCTTCGGGACTGGCCAGAAGATGTTGGGATCTTGGCTCGGACGTCGCTAGCGCGAAGTAGATCCAAATCGTCGGCCCTCTCCTGCTCTGTCACCCGACTGTATGCGATGCGTCTGTTCGCCTTGGCGGCGATCTCCTCATCAAAATCACTCAGACCCTTGGACACAGGGTCGATGATCTCGGCGGGCTGGCCATCAGGCTCGTTATAACGGTAGGATTGGTACTTCTTGGCCTCATCGAAGGTCGCCTGATCCCAGTCAGGCCTTGGACGTTGGCTCTCAGGCTCGTTGTATTGAATGGGTTGGTGCTTAGCCGCATCTCCAGGCTCAACTGCAGCAACCACTCCCTCTGGGGGTGGCGCAGTACCTCTGTCGAATTTCTGAGAGTATGTTTCAAGGTCCTTGTACTGCTTCGAGGCCTCCTCTGGGTGCATCGGCGGCTTTCCATGCGGCTCGTTCCAACCGTTGGGGTTGTATTGATCAAGGTCTGTATATGCCTTGGATGCCAACTCAGGGTGAATAGGAGCCTGGCCATGAGGCTCGTTCCACGTCACGGGGCCATATTTGTCCAAGTCCGTATATGCCTTGGAAGCTTCTTCGGGATGCATCGGGCGCAGCCCGGAAGGCTCGTTGAAAGCTTGTGGGCCATATTTGTGGAGGTCGTCATAATCCTTCGACTTTTCCTCAGCACTACGAGGGCGCAGGCCTTCAGGTTCATTGAAACCGCTCGGGCCGTACTTATGTAGGTCGTCATAGGGCTGCGCCTCTTCCAGAACATCCTTCTCGTTGTGCATGATTGGACCATATTTATCCAGGTCTGAATACCGTTCGCGCGCCTCCGGAACTTGTGCACTTTCGTTGTGCATGACCGGGCGGTACTTGTGTAAGTCGTCATAGGGTTGCGTCTCTTCCGGAATATCCTTCTCGTTGTGCATGATTGGACCATATTTGTCTAGGTCTGGATACTTGCCAAGATCCTCGTATTTGGGGACGGAAACCGACTCTTCCACAATCTCACTGAGGCCTACTGGCTTGTACTTTGCCAGATCGTCGTATTGCGGTTTTTCGGAAAGCTCTTGAGCGTCAAGTTTCTCATCCATGACAGGCTTGTACTTGTCGAGATCCGCATATTGCGGGGTCCCCGCAACTCCATCGGTGGAGCCGGCGTCGGCCCAGGGGGCACTGTCAAGCGTGACATTGCCATAGTGCTTGAGCTCGTCAGCGGGTGGAACCCCATCTGGGAAGAAAGGTTCTTGAGCATCCTTCTTTGAAGAGTTGTCAAAGACAGATTGGGGTATATGTGACGAGTGAATCTTTCTGTTTGTGATGGGGTCAATTTCAGAGTGGACGTCTCTGCTGAGGGAGGCCGTTGACTTGTTTCTGATCTGGCTCCCGAGATAGTTGCGAATGTTTTGCAAAGGGCTCTGCCACAAGTCATACTCATATGGTCCAGCGTGCTTGCGGGTAAAGAGGGAATTGATGGCGCTTCGCTCAACGTCCTCAATGTTCTGGCCAGGCCGGGCGCCCGAAGTGTCGTTCGATCCATTCTTCTTTATATCATCCTCTCTCACGCATCTTCCGTTCGAGCGGGTGTGGCCGTTCCTGATCCAGAACTGTGCCATCATCTTCTTCATCACGATTCTTGAATCTTGAGCACGCGAATTTGGATCCCAAGACAGCTTTCGAGTGATTGACTCCATGTGCTTGTATTTGATAGTGTGCTGACGGCGTCGCAGCTGACGTTGGAGCTCGGGGCCCAAGTATGACCACGCGCCGAAGCGGAAGCTTCGAGTTTGTCCATAGTGGCTCGCTTTCATGGGCGCTGGGTTCGAAGGGACCAGAGCTCTGACTGCGGAGGCCCTTCCAGCATGGAGGCCGCCCGCGCAAGGCGAGGCGCGGGAAGCGGTCGTGAGCATGACAGTGGCGTTGGGCTTTATTTCTTTACCATGCTTCTGTGTCTGTGGTTCCGGAGGTCAGCAAAACGAAGGCCGAAGGATTCGAGCAGAAGCCACGCCATGAGCGTAGCACAATTCCCCAAAAGCAAGGGTGGCCGACCGACTGCGGCAGCCAGCATTTGCGTCCAAGTGTACGTGGGTTAATCGGAATGACTTACACGAGAGAGAAGTGAGGGAGTTGATGGGGTGCCCGCACGTAAACCGTACGTTGACAAGTTGTAGAGGAGGGGAAGTTGGAATTGCGAAGTTGGAACAAATCCGCCACCTCGGCAAGTGTAAGAGAAGACGTTTGGCGAGGAGGAGCAGCCGGAGTTCATAGGCCCGCCGGTTAGAATGGCTCGATGGAATAAGACGGGCCAGAGGGGTGCAGCAAGCAGCAACCAGCTGCGACCGGCCGGGTTAGTGACCTACCCAGGTAGCTCGAGGTACCTAGCAATGGTTCACCTGGGCAATGTGGACACCCATGGGCTGAGTGCATCCTGAAAGCCCCTGTTACTGGCTTGCTCCCCTTCCGGTGGACATTGACGGGGGGGTCATCAGCGGTGCACTTTGCGGGGTAGCCTCTGCGGACAGTGGCTCACGCGCTTGAAACCCCCGAGTCGCTGCTCTCTGTTCTGCCCAGAGGCTGGAAGTGGGTCTTAGTGGAGAATCGATAAATGCATGCCAATCGAGGACGATGGATAAGACCAGGAAAAGAAAAGGTGAGTGCTAGAGTGCACGGATCCTGGTGTGATCAGGATGTGTGATGTCACGTGAATGTGCTTATATAATATCAGTGGTAGGGTGCTATGACAGCATCATCACCAGGGGGGCGGGAAAGGTGGGAGCTTCGGTCGGCGGGGCAGCTTGGCCCTTTCCATTCGCCGTCTTGCACATCGGCCAAAATTATCGGCCTGAGTCAACATACCTCCAAGTTGATTACGGATATTTGCGGCGCAACAAGGCCCTATTCATAGACCCGACTTGCCCATTATTCTTTTCTTTACCTTCCCAAGAGGGCCGAACAAGTCTACAGACAATCTCATTCATCCTCGCTTATCCCGTACATTGATTGTTCCTGCGTTTCATCCATCTTCGATCATTTTCTTTCAGGAAGGAACAGAAAAGGGTGCCCGCTGCATTTGTGCACTGTACCCCGCCAACGTCATCTTGGACTTTTGGTTCCCTGCGACGCGCTAGGTTCTGCACCGAGCTACACCAACGCCTCGACGTTGAATACCTCACACAGGACATAGCCAGCACTGATTACTAGAACATGTCGCGTGCCTTTGGAAAAGGCGGCCGATCGTCGGGCGCAAGAGGCTTCGCCAGCCCTGCTAGCGGTTTCGGTGGCTTCTCATCAGCCGGCAGCGGCCTCTCCTACCTTGCCGAGCCCCCCGACCTGACCTCCATCTCCGATGCGAACGTTGTTGTTTCCTTCAAGAATACGCTCAAGAAAGATGCTACAACAAAGGCAAAGGCGCTGGAGGACCTCCTGGCTTACGTACAGGCTCACCCATTCGAGAAGGACGGAGGCGTAGAAGAGGCAGTCTTGGAAGCATGGGTGCGTTGTTCCCGGGAGATGCGTTTTGATGATCATGTGGTAATGTATGTAACAGGTACAAATATATCCTCGTATTTCCATAGACAATTCCCGTCGTGTGCGCGAACTCTCCCACACGCTGCAATTCGAGCTGATGAAGTCGGCCCGGAAGCGCATGGAAAAGAATGTTCCCAAGGTCGTAGGCACCTGGCTTGCCGGCCTGTACGACAAGGACAGAGTTGTTTCTAGGGCTGCAAATGATGGTCTCTCCTCATTTCTCAACAGCCCAGAAAAGACTGTGTTGTTCTGGAAAAAGTGCCAGTCGCAGATTCTTACCTATGCGAAGGACGCCATCCAAGAAACAAAGGACACCCTCAGCGACGAGAGATCGACGACGCCCGATGATGCTGACGCCAAATACCTCCGGGTCGTGGGAGCTAGTATTTCACTCGTTCTCGGCCTTTTGCAGAAGCTCGAACCTGCCGACATTCAGAAAGAAGAAGAGGTATACGATGCTTTCCTCGCGGAGGAGAAGGTCTGGAAGAGCGTGGTCATGGGCGATGCCTCCGTCAGACGCGTAGCCTGCCAACTGCTATGGGCGTGCCTTGACAAGAGGCCGGAGTCGGTCTCTTCTCAGATCTCTCGCCTTAAAAAAAACTTCATCGCAGAGGGACTCAAGAGCAGCCAAACCGGGTCCGCTATCGAATATGTCAGAGTCCTCACAAAATTGACAAGCAGGTTTCCCGAGGTCTGGACGAGCTCCAGTGAGAAAAAGACTCCTATAACCAGGTTGAATGGCTTTCTGGAAAGAGGGTCTCACAGCAGCCCTGCCAAGTACTGGGAATATCTCGAAGAACTCATCAAGGCTATTCCGGCTGACCATTTCACTACCGAAGCCTCCACGAATGCTCTTAAGTCAATGAGGACCGGCATTACAAGTAGGGAGGAGCCTAGAATGAATGCCGCTCTGGCCTGGACGTGCTACGTTCACACAACCAAGCACTTCCTGCAAAACTTCCCCTCGGATGGCCCGCGAGCTACCTTGCTTCAGGAGCATCTATTCCCCATACTTGAGCACTTTCTCTTCCCCACCCCCGAAACCTCTGCATGGGAGATCGGCGGTACTGGACAACTTATTGTTCTTGGAGAAGTCTACAAAGTTGCTGCTGACTCGTCATCTCCCGACTTGCTTCAGGCAACATCCGAGAAGCTGGAAGCCTTTGCGTCTGCATTCTGTACGAGGATATCCAACTCGCTACCCGAAGTTTCAAAGGACTATGAAAAGTCCCAAGAGGCTGTTTCTGCCGAGGGCAAGCGCTGGTTCACTTTGGTCAGCCAAGTCCAGAAGACTGGCCAATCGCCCATGGGTCTCCTTTTGGGTCCTTCAAAGGCCATCATCATGAGCAGCTTGAATCTGCTTGCCAACAGGAATCTCAAGCCTTACGGAGCTGCCGGGGTAGTCTACAGCGTTGGAAAAAATGCCCCACAAGTATGGGATGACGTAGACGCTGCCCAGGCTTTGGAACAGTTCCTCTCAACACAGGGCCGAGACCACATGGCAGTCTTGGTTGCTTCTCGGTCTGCTGCTGACCTTCTGAACTGCGTGAACGTTATGGGCACGTTAAAGGGACATGAGGCAGCTTATGCGACCATATGGAAGACCTGGATAGGTGCTTTGCTAGATCTCTCCGAGGAGAAGTTGGCAACTAGAGGTATTGAGCGTCTGATTGCGAATCAGCAAGCATCGAAGCTTTCCAAGTCACACGAGAAACTCCAAATTTTCCTTGAGGCAAAGTGCTCCAGCACAGCCCGCGGCGAGTCCGATTCTTGGAGTCTCTTTGAGGCGGCCCTCGGCAACGATGCCTTGACAGAATCCACGGCCAAACAACTGTTGGACAACAGCATATCTACCCTGTCACAAGACAAGCAACACTCGATCCAAGCTCTTCGGGCGTTGGAGATACTTTCGAACAATAAGCCTGGGCTCTTATCACAGGACGAGTCGACGCACATGGCAGTTGTCACCCAGTTGCTGGGACTCGCCGAACTCAACGACAAAGCAGTTTCGTCTCGTGCCATGTCGTTGAGAGCTCTACTGGAAATACCCACCGATGGCATCTCGCCGGTAGTCGCCATCATCCAGAGGAACCTAGAGGAAGCCGGCCCCCAGTCACTTGGGTAAGTAACTCGGAATTTTCGTACATTTCATCGCTAACTTTCTCAGTATTGAAACTTTGGTTCAGCAGGCCCTGCAAGCTGTTAAGGCAGGGTCTATCAGCACGGAAGATCTCTTCCCGAGCACAAATGTCTGGATGCAGCAGCTATCCAACTTTCTCCAAGGTTCTCTCAACCCGTCACTCTCAATTACCAGCGGACTGGGAGGCGCACACTTCTTGATCCAGCCTACTGAGCAAGAACAACGTATTCGCGTGCGCAGAGATCGTGACGGTTACTCTGTCCCTGCCAGAATGGCCTCGTACACGTCCAGACTCTTGTCCTCGGACATATCTGTCTCGGCCCTGCCAGAGAGCTTTCAGGCTGAGCTCCTCTATCTTCTCTGTGTCTCAGTTCAGATGGTGTCGGACCAGATCACCCTAATGGATGAGAACAAGCTATTCCTTGATCTCAGCCTGGGAGACACCCTTGCGACGGCCGAGTCGTTTGTTTCGTCGACCCGCGCGACGATTAACGCTATAGCTGACGAAGCCAAGGGATGGAGAGATGGCTCTGAAACTGGCTCAACGAAGCTTATCAATAGCCTCATCGCCATCATGACGCAGGAGACCAAGGAGCTCACCGTGCTCGGGGTCTACAGCTCTAGGGCGCTGAGTGAGCTCGTACAGACTTTGACCGAGAACCATGGCTTCCCCGCTGCTGGCGACGAGAAGGTGGGCCAGTTGGCCACATTCAAGGCTACGCCGCCTACGGTTCTTGCAGCAACGGCAGTGCTCGCCGGCTTTGGTGAGAGCTTGGAATCGTCTAAGGCTGTCAACATGCTTTGCAACCGTCTTATCAGTGATATCGCAGGAGCCTCTGTGGAACCCGAGAAAGCCGATAAGACGCTGCAGGTTCTGGTTCTTCTCAACGCATGTCTACAAGTCTACGAGGTCGGTGAGATCCCCGTGGCTAATAACCGTATCGTCTTTGCCGTTCGACAGATCACATCCTGGATGGATGATACCCTCAACCTCACCCCCGCTCTGTCGGCAGAGATTTGTCGGGCGCTGCAGAAGCTGCTGCCGAGCATGAAGGACGTGTACGGCTCGTACTGGGAGAAGACGATCGAGTTTTCAACTGCACTATGGGCCAAGGCGTCAGATGACCGCCTCGACGACTCGCTTCCTTACATTCACGCGTCCTTGAAGCTCATGACTACCTTGGAGACCTTGTCAGAGCCGAATGATGACCTGGTGGAGGCTCTCAAGGAGTTCGCCGAGACCAAGTCTCTGTCGCTTATTGAGCTCCTCAAGCTAGACCGAGAGAAGAGCACCCAGCCTCTAGAGATCGTCGACGCCATCATTTGCAGGCAGGTCAACAAGATTCCCCTGAAGCATATCAGCGATCTCTCGGATCTCTACGGTCTCATCTCTACCGACTCTCGGTCCATCCAGACTGCCGCCTTCAACCTCCTCCACTACGCCCTGCCGGCGCGACAAGAGGAGCTCTCGGTCAGCGTCCTCCTCGATAAGACCGATGCCCGTCTCCCCGACGAGCTTCTGTCTCTCCTCCTCGACGCGCCCACTCTCGAGCGCTACCCGGATGAGGTCCTCGCCCAGTTTCCTCTTGCCATTCGTTCCTACCTTCTCTCATGGCACCTGATCTTCGATGCCTTCAGCACCGCCTCGCTCAAGGTTCGCAACGACTACACCGAGCACCTCAAAACGGAGAACTATCTCGCCCAGCTCCTCGACTTCACCTTCGACGTCTTGGGCCACTCGGCCGCGCACCCGCTCAATCTCGAACGCGAGAACCTGAAGACGCAGCACATCACCTCCTACGACGTCTCCCTCGCCGATGCTGAATCCGACGAGCGCAACCTACATTGGCTGCTCGTGCACCTATACTACCTTACGCTCAAGTACACACCCGGCATCTTTAAGACGTGGTACCTCAACTGCCGCTCCAAACAGACGCGTATCGCCGTGGAGGGGTGGATGACGCGCTACTTCTCGCCCATCATCATTTCGGACGCGCTCGACGAGGTCTCGGCGTGGGCCGCGACCCAGGAGCCGCCCGTTGACGACGAGAAAGAGCTCGTCGTCAAGGTCAGCAAGACGGGCAAGGAGATCACGGCTGGCTACGAGGTAGATGAGAGCATGGCGTCTATCGCCATCAAAGTCCCCGCGAGCTACCCGATCGAGGGTGTCAGCGTCGTAGGCATTAACCGTGTCGCGGTGAACGAACGCAAGTGGCAGAGCTGGCTGCTCACGACGCAGGGCGTCATCACATTCTCGGTAAGATCCAGTCCATGGAAACCACTTCCCCCTGCCCACCCTGGCTACCGGACCGCCGAGTTTGCTAACACGGACCGCAGAACGGAAGCATCATCGACGGACTCTCGGCCTTCCGACGCAACATCGTCGGCGCCCTCAAGGGCCAGTCCGAGTGCGCCATCTGCTACTCCATCATCTCGACCGACAAGAAGATGCCCGACAAGCGATGCCAGACGTGCAAGAATCTCTTCCACCGCACCTGCCTGTACAAATGGTTCCAGAGCAGCAACCAGAACACGTGCCCGCTTTGCCGTAATCCGATCGATTATCTGGGCTCGGATACCAAGGCGCGCAGGGGTGCCTGAGGGGGGTTGTTTGGCCTACCACCTTACGGGCGAATTGGAAGGAAAACAGACCCCGGGAGGGATGTAAGGGACTTGAGCCTCTGATCTTTTTTTTTGGAGAGACAGTACAAAGCACGCAGAAAGCGAATGGGACGAGACAAAGCGTGGGTTCTAGGTATTCATGCAGACCAGGCTAGAAAGTGATGAGGAAAGGGGGCAAAAAAGCAGCAGGACGGGTGGTGGATAGATAACCACGGAGATAGATTCGATATCAGATCTTGAAAATAGCGCCAACAGGAGCCGTGTCATACGCTGGCCAAATAAAACACCCTAGGAAAGCAGGTTGAGGAGGGACTCGCGAATCTTGCGCTGCAAAGTTGCCTCCTCCTCCAAAAGCTGCAGGCGGTGAGCCTCTTTCGCTGTAGTTTCGTTTTCTTCCTGGCGATCAACGTCGTCCTGGACATCCTCCCATTCGTTTTCATCCTCGACCATCTCTTCATAGTCAACCGACTCCTCGCCAGACAGCTGCGGCCTTGAGAAACGATCGTAATCTTGCGAACGCGAACGCCGGGAGGAGCGGCCGAGCGTACGCATGCCCACGCGGCCGGTTCGCTTGCGGATACCCGAGGAATAGGGCGCGAGGAAGAACTTGATCTTCGGCGACTTGCCCTTCTTGGCGAACTTCGCGTCCATCTTGCGCTGGGCATCCCGGGCCTCCTTCTCCTCCCTCAGCCTACCCGTCTCCCTCGCGGCGCAGGCGCGGCACTTCGCGCCGCTGTATCGCGAAATCCGAATCCCACAGCCGGCGCACTTGATCATGCAGCCTTTCTTCAGGCAGATAAGGTCGCTCGAATGTCCGCCCTTGGGGCAGTGGTGGCGATCCCTGCCGCCAGGGGTCTTGCCTGCCAGGTCGCGCGGGACGCCGTGCTTGTTTTCGTCCGTCCGTTCTCTCTCCGGCGAGGCTCTGCCGCCGTGGAGAATGGATGTGTCGATATAAGGCTGGCCTGTCACCTGGGGGCCCCTGCGCTTCTCGGATCTGTCTTTCGGCATCTGTCGAAGTTTCGCGGCAATGATTTTTGGATTTGGCAGGTGAGGCTGAATCAGGCGTTCAGAAAAGGAGAGAATGTGTAAGCTGCTGATGTCGAAAGTGGTCCAGTGAAAACATCGGAAGTGTGGCGATGCCACATTTTAACACAGACGCGAGAAGACTTCGACATTCTGTCTATGAGCGTTGCAGTGGTTTCTTGGTCGTGCAATCAAACCTGGCATCCTCGACGGATGCGGGATTTCATTTCAAATCAAATATATAGACTTGAACACAAAGCAACAGCTTTGCCGCCCCCTACCTGACAATGTATCCGCTGCCTCTTGCCCGTCTTGGATCAATCGTGCAAAGAACTGTTTGCTCTTTGCTAGTTTGTTTTTCGTACACTGCGAGAGGTTTATGCCTCGGGCTGACCATGTTGAAAGAAGGTGTGCTGCAGTGCCTGTCAAGACATTAGAACAATGGTATACAATCGACATGTTTGCTCTCAATTCACCTGTGCAGCAGTCGCCCTCTTTGAGTCGAAACGAACCAAACTTGATACCAGGTCTCGAACTTGAACATCGACATCTGGCAGAATCTCTTCCCATGAGTTGCCATCAATCATGCGATACATCTCGAAGGGCGGCGTCTTGAAACTCGCGGCTTCGGGCCACGTCTCCCGCGTCGGAGTGCCCAAAGTTTTGAAGATGCTTAAGATGAGGCCCAATTGGTTGCCGTCCTCGTGCGCCGGCCTTGACTCAAATAATGGTTTTGGAGGGCTGCGGCAACACTCGGCCAGTACAGAACCGGTGGCCCACATATCAACAGCAGGGCCGTAGGCTTTGTCGCCGAAGAGGGCCTCCGGAGCGCGATAGGGGCCAGTCCCGATGTCGAGAATCTTGCCGCTGGGCGGCTCGGAAACAACTGACATGGCTGGGTGCCAGGCGGTCCCGAAGTCGGAAAGATAGGCTGGTCCATCTGGGCCGTCGAGGAGGATGGCCTCTGGCTTAACGTCCCTGTGAATGATGCCCTCGCTATGAATATCCTTAAGGGCGGTGAGTATGTCCTTGAATATACGCTTGACTCGGGCTAGCGGGAGAGTGCCTTTGTCAATTAAATCAGCGAGGGTAAGAGGCTTGTAAGGGAACACCAGGACGAGTCTTTGCTCCTGGTCTCTGAATGTTTCCAGCAGGGTGATGCATGGCCGCTTCAGAGTTGCTAGGATCTTGACCTCCCGGTGAGGGTTGTGAGGTTCAATGTTGTGCGTCTCCACGATTACTTTCAAGGCCCGGTCTTTGCATCTGTAAACCTCCGAGGTGAGACCAGTTGCGAATGGGACGCAGCTTGTATACGTGCCAATAGTGACCCCAACATCGTCGGCGCGGCCACCGTCAGGAGCTGGTGCATCTTGAGGAGTCAGGTTTGCGGAGCTAACCAACTGACAGATTTCGTCATATTGAGCCTAAAATAAAATAAGCTTCGGACCCTCAGATAGATATGGGCGATGGAGATGTTCACCCTGGATTTTGAATCTTTGTAGGCCTGGTCCTCGACCGAGAATGCATCGGACTGTGAAGTGGCTTTGGCTTCTGAGCCGGCGGCTTCTAACACCGCTTTTCTAAAGAAACCAAGGATTGGCCAGGGATCGAGGTTTAGGCGGCAAGTTTGCAACTCACATCTTCTGTATGTTGTCGTACCGGTCTGAGGCTGATAATTGCGACCTCCAGTCATTGTCAGCCATGACGGACAATAGAATGGCAGAAATGCAAGATCGAATTGACGTGGATGGTCAGGGATGTCTGAGAGTTGCTGCGAATGTGCTCGTGTGGCTTCACGATACTTAGATCGTCATTAGTGTGAACACCAGACAGGAACATGGGACGAAGATCGATGTAGTAAGCACCTAGCGTTGTTGCACCTTTCCGTTGGCGATCCCTGATGAGCCACGGGCATGAAGGTTGGGTAGGTAGGTATCCGTACCGTGTGATGATATCCCCTTCGCCACTGTCCGGGCCGGGCCCGCAGTCATAGAATCCCGCAGAAGGATCCAAGTCTTTACAGTGCGGACTAAGTGCGACAACTTTCTACCACTAGGCTTACATAATGCGGCATTAGGCATTGCAATTACGGGTACCTGACGAAGGCGTTGCCGCCGCGTGAATCTGTGCCTCCAAGGTGCTTCATCAATCTAATTCTAGGCTCTCTCTAGCGTTATGAGGCTTAAGATACCCACGGCTAAATTGCGCCGGCGTGCATCAATTTCGGGTCTTACTCTGGGCATTTGTTGGCGCGGGAAGCCACGCCAGCACTCATCATTGGCGATGCTTTGGCTCCTATATCCCTGCAATGGAGTATGAGGATCAAAGTAAGAGTTCATGCGTCCATGGCAAGGTACAAGGATGGCGCGGCTCGGTCACTTGGACTGCCTCATGGAAGATTGAATTTCGGCCAGAGACTTCACACAGCACACACGGCGTGACAGGCCAGGGCCCTTCCCCGTCGTCTCAAACAGGTACGCTGCACTGTTCCTCCGAACATTGACAAACGCTTACCGGCACTTGCGTTTGCGTAAGCCAAGTGGCTAATTAAAATGAAGAAGCCAGGCCTCCCGAAGTCGGGGGAACGCAGTCATGTTTCCAGCGCCAAGGACTCGAGCGGCGCGTTCCACCTACTCTCTATACGGCGTCGTGGTGTAGTAATTGTGGACGCAACAGAGCCGAATCTAGTTCGTTGTCGGCGCTCTGAGATGAGACAGAAAGGTGCTAACCTGGTTCGTAAGAAGCCCGACGTGACGTAGGTATTCATTCGTATGGAGAACCACTCCCTCAAGGCTAGCCCGTTTCGAGTACGACGACCACCCCTGCCAGTGACGATGCTGAAAGCAAGAGTGATGGTAGACAGTGATTGGCCAGTGCAGAAATCGGGTTGGTGAGGGTGATTGATGGATGACGGCGAGGTGGTGTCCGCTGCTCCCGGGCCAGTGTTCCCATCCGAATATCTGAATGCAATGAATTCAATCCCGTTCGTCAGTGACTAATACCCGCCGAACCTTTTGACACCGGGAGACTGCTCTCGGAACAATTTACAGAAGCGTCGGCAGGGACGGAGAAAAAAAAAAGGGTGCACGAGACATCCATGGATGAGGGGCATATGCATTGCATGTTGACTCGAGAGTCGCCGCGGCCACTTGTTGAAATAAACAGACACTTGTGGATAGCGAAGCAAAAAGCAAACTCTGCATTCAATGGAGGCATAACTCCAGAGAGTGCGTGCGCAGGACGGCATTGTGTTAGGGGCACCATAGAATTAACGGATGTGTTAACCGTATGCATACAACTAGTACTGGTGATCCATCACCGATGGAGGTGAAGGTGCACTGTACTGTAGCCTGTAGGCTGTAGGTCCCTCCCGGTCGGGTTTACTCCACACCCCATCATCAGCCCCCAATACCAACCCTGGAAAAGTCACTGTTCTGCGTACCTCCTGACCTGACATTGTTCAGCAGCAACTGCGCCATCCCCATACAATAGGTCCTGTATAAGTGGAGGCACCTTCCTTGCCTGCTTATAGATACGTACCTGGGACATGTGTGTCGTCCAACCATCCACTCAGATCAATCTCCCTCCATCTCGCCTCGCTGCCAACCTGACAACCAACCCACCTTCTCATCCTTACGATTTTCCCGCGATGCGAATGCTCCTCACCTTAGCGACTCCTTCAGCATTATAGACAGCATCGCTATGCGCGCCGTTTCTCCCGTTGCTTGCATTCATCGTATATGATTTTGCGCGCCCGTTAATTAGACAAAATGGACGATCTCGCGAGGGCCGAATACCCTGCCATGCTGGTACTGTTCCCGTCCTTCCCCTGTATTGTCAATCGTCAGTCACTGTTTCCTCCCTCCTCCGAGATGGAGACAGAGAGAAATGCCCGGCCACAATGCTGAGGCAAGGTTGGGAGACGGACTTTTACAATCACCCCGACTCCTGTGCCTCCCTCTGCCGCCCCAGAAGCGCATTGTTTGCGACTTGATTGCTGACTGCCCATGTTTTTTTTGTCCAGGCGCACCTCCATCCCATGCAGGCTGTGAGCGTCCTCAACGACCGTGTGAAGAGAATAAATAAGATCAACACCGAGATCGCAGACTGGCTGCAGGTAAAGCAACACCCGAACCCACCAGAAAACCGCACACCCGACGGGAAGAAAGACGACCTCCAAGCTGAACACATCCCATCCAGGAACGCCGCCGAGTCGAGGACCAGTACGTCCAGAGCCTGAAGAAGTTGCTCGCCTTTAAAGTCCCCAACAACCAATCCGAGCTAGGGTAGGTCTCCCATGACGCCCCTGACGCGCATCCCATGGTCGAACCGTATACTGATAAACTACGCAGCGTCTTTTCCGGCCCCTGGGACAAGATTCTCCAATCCGTCGATTCGACTGCCCACTCCCACTACATTTTCGCGAGCCAACTCGAAAAAGATGTCGAGGCCCCCCTCCGTAACTTCCAGTCTCGAAAGGAGATGCAGAACATGCAGACTATCTCCGCCAACCTGACCGCAATGGCCCGAGATCTCGAGGATGCCCAGAAGAAGGCGGATGCCCTCGCCCGCAAAGGCCCCAAGACGAACGCCCAGAAAATGGCGGACGCTACCGCGCGACTCGAGTCCGCCACTCAGCAGTGGGACTCTCAAGCCCCTTTCATCTTCGAAACCCTGCAGGCCCTCGACGAGCAGCGCGTTAACCAGCTTCGAGACCTGCTGACCCAATACGAGACCCACGAGAGCGACCAGGCGCAACGGAACCAGGCGCGCGCCGCCGACACGCTGGCCTCGATGCTGGAGATCAGCACCGAACAGGAGATCGGGAGTTTCAAGGAGAGGGTTCTTTCGGGAAAGCCGCGGCTGGACAAGAGAGCCACGGCATCCAGGCAATCTTCCAATGCCCCGACCAGCCAGACATTAGTCCCGCCTCCGCCTCCGCCCGGCAGCATCGGACAACGTGATGACGACGCAAGTGACCACTC